TACAAAGATAATACCTAACTTGTAACATTTAAATTGTAGTGCTATCTACTCTTGGCCGCTATTCTTTGAATGTCTACTTATTGACAGTTCCGCGTTTGTATAATATACTTTTAACATGAAGTCATTCTTGTTGAAAATATTCTATACAGCGTGAATCTTAATTTGAAAGGTTTTTTTTTACTTTATTTATAAATGTCCATTCGTTTTTTAGCCAGTTCATAATAATTCCTTATAAATAAACAATTTTACAATTGATTTTTTTTCATAAATTTTATTTATGTATGTAGATATATTTTACAATATTCTAACACGACTACATAAAATAATTATAATTTAATAAAGAGAAAGAAATAAATCAAAAAATTAGTAAATATTATCTGACAGAAACAATTGTTAAAGAATTTTTACCTCATGTACAAGACAATAACAATTATTGTTTACATGATTGTTTTCTTTGTCATTTCAAACTGACTGTGTTGTGATCGCGTGGACGTCTTTCAGTCCATCTTTGCTTTGTTAAAAAAAATTAAAAAAAAACAAAAATCTATTCAATAAATGTATTAAAACAAACTTTAAATTTCATATCCTTGTATAAGTTGTAACATGTGAGTGGATAAGATGCCAGGTGGTCATATAGTAAGCAACGAGCGGTACAGAAAGACACCGCGGACTCCAAGGTCGGCGCATGCGCGGTATTACTATACTAGATCCTTGGTAGTTTCGCCGGTAAAAATACCTAACGCGCCGTCAAGGTGAGGGTTTTATTACGGTTTAAATTATTTTAAAGTCCATCCAATTGTCTTTAAATTAGCATGTCAACATTTTAAATCATTTTACAAGCTTTTTTATACTTTAAATTTAACTTGCAATATTTGCATGTATCTTTGTTCGGGTCAAATCTTGCAACTGAATTTTAAAGCAGTTATCCTCAACCGAAGCTGAAATTTTGAATACACGTTTAGTTCAGATGACAATGCATGGTTAGATACGTGACGTCATTCTAAATCCAACATGGCGAACCCTGTTTTTTATGCACCCCCATGATATGGATATCAAATGAAAGATTTTTCTGAGAAGAATACAAATAATACATAAAAAATAAACTTTAAATTAAGTCAAACCCATTTATTACATTACACAATTTATATGATATAAAAGCTTGTATTTAAAAAATATATATTAATTTATTATATTTACATGTTAATACATATGTTATCTCGACGTAGTTTAATTTAAAGACACCTGAAAAATATTTTTTCCAAAAAAATTGGCACCTGTTTCCTGAAAAAATTCTGACTATGTACTTACCATTATAAGAATTCGCTACAAAAACGCTTTCTGTTAATTATGGAAAAATTGAAAATTATTGCGCAAGTCTGTTTGTTGATTTATCCAAACGATCGACATAATTTTTTGCATGTACGTTAAGATAGGTATATAATATTTTTCCTGGAAGTTTCCCTAAGTGAACCCACGAGGCAAACTTATGTTTCAAGTACCAGAAAGCAGATATTGACGTCATTAAAAATTACTTATGATCACTTATATTAAAATGTCAAAAGATATGACAAAATAAAACTCTACTTTTTGATATCATATCCGTTTTTAGCCTTATCTCTATACAAATAAGTGCTGTTCATTCAGAAATTATCGGTCCGGAGTCCGGGCGCAACCAAATGGGTAGCTTCAATCGGCATATTATGCATCACCTGCCTTTCTGAAGGACAACTGCTCGACAGTTGTATAGAAGTTGTACTGCTTAATCGATTAAAAATGACCCACGCAAGTACTAAAACTACGACGTACTCATACAGATTTACACAATATTTTTCCATATTTTGTCATTATTCTGAGACATGAAAAAACTTTATATCGTAAAATAAAAAAATATGTGTGTGTGTACTTATGAACGTACGTAAAACGCAGTAGTGGATTCGCTTTTTAGCTGATGTCCTTCCCAGGGTCTCAGACTATCTTCTTACAAAATTTCATCTAAATCGGTTTAGTAGATCCAGAGATTATCCTCTACAACGTCAAAAACTCACAAACTTTACCTCTTTATAATATTAGTGTAGATTATGTATCTACTTAAAGAAAACCATAAACAAATAGCTATTATATTATTCACTTCAGTACCAGTTTATTATACCCTATTACTTGACTACAACCCCTCATTAAGGACCGGTAACATTACTATCTTTAAAATCATGCACGTCTGAAATGTTCGCAATAGTAAATATCGTTTACGTTGGCACATGCATATTATTGAACAATAATTGCTAGAATCTGCATATAATTGTAGGTGTATGCTAAAGCAGGTATACTAGAAGCATCTAATCGACATCTTAAGTTGACTTTTAACTTATCGATAATTATTTACATGCCTTCGCTTCGTTCAATCCTTTTCTTAGTAAAGTTTTGCAATAGCCTAAAATGACAACAAACCATCAATTTTTCGTATCAATAACAGTATTATTAAGAGCTAACATATATATTACATTACTAGAGATTTACCCTTGTTTCACTCGGGTGCGTCCCTAGATACGATTTAATTCTTTTGAGCGAAAGCCTAATTTTTTTTCAAAAATAAAAGTAGCCTAAGTTACTCCTTATCGGTCCAGACATTTCGGAAATGAGCCGGAACAAACCGACTGACAAACAGATAAAAACCTAAACAAATGTATTTTTCGTATAAGTACCGTATATAATTTCATATGCATTTAGTAAAAAGCTGTTATTTTGACATTACATCAGACACTTCAATTTTAGTTATCTGTATAGATAACTAAAAGTTAATAGTAATTTTTCCTTTCTATTACTTAGTAAGTCCTCATAAATCAATAGCATGATAGTTTTAAACACTGTACGGAGAGTATTTTTAATAATATAACTCTATACCTACGGGAATTTTACTTTAAATTACAACGACAAGTACCTGAACTAGCAATTTTTTTATAATTTTTAGAGTCATAACTGGTTCTTATCTAATTTTATTAGATGCGAAATGAAATCCGGTTAGTATCTACTACAAATATTTGAGTAAGTAATTTCTACGAAATTTGATTATATAGATATCTAGCATTGCCCGCGGCTCCGCCCGCGTTCAGATGACCAAAAACCAAATTCTTTGGTTTTACATATTGGTATACTCTTACAATGCAGTTTTTGTATTTTTTCTCAGAAATGAAATATTTTCCCGTGGTAAAAAGTATCCTATATGTTGACCCGAATAACCAGCTATCACCATACCAAATTTCATCAAAATCCCTCTAGTGGTTTTTCTGTGATGCGGTAACAGACGGACAAAAATTCTTAAAACTATAGATTCGGCCTCTGTATCGATAATAATGTCTATTTCAATAAGATTTTCCAAATAATATTTAATGTACAGATTCGGCTTAGTTACAATTTTATTATATGTATAGATATTGTAAGAAATTCAATGCGAAGTTTGTCGTAGTTCGAATGATTAAAAGTTTTTTTTAATATATTTATTATTAAAACTTACCAGGTAACTTTTCCTTTTACTTTATTTATAAATATAGTATGAATATTAAGTACCTATCCTCATGTATAAGTATAAATTATCTATAATTTATTTTTATAATAAAAAATTGTAGCTATTAAAATTACCATGAATTTACATATAAACTCTCTGCTGTTTTATTGTATTCTCCCACGCATGTGTCATGTTTTTACTCGCATTCTCTCTTCATTACTCAATTATTGATCTTTTAACAATTAGTTTTTCTCTATACAAGTAGATACCTTAATCTTAAATTGTAGTAAACCCTTATAGATATTATAGCAGCATCCGCCGCTTCGCCCGCATTTAAACTTTCGATATGAACAGCAGTTTTACAATAATGCTTGGAAGTCTGTCCGATTTGTTCACAATTATGATTACTGCTTCGCCCCCTTGAATAGCAGCATGATGATATATGTATAGCCTCAATAAAGGGGCTATCTAATGCAAAAATAATTTTTCAAATCGGATTAGTAGTTCCTGAGATTAGCGCGTTCAACCAAACAAACAAACAAACTCTCTTTATAATATTAGTATAGATAGATGATAATGTATAGAAAATATATTTATATTAAAGTAGTTATTACTACTCAAAGATTTTATGCAAATAATTTAAACGACGTTAAAGAAGACTGATTCTTCAGACTGTAATAAATTGGATTTGATGATTTATTATATCTTACTCACCTTGATGCAATTAGAAATGAAATAGATTATTATTTCTTGATGACCGCGTTCCATCAAATTAATTTATAAATACCATAAAATCTAATGGTTTATATAAATGTGATTTTATTTAATTCTTACTAACATTCATAAGGAACAAATAATGAGAAGAACAAATACAAAAATCACATTTCAATAGTACACATTAACATAGGAATATGATACAACAATATATTACACGCAGTGGTAGCCCTGGAACGTTCTCACTTGGGTAACTGAGTAAAGCGCGTTTAAATCCTGGGCTCCGCACCCTTAATATATTCATGTGCTAATCATTTCTTAAATGATTACCATTTGTCTTAAGGTGCAAAAAAAACACCGTAAGGAAATCTACATATCTGAGAGAACCAAGTAAGTTTTCGAAAGTCCACGTGAAATTGACCTAATTATCCCTCCTATTGAAGAAAGGCTCGTGCCCAGCAGGGATACGTTAAAAAGGGCTGAATACTACAAATACATACATATTACACTTAGCACTTACCTACCAATTTCGACTTATGATGTTCTAAATCTCCATATTCATTGAGACACACGCTATTGTGCCTGTGCAGATTTACCTTCAAAAGCACAGGTAAGTTGGAGAGTTTGTAACGGTCAATTGTACAATTGCCATAACCTTACAACCCGGTGTTACTTGCCTAGTTAAGCTGTACAGGTAAAACTGCAGCCATATCTTATAATTTACTATACACACCTTTGATTAAACCAGAATGAATTATATACATAAGTAAAGTTCCTTAGAAAGCCAATGAAAGAGCCCAAAGAATTAGGAAAAACAACAGATACTACGGACCATAACTTGACATTAAGTAAAAGGTGGTTTGCCTCGCTTTATTGAAACTAAGGACGGCGTCGCATTACATGCATTTTTACCCGATTACACTGAGTCAAAAATGAGAACTGTGTATGTGATTTAAAAATTTTGTACGTTCGGGACATTTATACTGACCTGCTATTATATAGAGAGAAAAAAGTTTATTTTGTATGTTTCTTTGTAATGGATAAACTAAAAATCAGCTGAACCGATTTAGATTAAATTCGGAAGGACATAGGATAGTTTTGATCCCGGAAGTCATCCCTTAAGGGTGTGAAAAGGGGGATGAAAATTTGTATGGAGGAACAATCATTTCTCAAGTAAAGGATATAAAAGTTATCATACCTATGTACATATACATATATACAAATATATATAGTCTATCTATTATACTGAGTCGCTAGTGCCTGTATAAAATCCTTAGAAAATTACTTTAGGTAATAAAATCCCAAACCCTAGAAACCTAAAAAACTTTAGCTTAAATTAGTATACTTTGATTATTTAATTACTGAACGTCAAATAACTATTGCAAGCTACCAATGTATGAATACCAGACAGCGGGACGTTTTGATATTACATATGAACAATTAAATATAATAGGTACCACTCAGGCTTCAGCCTTTTTGCGCGCTGCGTCTATGTTATTATTTAAGTCTGAGAATAGACCAAATATAGAATATTATTAATATAAGTCGTAAGTCTTAACTACAGAAAAATTTAAAAAGAGAATATCTTACTATCTTACTAATATTATAAATGTAAAGCTTAGATGGATGTTTGGATGTTTGTTACTTAATCACGCCAGAACGGCTGAACGGATCTGGATGAAATTTGGCACAGAGATAGGTTATGGTCTGGAAAGGCACATGGGTTTTTTAATCCGAAAAATGTACAGTTCCCGTTGGATAAGTTTGCTTCGGTTTTCTTATTTTTATAAACAAACAGTTTAAATTTGTATCCTTGTGTACCAGTCTAAGGTTAACGGACGACTGTCAATGCAGTTGACTGGCTATCACCAAATCTTTATAGCCTTTCTGTGTTTAAGCAGATTTACCCGTTTATTTTAATGGTGACAACCGGTACCTTGTTTTGCGAAGACAATGCCCGAGACCTACTTAATCTACATTGAAGAAACGTGTTAAAAGAATTTAGTTCACAGTTAACACTTGTGTTTATATGTAAATTTATCTAGTTGGGCTTTATAGTTAAGTTGTATAGAAATGTTACTTGTATGACGAATTCTAATAATTATTGACCCGCCTTCACTTGGTTCAGACTCTTTCAAGTTCACTGTAATGACTTTTATAATATAATTTAGCACGGAATCAATTGACGGTAAACGTTATTAAAGCATTGTTATATTCATCAGCCTGAGAGTAATTACACTTCGACTGAAGAACTATATTTGTGTTAGTGAGATTGATAAATTGTTCGTTTGCTTTCCAGCGTAAATTAACAAACTTTTTGTTTATAACAAAATAACAGCTTTTTACTAAATGCATAGAAAAGTAAATATACGGTACTTATAAAAAATTTTTTTGAAAAAAAATATTTTGTCTGTTTGTTCCGGCTAATCTCCGAAACAGATAGACCGATTTTGATGGTACTTCCACTGGCAGATAGCTGATGTTATAAGAAGTAACTTAGGCTACTTTTATCTTTGAAAAAGAAACAGGGTTCCGCACAAGAAAATTAAAGCCCATGAAATTGTGAACAAAATCCGCGCATCTACCGTACAGTACCTACCAAAGCGACGATAAGTCGCTACCCTACAATATTATTAAGTTATGGATAATTATATACAAACATAGTATATTCATTAAATTTATACGTTTGCAAAAATTTGTTAAAACTTTTTTTTTTGGTCAATGCAATATCTGAGACCCAGAACATTAATATGGATAATCAAAAAATTATTACCGATTATTCAACCTTCAATTTCTCAATATACTTCTTGCATAATATCATTTTATAACTTCTGAATATTATTTTCTGCGTCCTTTTTGCTTCGTTATAATCTAGGTCACAATATTCATTTCAGTGTATTTTTACAAGTTACTGAAGCAAATAAATATAAATAAATATAGGTATACCTGCTCTAATTATAAGCATGAATAATTAATTATCACATAAATATTTTATTATAGACTTTTAATACTCTCGGACATCCATTTTCTATAAAAAATTCTTCTCAATTCAAATTCTTCGTTATTATTTAATAAATAACCTTGCAAAATATTTCATATCTAAGAACAGACTTAACAGGCATCGAGCCTCTTTTGTAACGATACTATTTGGGACTCAAATTCTGAAATAGTTTTGAAACGTGACCAATGCATTTCGTGCTACGCCATTTGCAATAAATCGCGGACAACGTTCCAATGAAAGCAAGTTTTAACATAATACTTTAAATAATTAGTTACTACTTTAAATATTAAATCCACAGATTATACAACATTATCGATTTTAGTGCTGAATTATAAAATTAGGCTTGAATGTATAAGTTTAAGACATTACTAATTAGAAAAGATATTTCTTAGTTAAAAGCTTAAAAATATATGGCAATCGTTATAGCAAAATATTAAGTACATACCATGTATGATACAAGCCCTAAAACGTCAGAGGTCATGAGTTAATTCCACGCACTGGTTAAATGCCTGTATTACGCAATTATTTGTTTCGATCAAATTTTGGAAAATTAGCTTTAAACTACTCAGTGCAATCAAAAAAATCATATTAGAACACAATTTTTAACTTACTTTTCTCTATTTCAGATGTCAGTCCGCTCCAAAAGTAATGGATAGCCACAGTAGATCGGCGTCCCCAAGGGAGCCTTCGCGACCGCTGCACCGTCCCCCATCCCCACCCTCATCCCCCACGGGGTTCGACAACCGAGCATACCAACATGACGATGCAGATCAAAACCATAACGACTCCTTCACCTCCAATGGTCCACACCAACCACATCAAAACGGGCACAGCAAAGAACCCAATGGTGATACTAAAACTTTAGAAGCAGTGAACTTAGAATTGATAAACCTTACACCTAAAAATGGAGCTAAGAAGAAGGATGTCGAGGTTGACATGAATGCCAGCAATCCATACGATGAGTACTTCGTGCCGGTAAACGAGCACAGGAAATACATGAGGTTTGTGGCTTTCTTTCCTTACACTGTAATCTTAACAAAAGACCTAGTAAAGTATCGATTAACTGGACCTGTATCGATTAAATTTCAAGCATAATAACACCCTGGTGGATGATAAATTTTTAGTCGTTAATTATTTGATTAAAATCATAACATTACAGACCTACATCGTTCACATAAATGTGTTTTACAATTATTATAAGCAGTTCAATTAGAAACTTTAAATCTCATCAACTGATTGCTAGCCTAAATTATAAATAACACGCATGGTATTCGTATCCTTCAAAATAGCACCGCTATTTTACGATCGGTTAGCTAATAACGCTTCTTAAGTTGTAGTACGAGTCAAGTCAAACCGATGTTTATCTATTAATGATACCGTTCTGAACGGTAGATATACAATAATAGAAACTCTTAGTCATCTAAATCTGTGCAAGTGCTAAGAAACGTTTCAGTTATAATTAACTGATTTCAGAATCACAAGAGGGATGTGCTTAATAAATATTTGAAACTAGATTGAATGATAGATGTAATATTTAACATTTGCAAAAGGTATTTTTGCGAGTATTTGTGATAATCGGATTATATTTATAAATGCGAAAGTTTGTATGTGTGCACGTTTGTTACCCCTACAAGCTGAAACGGCTGAACCGATTTGAATGAAATTTAATACATAGACTGTGAGCTGGAGTAACACATAGGCTACTGTTAAAGACGTAGGGAGGAACCCAAGCCAAGCTCTCGCTTTTTAAAACCTAATAGATCTTATCCTCGTAAGTCTCTAGTTTTATCAATATAAAAAATTTTTACTTTTGTTTTGATTTGCAAATTATATGATATGATTATCTGCATGTTCTTAAACAAGCTGAGCTTTTTAAAGCTCAGCTTGTTTAAGCACATGCAGTGTTTAAAAACAAAGAAAAATTGAATCCACGAAAGCAATTATCAAACAGTACTAACAATTATTGTCTGTTGATTTCTGCCTATTATCTGAATTTTATAGTAATAAAAATAACTTTAGTGTAATAAATATTTAATTTACATTTTAATATTCATCTAGTAAAATAGTTAAATACAGTTTTGAATATAATAGGTCCTGACTTAATTATCTTGATTGTGTATATTACTTTATACGTTTCCTTTTTCTTTTAAGTTTTATAACCAGTTTACATTATGTATATTATTAAAAATAAAGCATTTACTTTTTAATGTTACGTTAAAACTATTTTGCTAACTAGACACTTGTTTCGTAACATACATACTTATTTCTAATTGATAATGACCTCAATAACGAGATAATGATTGGAAAACAATTTTTATTACATATACTTTATATAGTCAATTTTAATTACACTGATATAGATTTCTTAGTCGTATTACGTCTGCAAAAACAAAAAATATTCTCACGAATTAATCATCAAAAAGACAATTTAAAACTAAAAATAATATGTCAAAAATTTAACATGTACAAAGTACCTTCTTGTCGGCTCGCACGCTGATGAAAATTAGTAGACATAAGCCATGAATTATCAGTCAACGAGAGTATTCAGTACTTTTTTGGTAAAACTACGCACGCAAAGCTTTCATGTTACTGGCAAATCGTGCTAACATTCTTTATATTTACATCTAAAAAATCTCACTTTTAAAAACTCGCTATAATCGGAGATCATAAGAGTGTGCATATGGAAATTTTGTACCTAGACATCTTTATTTACTGATGTCAAAATCTGTGAAAGTTGGTTAAAATTTTCTCGATAATATATTTTTTGAAAAAATGCATGTTGCATGCACACATATTGCTATCTATCTCAGAAACAGCTCACTATTTTTGTAGGGTTTTTGTTTTGTAAGGAAGCTTAGAAGTATTTCTTCAGTTACCGAATTTTATTTTTCGATTGATTGTTTAATTAATTTATAGTAAATTAAAAACTGTTTTTGCGCTTAAATACATTGAGCATCTATAGCTCTATACTTATCACTCACGATAGAACATTACTTGTCATCCCGCTCTTCCGAATCCGAATCGTAACGGTCTCATGCCGCACTCAAAAATATTTCCAACTTTAAAACAAGTTAATATATTACGTAACTAATCGATTTGTTCTAATAAAACTTTTATTATGTCAATATTTCAAACCAACATGATTGTCGGTACTCTTTAATAAATTGTATTAACTTACTAACTCGTTTACCTAGCAACGCTTAGGGTAATTATGTAAATGACTAGTTTGTATGGTACAAATTGAAATTCGCGTCACTCAAGCTCTCGCAAAGCTGGTTTCTTGAGAATGTGGTTTACGTTACGCAACAACTCGACCGACTGTGATATTGTATTATAAAATTTGTAATCGATTTATATTGATATCGATATGTGTAAATTATTTGTAACCAATCACGTACTGTAATGCTTAACCAGGAAATGTGTCTATTGAAAAATGAATTGAGAATTTTGTAAGCTCAACCTGATAGCATAATTTAAGGAAATCTATACACATAATAAAATTGTAACTAAGCCGACTCTGTATATTAAATATTTTTTGGAAAATCTTATTGAAATAAACATTATTATCGATACAGAGGCCGAATCCATAGTTTTTAGAATTTTTGTCTGTCTGTCTGTCTGTCTGTTACTGCATCACAGAAAAACTACTGGAGGTATTTTGATGAAATTTGGTATGGTGATAGCTAGTTATCCAGGTGAACATATAGGATACTTTTTAACGCGGGAAAATATCTCGTTTCTGAGAAAAAATACAAAAACTGCATTGTAAGAGTATACTAATATGTAAAACCTAAGAATTTGGTTTTTGGTCATCTGAACGCGGGCGGAGCCGCGGGTAATGCTAGATATGCTATAAGATTCTTTTTCTTTTTGAGTTTCTTAGAGGTAAAAGTTAAAAGTACAAGGTGTTATCCTTATAATAAACCTTGCAAAAGCTTTCTAGGTTACAACTACAAAACTACCGCCTTTTTTAATCGTGCTGTTTAATATTTGAACCAGTTCAGATTTAAATATAACGTATTCAAATCAATATAGTCACCTAAGAAACCACAGAAATGGCAACCTCTAATGTCCTTGTTCTAATAACTATATGAGACCTACAAAACTTTATTTAACACACACGCTGACCTTGGCCGGTCATATTAATGTTGTCAGTTCTTACCCGCGATTTGTGTCGAGGAATCTGCAAATCGTTAGAACCCGTTGTGAATTTTAACGATATAGCAAACGTGTTGGATAGGTATTTTAACTCTCGCAAGTCTTGGGCTGACAGTATCTGGTGAAAAACTGTTTTATAAGATTTAAGAACTAACAACTTTCCTTGCTTATCTCGCTTCACTCGGGTACATCTTTAAGTACCTTGTAGTAGTAGCCTACGTATACTCTAGCTAGATCATAGTCTGTCTGTATACTCCAAATCTAAATCTGTCTGCTGTTTTAGCGTTAAGGAGTTACGTTAACAGTTTGTGTGTTAGCTTATACACCTATAATAGTACGATGAAATTATGATGCGTTTTTAAGAAAAATGTTGAAGTGTTTTTACCATTTGCTTGCTTTGCTAGTCTTCGTCGCGCGTCACAAGAAGATGTAGGCGAATTTAAATAGCGTTATCGTTACCTACTATAAAACACGTTTGAAAAACAGTCATTTGAGATTTAATTTATTATAATCACTTAAAATTTATAATGAAAGGATATAAACAACCATTTTGCCTAGTACGGATACAATTTACAAACATCAAGTTTTGCCCAGTCCTCAGACTGGGTCTAGAATTTTAATACAGCTGATGTTAAATTTATAGCTAAATTCAAAATGCTGCCGTAATACACGCGTGTTCGACATATTGTGGTGAATATTAAAGGCAACTTCACATAGAATAAACTCGTTGAAGTGAAAATTAATGTATAGGTAGTTATAAATAATCGGGTAGATTTGTTTTCGAACGCACTAAAACTGCTGTATAATTTATCTTTCATAAAGATGTGTTAATAACTGTTTGAGTGTCTATCTTCGACTCTATACTCGATAAGCCGAAGTACAAATTTTAGATCAGAGCCGTTTATGTTGTGTCAAGCACATTTACTACTAAATAGACTCCCTAAGTCATTAAAAAACCCTTAATTGATACATTTAAATAATCATTGATGTTTAATATACTACGTAGTAGTGGTAACTTTGCCCTTTAATTTAAACGCCTGTGTAACGCCAAAATATTGTCTGTTTTTTTATGGATTGAGCGTAAAATAACATAATACTTGTGTCAAATTTTAAAGTACGGAATAGGAAGATTTGCAGTTCTACACAAACGAACACAATATACACTTTTATTTATATAGAATATAGATTCTATGGTTTATATGCATGTATAGCTACAATAACGTATATATTGTAAATATGTATAAGCATGTTTTATATCACTTCGTCTTATATTTGTTGGCCTCACTTGAGCACGTTTTTCTATCTTCCATAAGATGACTAGAAGAGATCTCTATAAGAAAAGTCCATATCTGTCTTCAACTTTTCTTTCATATTATATGTAATTTTTATGTATAAATAATTATCAAATGCCATAATAAATAAATATCTATGTAGATTGTAGCTACATAATGAGTGTTAGTAGATTAGGACAAGTGAAGTAACGTGGAATCTTATCAAACCTAATTAGGGGTTATTTAAATTACTCATGACTATTTACGTAAACGATTACCGATTAGGGTGGAATGCAGTTAGACTTAAATGTACATACTCTGTTAAATATATTGAAAAATAATTATGTCTATGAAAATTTTCCAAGCTTTGTTCAAATTATAGTATTATTATATTATTGTAACAAAACAATATTTAATTTTGTTAAGTTAAAAAATAATTAATTATTATTATTACCTATAACCTCCACTGACAGTGGTAGCCCAGTGGTAACGCGCACGCTTAGCAAACCGAGTGAAGCGAGTTCAAATCCCGGGTCTCGCACCTCTGATATTTTCGTGTGCGAATCATTAAATTCTAACATGATTACCACTTGCCTTACGGTGAAGGAAAACATCGTGAGGAACCTGCATGTCTGAGAAAACCTAGCAAGTTTTCGAAAAACATGTGAAGTCCGCCAGTCCGCACTTGACCAGCGTGGTGGACTATGGCCTGATCCCCTCCTATTGAAGGAAAACTTGTGCCCAGCAGTCGGACGTTAAAAAGAGCTGATTACATACACATACAATACGTATTACCTATATAAAATGACCATAAATACTATAACATCAGAAGTTTAAACGCCATATCGTATGAAAGGAAGTATGTATTAGATTTCATAATGCATCATTATAAAGCACGTCTATCGTCTAATGAACCCGTAATTGCTATAAAGACTTATTATTATTCACATTTTATAATACTACTAAACAACCGTTTAAATGTTCCTCGGCAAAGTTAGCCATGAATATGTTTTGATTTATTTAATGTCTCCACTTAGTTTCCCTACACGTTTGGCTCAGTTTGTATAGTGACTCACCCTGCTTGCTGTGTCGTGAGTTCGAGTCCCGTTGGGGGCATTTATTTGTGTGATGCGCACGAATGTTTGTACTCCTGTCATAGCTATATTTTTATAATAATATGTATTTATTTAAAAAGTTACATATATGTACTTGTGAAGTGTATCAAATATCTGGTATCCATAATACAAGCTTTGTAGCTTATAAGGGAACTAGACGGTCCTGTGTGTTGTCCAAACATATTTATTATTTATTTATTAATTTTCCTATATGTAAAAAGAGTAAATTTATACACACACATTTTAAAATATGTTTTTTAGTTAATTCAGGTCATAGCACTTCGATACTTAAAATAATAACCTCTGTTTTAAATTTCATGTCACGCACTGAAAGGTAAGTTTAAGTTACTATACTTGCAATTGTTTTAAAAATCCGGCAGAAAGTTTTTAAACAGAAGACATCCCAAAATAGCTGTAAACATGTCACATATAAGGCGACGAACACTCGATCAAGAAAATTGATTGCATAAAATATATTTTTTTATCATTATACATATATTTATCATTTTTATAATTATACATAATGCTAAATTATTATTAGATGTTTATTAATATATGTACAAACATAATAATTAAAAATATAACGCTTTTTTTTCATTTTAATATAAGGAACTATTGATTGTTCAATATATTTTTTTATTTTGCGTAAACTAAAAAAAAATGTATTTCCGATAATATAGTTCAATTAAAATATTAGGTATTACAGGTATATTAATTTTTATCGGACAATTTTAACTGATCGATGGAGTTAGTCGTCATGTGACAATGACCTAAACTATTAGTTTGTATCGAGAGAGCCGTTGCATATTCATAATGTCGGTCAGAACCAAAACATAAAAGCAGCACTGAAAGAAATTCAAAACAATGCGACTAGACCACAATGCGGGTTGACGAGTCGAAAACAATTCAGAACGTTCTAACCTCGTTCAATTCATGTACAATATAACAATTTTGACTTTTATTGCTCATACTTCCATACTTTTTGAGTTATTTTTACTTATAACCGAAATAAATAGTGCCAGTCCTAATATACTTAAATACTGCCTGAATAAAGGTTTAATTTAGTAATAATTGAATTTTTATAAATATTTTTTCAGTGTCTACATAATATATGTACTTACCTATATACCTAAATAAAACATTAAATCTCACTCGGGTTCCCTTGAGGATTTTTTAAAGGAAGCCAAACATTCTGCTTATGAAATATAGATATGCTTGTGTTATATATTGTATATAATAAAAAGCATACATTTAAATATTTAAGATTTGTCATAATTATTTCATTTTCCTATAAATAATAACAGTAATAAATAATAATATAACCACTATCACAAATCGGTTTTACACTCGACATATCTTACGGTAACTTGTATGGGAAACCTTATATTTAATGAGACAATATATTAAAATACAAAAGAAACATAATTTAATAAAAACGCCTTTTCTCCAGCTATATCAGTATTCAAAGAAAAATAAAAACACATTATTTTATGTAAATATTTATGAACTTAGCCTTACCTACTTACCTAGAAGATATAAAAATCAATGTAGAAAAAATCTAATAGCAAATTGAAGATCTTGTAGTAATAATCTACACGATGAGTAAGTGAAATGAGAGGCTAACGTTTTGAAGTTATACCTACTTCTTATGGCACGTTTAGAAAAAAATATGAGAGTATTTTTACGATGCGCGCGCACACCGACAGCCAAATAGCGACATGATGAAGTTAGCTGCATTCCTTTTACAAACAGAGAGTTGTGACATACGGGAGTGAAATCTTTAGCTATTTTTGTTCTGTTACGCCAAAGAAGTAGGTATAACCTCTTACGTGGGTACATAGTACACACACACACACATTTATTTAATAGCATAATAATAATCAACTCGCTAAACAATAGATAAAATACAAAATTGCTTCAAGTCTTAGCTTACAACATAGGATATGTTGGACATTTGATAAAGCAAACAGCCATCGCCAGATTTAAAGACAGATTAGAATTTACAAAACACCGTAACTTATTCGTAATATCCCATACGTGATGGTGTATCTATCCGTCATTGCGCAAGCTCAGCGCTCCCATTCATGAATGTCAGGTGGTTACTCAATGAATCGTCAATGGTCACCTTTAAATTATATTCGATAGTGCACACTCATTGTTATTTAAATGATTTGTGTCATGTGTTAAACTGAATAACCTTTAATAATTATAATTGACGTTTTTAAACGTCAATAATAATATAAATAATAATAAATATGTTGGAACATTAACACACATCATCATCTAGTTCCATAGTAAGCTACGAGGTTTGTGTTATAGATACCAGATAGTTGATATACTACACTGATACAGATAATGATAGAACCAAATAGAATATTGGCTTTATTCAACAATAAAATAAGACATAGTAAATAATTAGGTATTGACAATTTGATAGTATAACACTGTTGACAATGTCATAATATTATCTAATATTATAAAGAAGGTAATTAAATAACATGTGACCTTCATACTTAACAAGGAGATCACATCATTCACCCCCCCCCCCCCCTTATGAAGAGACGTAATCTTGAAAGTGGGCCGGAGGTTTGCGTTCTCGAACAGAGCGACGAACTTGTGTACTCTCCACTTCTGGGCTAGCAGGTGGAGCTTCGTTGGAAGGGACCTCCTCCATTTCTAATTGCTCTTCATCGTCCGACGAGTCGTCGTCAACGACCTGTGGCAGTGGCGCTAAGGATCTATTAGAGACTGTAGTTTCTCGCCCATCTGCTAATCGAACGTAAGAATATTCAGGATTGCTTTGTAACAGCTGTACCTCTTCTACAGCCGGGTCATATTTTGAACTCCTTACGTTCTTCTTTATATAAACAGGTCCAGGTGAATGAAGCCAAGTTGGTAAAGATTGGCCGTTTATCGAGCGACGAGGATGGTTGAACATACGCTCATGAGGCGTTGCATTCGTTCCTGTACATAAAAGGGATCTTATAGAATGTAACGCTGGCAGCAAAGCTTTCTCCCAGTTAGCAACGTCTTCGTTGTTCGATCTGAGATGTAATTGAATTGTTCGCCACAGCGTACCATTAAGCTTCTCTACCAAACCGTTTCCTTGGGGATTGTAAGGGGTGGTGCGACTGCAAGATGTTCCGAGTGAGGTTAAGAAATGTCTTATTTCATCTGATAAAAATGAACTTCCTCTATCGGAATGGATATAAGCCGGAGTACCAAATGTGGAGAATAAATCTTTAAGGCAACTTATGACTGTTCCTGAGGTCATATCTTTACAGGCATACGCAAACGGAAAACGGCTATATTCATCGATTATTGTTAAAATGTATCGGTTTTGAGTGTTAGATGGAATCGGCCCTTTAAAATCTAAGTTTAGTCTTTCGAAAGGTGCAGTTGCCTTTATGAGATGCCCTTGGTGTTTTATATAACGAGGTTTGATTTCAGCACAGATAGGACATGCTGCCGTCATTCGTTTCACTTCTTCGATGGAGTATGGTAAGTTCTTCGATCTGACCCAATGAACCATACGTGCAATTCCAGGATGGCAAAGAGATCGGTGTAGTTCAACAAGTTTGGAGTTATTAGACAAACTATCTATGTGCATGCAGACTCGAGAGAGCGCATCGGCAGCAAAGTTCTGTTTTCCGGGTCGATAAACAATGTCGTATTTAAAACAAGACAATTCAAGGCGCCATCTCTCGATCTTTTCGTTCTTGATCTTACTAGAGTGTGTTTGGTTGAACATAAATGCAACAGACCGTTGATCAGTTACGAGTAGAAAATGTCTTCCAATCAAGAAGTGTCTCCATTTGCGTAAAGCTTCAACTATAGCGCAAGCCTCCTTCTCAATGGAAGGTTGTCTTTTCTCAGAATCGTTAAGTGATCGTGAGAAGAACGCTACGGGACGTCCTTTTTGTGACAGCGTTGCTGCGATTGCGAAGTCAGAGGCGTCAGTTTCAACAGAAAATATCTCTTTGTCGTCTATTCCAGCTAAGGCCGATTTAGAAATGTCAATCTTTAGATTGTTAAAAGAGTTAATAGCCTCTTCAGATAAAGGAAATGTAGCTTCGATCAGAGGTCTGATTTTGGCAGAAAAGTTGTCGACCCACTTTGAATAATGAGCAAATAGTCCAAGGGCTCTTTTCAAAGTAGCTGTATCAGATGGGATAGGAAGATTTGTTAGTGGTTCCAATCGAGACTTGTCAGGTTTGATTACGTTATGACTGATGGTATAGCCGAGAAGATTTATGGATTCTGATTCAAAAGTGCATTTACTCATATTTAGAGTGAGTTTATATTTCTCAGTAGCTTTCATGAATTTGCGAAGGTTATCATCATGATCCTGCTTATCTTTTCCGCATACAGTCACATCGTCTAAGTAAGCATATGTACCTTTCAGTTTTTCCGAATCAATGATATACTGTAAAGTTCGCTGGAAAGCCGCCACACCATTTGTAACTCCAAATGGTATTCGTGTGAATTGGTAGAGGTTCCCGCACGCTTCGAAGGCTGTGTATACCTTCTCCTTTGGAAGAATGGGAACTTGGTGATAAGCACTTTTGAGGTCGATTTGGCTATAAATATTGTATTTAGCGACTTGAGTTATAATAGAATCGATGGTAGGTAAAGGATATGCATCTAGTTCCGTGAATCTATTTATAGTTTGAGAATAGTCAATGACAAGACGTTTCCGATGATAGTCATCGCCAGTAACGAGTACTTGTGCCCTCCAAGGCGAGATACTGGGTTCGATAACCTTGTCTTTAAGTAAGTTGCTTATTTCGTTAGATATAAATTCTTGGTCTTCCTGAGAATGCCGTCTGGAGCGAATAGCTATAGGTTTTATATTTGGTGAAAGATTAGTAAAAATTGAAGCTGGTGGGACAGATGCCTCCAGTACATTGCAAACTTTCAAAGGCCCTTTGTCTCCCCCGAACTGAAGTTCAAATGATGAGTGTTTTCCTAATATATCATGCCCAATGATAACGTCAGCACACAGATCGCCAACAATGAGCAGAGGTTGATGCTGGTATATATGTTTACCAATCTGAATTGTAGCGTAGCATAGTCCCTCAACATATGATATATTGTTAAGAGATGCTAAAGTTATCGCTTGTCGACAGGGCTTTCGTTTAAGGTTCATGGTTAGAGCAGTATTCTTATCGATAAAGCTGATTGAACTTCCGGTGTCAAGTAGCGCATCTGCTTGATAGTTGTTCAAGGTAATTGGAATGGTAGCTTTACGTAGGCTTGATGGCGCAGCAGCGGATATCATTGACAAATGAGAATCAGTAACTTGAGGTTGAGTAACGTCGTCATCGTCCATGGTAATAACATTTACGGTACGTTGACCTGGTCTTGAACTACGGCAAACAGTTGCAAAATGTCCTTTTTTGGAGCAAAGTTGACATTGGGCATTATTAGCGGGGCACTTGATTCTTTTATGAACATTGCCACCGCAGAAAAAGCATCGGCGGTCACTTTGCGTAGGGCGACTGTGATGAAAATTTTGAGGTTTTGATGCTGCCAAGTTGAGCTGTGGTTGCGATGCTTGAGTTTCAGAGATCGTGTTAACAGGAACAGCAGACGTTGATGGAGATGATACTGTTAGTAGTCGTGAAGTATTTTCAGCAGTTTCTAAAGATGTAGCCAGATTCAATGTTTCTTCCAGAGACATAGTAGATTTTTCTAGCAACCTTTCTCTTATTTTCTGAGACAATATTCCGGCAATGAACGTACTACGTACGGTTTCGTTTTGGTGTTCATTAGCAGTAACAGCTTTGAAGTGACATTCACGAGCAAGTATGGCAAGAGATCTCGAATACTCTGCTAACGTTTCGCCAGGCTGTTGCTTTCTAGTAGCGAGGCGATGCCGAGCCAAGATAATATTTTTTTGTTTTTCATAGGTGGTACTGAGAGTGGTCATGGCATCGACGTACGTGGTGCAAGCTTGAATGAAGTTAAATATTGATGGCGAGATATGGTTTACAAGGAGTTTGTACTTAAGGGCATCGTCAGCCGAAGCGGCTTCCTGTGCGATAAAATTTTCAAATGAGTACTTCCAATGAATCCATTTCAAGTCTGAGCCGGCCATTGCGGGTTCCACGTCAAAACGTTCAGGACGCAGATACCGAGATATTGAGAAAGACTTTTCCTTTTCGTCAGGCATAGTTGGTATCAGCGATACACAAAATTATTGTTGAATAAATTGATACAGATAATGATAGAATCAAATAGAATATTGGCTTTATTCAACAATAAAATAAGACATAGTAAATAATTAGGTATTGACAATTTGATAGTATAACACTGTTGACAATGTCATAATATTATCTAATATTATAAAGAAGGTAATTAAATAACATGTGACCTTCATACTTAACAAGGAGATCACATCATACACATATATAACTTTAAATACATACATATTATAAATATAAACACCCATTTTTTTTTGTTGACGCTGGGGAAACCCATCATGGGGACCCTGCCCGCCGTCATAACGGACAAGGTACTGTGAGACTCCTACTCACTAAAACCCACAGCGGAACCCGTCGCCTCAGTGCAATGGGGCGTTGCAGGATCACTTGCGCATTCACTACAAAAATATAAACACCCATGACTGGAGTACAAACATTCATGCTCATCACACAAGTGAATGCCCCCAGCAGGACTCGAACCCGCGACAGCCCGGCACAACATGTAGGGTTACTACAAATTGAGCCAAACGTGTCGTCAAAAAAAAGTCGTCAATTATTATAAGATTTAACAATTTAATTCAAATAGCATTATTTTAATAAATTACCTTTGTAATTATACTTTAAACACTTAACATTTAAAGTCATTACACAGTTAATTTACTAATCAGTTTATGAAACTAAGCAAAATTAACCCAATGTCAGGAAGGATGTACTAAAACTGCAATAACCTATTTCTTTAAAAATTAGAGAAACTTAAGAAGGAAGTTCTGGTAATTAATCAATATGATAGAATATTAAGTGTTTAAAGTAAGTACATTATGCAGTATGACATGGTTTAAGTATATCAATAACAATGAGTATATTAAGAGATATTTTTTGGTCGCGTCTATACCTGCGTGTTACCTCAATAAACTGGCTAGTGTATCTAGTAATAGTAGTAATGTAGTAAACCTATTTTAGAATCAGTTCAGGGGTTACATAGAGTTATCCTATCCAACATACATACAAAAAAAAGTTTTCCTCGTTGTAGGTGAGCAAAATGTAAGATAATATATATAAATGAAATAAGGAGAGTTAGTACTTATTTGCAAGCTGTAACCTATTAAATACAAAACAATTGCGTGTTTAAATAATACCGTTCATGCACAAACATTTTATGCGGATATAACTCTCATTAGAAACCTGTAGGGACTTCCTAAATACATAAATGTGTTCGTTATAAAATTTTAACTAAAACTTTGTTTACGATCTTAAGCTAATTTATGTGTTGAAAAAGTTAAAATAATTTTAGTAGACAAAAATACTAAGGAATTTTGTAAAAAAAATATAATTATTCTGCGCAAAAAATACTTTATGCTAGACTATTTATTAGATACCTTAAATATAATAATCATATATCAGTTCAGTTACTGACAGACAACATACAGATTTAACACGAATTTTATGAAAAAGGTTACTTTTGACGACTAAGGTTTTTGGTAACTCAATCTCCTTAACGGGTTAACATATGTATATACATTTTAACATCTTTAAAGGATGAAAGTTTATATAAAAGCTTATCATTAGTAACATTTAATATTATCTACTCTACATTATATATAGAGGAAATCCCATTGGGCTCACTGCTAATAATTTTTATTTTCTTATATCTCTATTAGATGCTAGTCGTCTCTTTCCTTTGCCTCACTTGAATTCGTAATTAGTACCTAAGTGAACCACCAACGGAGATCTAAACTAAGAGTCACGTAACACGTAAGAACTGTTCCAGGGTCTTTGTAGATTGCCGTATAAAAGGACCGTGAAACAAAGAGTAGTGTCATTGACCTCAAATTAAGCTTTTAAAGCTTTGTTTTCAGTATAACCTATCATATATTTTAAATAACAACATATCCTGTATTCTATTTACATATAAGAGTATTTATTTAAATAATATAAAATATTGTGTTGCATATTTAAAAAATTGGGCACGCAACATGTTTATTTATAAAGCAGAAGAAATCCTGCTTCTCAATAACAAAAACTAAATAAAGCCATCCACTGAGCGCCAAGCTTTCAAATAAAGGCCTCCTCACAAGATCTAAAATTATATAGTCTCTCATCGAAACCTAAGTTCCTGGGCCTTTATAACTTACCGTATGAAAGAGCCGCAGGACAAAGCGAAGGGCAACGACCTCCGCTCCATACCTGGTTACAGCTACATAATAACAAGCTATAATATGGTGTATTGCTCATGTGAAAAACACAATATCCGTAATGGAAAAAGCTCACTTATTTTTGGATTTCAGAAAAAATATTGCAATTTATCAATTTTTGATATTAATTTGGAACTTTTAATTAACAGTATAAATGATTAATAACAAACCTGCCTTTGTTCATTTTCACAATGATCGTTGATCATAATTATTGCGTTTTTTTTTAGATCAATTGATGGCGTATCTCCAATCTCTATATATAATACTTATACCCATGACTTGCATCTCTTCGGCTTCGTTATTGGAATTGTTCTTCTATATCTTTAATAAATATTGAACGTTAGTAATTTATTGTTTCAACTCAATGAAGTAAAAATTAATCGATACCTACAATTATAATTATCTTTATAAGGTAATAGATAAACATTTTATGTTATTTAAGTACATACATTACATAAATAAAGTTGACCACAAAAATACTATATACTAATATGACTAGAATATCCCAAAACATATATTTTTTTATATTTTTTAATCCTTAATTATTAGAAAAGAGCCATAACTTTTATGTTGTATGTAAAATAAAAAGTTTTTTATTAATATTTTTGGAACATGCTATAAACAAACAGATCGCCTTAATACATTTTATGTTTTTAATTTAATTTATTGTAATAAAATGTTGTTTTCATCTTTATTATTGCCGTAAAAGAAAAAAGACGAGTTATTAGTAATTTCAATTTATTTTGTTGACCAAAACGTGGAATAAAATCTACCTACAAAATCTGTGCATATTAAATAGGTGATAACATTATATTCCATTCTCTTCAAATCTTTGCCAAGTGCGGGAATTGAATCCCTAACTTTCTATTTAATAAAAATGCACATATTTATTTACTCATCACATACATATTTGCATTAAATAAACAAAAATAAGCGTATCATGTTTTATTTGAATACAAGCGACTCACCTTCGCTTCGCTCGGGTTCGTCCCTACGTAATTATTTAAATTGATATAGCTTCTTTATTTATGAACCGATTGATGTAAAACAATAAAAATACTAAATGCTAAGCGAAGCTTACTACAATACACTAGTGAAAACCGCACCCAAATCGGTTAAACCGTTTCTGAGATTAGCGCGCACAGAAGCATAGAAAAACAGGCAAAAATTCTAAAAATCATTGTTTTAGGTTCTATTCCGTTAATAAAGATCTCCAATAATAGTTTCAAATATCTTCCATGAACAGACAGCGATCAGTTACGCTTTTATTATACGTATAAATAAATTCAACCTTCAAATATCCCAAGCATGTATTATATTTGTATAGGTGTATTTGTGTGTGCTTTACTCAGCAATTCTGTAAACACAAAGGTACACTTTAAAATAGTTTATACACATTTTATGCCTTATCCCCTTGAACTATGGCATATTTTAAAAAAATATTTTAATGTAGGAAATTCGAAACTAAATGGAAACAGAAAATGTGTATTCGTACATTTTGTAGTTCACATTATAGAATGCAGTTTATTGAACAGAAGTTTATAACTGATCAATACTAATATAGTGGTGTAAAAAATAAATGCAATAGTTAATTGTCGGTGCAAAATGGATCAGAAACCAGTGGAAACTAGACAACTCCTTAATAAAGTCTTACCGAGGGACGTATTGGTAGAAGTGGAAAAGTATGTATCTGTAACTAGCTTTTGTTCGCGGTTCCACTCGCTTAGTTTATTTAGGTATATATCTTATAGTAGCCATAACATTCCTCAATAAAAAGGGCATAAAATGCAAAATCAATTTTTCAAATTGGACGGTAAATTACTGAGTTAGCGATAGGAAATAAACAAAAAATAATGATTTTTATTATATACTAGCATTGCCCGCGACTCCGCTCGCGTTCAGATAATAAAAAACCAAATTCTTAGGTTTTACATATTAGTATATCCTTACATTGCAGTTTTTGTATTTTTTCAGAAATGAGACATTTGCCCGCGGTAAAAAGTATCCTATATGTTGACCCGGATAACCAGCTATCATCATACCAAATTTCATCAAAACCCCTCCGGTGGTTTTTCCATGATGCGGTAACAGACAGACAGAGAGACCGACAAAAATTCTAAAAACTATAGATTCGGCCTCTGTATCGAAAATAATGTTTATTTCAATAAGATTTTCCAAAAAATATTACATGTACAGAATCGGCTAAGTTACAATTTTATTATATGTATAGATTTATAATGTTCTATGAACATTAATAATATAATTGTTTTTTTTTATTATTATTACGATAAGTCTCAAACCCCGCGAACGTTTTATACCATTTACAGTTTTATGAGATAAATGCTGTTGTGTTTCCTTAAGCCTAATAAAACATAGATTATTATAAAATCTAAGTTAAAATATTCAAAGAATTAAACATCATAAGCAATTTTAAAACTGCATATCGTTTTTTTTAACTTAATCGCGTATTTTTTAAAGTACTAGACTTAAGAATCATTTAAATCTAAAATATTAATATTTCTATTTCTAATTAACTTGTTTTTAATAAAAAAAAATCATTTCCAGAGGAGAGAAGCTTTATGTAACCGCTGATAAACGTGGAGAAAAGGGAGGTTGCAAGCGTCCTCTATGTTGGACTCTTTTAGGACTCGTCGTAGCAGCTATTGTCGCACTCATCGTTTTAGCAGCAAGTATGTTATTAAATTACTTTACACCTTATTTCTTACAGATTAAAAGCTACAATAACTTTTATTTCGATTTCTTGAACTATTCGATATGGACATTTGACAGTATTTCATAAATATTTCACTATCAAAATTTACTTCATATATTTTACAAGCAAAAGTAAATTTATCTTTCTTATATTTTTAATAAGAATAGGACATTCAAATTCAACGTACTAGATGTGTCCTCGGTAGTATAGTGGTAAGTATCCCCGCCTGTCACGCGGGAGACCGGGGTTCGATTCCCCGCCGGGGAGAAAACTTTTTGGTAAGGATTTCTTTTTTCTTACCTTTAAATTAATAGTAATTCTAATTGTATAGAAATCTGATAAATTAACAAAATCAAATTGTTTTAATTTTTCGTGTAGTAGTAAAGTATAAATAGTATGAATTTTTACTTATCTCTATATTTAGTCTTACTCTTATCATAACAAAATGATAAAATTTCTGTTATCAATAGGCGAAAACCCCATATTCGATATTAAATTGATTTATTAATTATAAACATAATAATTGAGAAAGTTTTTCGCAATATATTTATCCGAGCGTTAATACAACCTAGTTGGATACGCTCTGGAAAACCTAAGGCATCTAACCTGCAATGTGACATAGTAAGATTTGCTTACATCAGATCATATTCTTCAAGAGAGAGTAACAAGTACATTATACTATGTAACTTAAATCCTAGATTAGCCGAAAAACTACTTTAATAATATCTAGTGACCCACGCTCACTTCATTCGAGTACGTCCCGAGAGGCCCTTCCCGTTTATAATATTACTTCAGAAAGGGCGATTATATTCCGACTTAATTGCAGAATATCATCTTACCAGTAGCTTATTTTCACATATTAATATAAATTAGCCTATTAGTGAAAACCGTACGAAAATCTGTACAGTAGTTTGTGAGATTAGAACAAAGTAAGCGTGGCGAGGGACTTTTATTTATAATATTTAGTAAAAAAGTATTCTCTTATTTGAATGCTATATTCAAATAAAACTTAATAATATCATCCAGTGCAGTATGATTAAGAGCACTGCTTAGAATCCGGAAAGTGTAAACCTTTTGTATTTGCTATTCGAACACCTGTCTCTGAATCATATTATTACTCACTTGTGAATTTCAAAAGGCATTCGACAATAAAGGTGATAATTTTTATGTAGTATCTTGTGCCTTTCTCTTTATACACTCAAACTCAGATAGTCAATATTCCAAGATTTATATAAAATCTTCAACAATAAGTTTTTATTTTCAGCTGGAATCCTCTTCGGTAACTCACCTACACCCCTCGAGCAATACAACGCATCGGTTAGTTCAGCGCGCGCGTTTGGCGGCATCACCGGTGATCACAGTAGCCATAATCATGATCACAGTGGCCACAATCATGATCATAGTGGTCATCATCATGACCACGACCACGACCACAACGAACACGACCACGATGAAACCACGCCCTCTGAATATAGCGCAGACACACAAAATGACGAAGCACATGGTCCTTTGTCTGAAGAATCTGACGATACCTCTATGTATGGTAAGTGGAAATATTAGATACTAGGTTATCCTAAGTCCGATACTAAGTACTAGGTAAAATATAAATGTAGCTATTAATATTTTAGTATATTTTATTCTTATGAAAGACCCTCATCGTTTAAATTAGCAATGTATTGCTAAGTATGAAATAGAAACTGACACTTACGCTTTACGATTTAATGAATTTAATGAAAGTTTGAGTAATTTCATGTTTCTATACTCATGATAAATCGTACATATACTTTTTCAGGTAATTCTTTTTAAAATAAGCTTTATTGTACATACATATATCGGTTTAGACCACAACACAACGACTTTTTTTTAAATATCTGTCTGTCTATGTGTCTAAGAATAAGCTAATAAAAGCGTATTGAAAGAGTTTATTCCTTATAATTTCAGTGCCAAGAACAGTAGAAGGTGAATTAAAGATTGACAATGAAATATTCGTGCCAGCAATGGAAGATCCAGATAGTGAAGAATATAGAGAGTTCACGTCCACTTTCACAGACGCATTGAAACACGCATTATTTGACAGAAACAGTATGGAAAATGGCGACAATGAGATAATGATCGAAGTTGTTCAGATAAGGTAAATCTAAAATATAAATATTTATTTTCACTTATTATATATATTATATATAACTAGTTTTTACCTGCGGTTTCTCTCGTATCACACCTTAATCACGAAAAGTAGCCTATGTATTTATCAAGGCTAGATTTAAGCTTGCTCCATTACAAATTTTGCTTATATCCATTGAGCAGTTAAAAGCACGGAGAAATAACACTAACTTATAAGCTTTCACATTTATTTAAATGTGGGTCTAAATGTTGAAAATTATTTGAGTACAGGAAGCTACATTATATGTAAATAACCTACTTTTTAGTGTAGTACATCCGTAATTTCTAAAGGATACGCGACGTGTTCTTAGAGCATAAACTAATCAAGTAGCTAGTTTAATCTGATATTTTTACTAATATTTTATTTATTTATACTGATATTTTATTTGCTACGAGAGGAAAAAACATAATAATTCTACCTTATTTCATTGTCTTAACTCCACCTTCATAATGCCGTGCAAAAATATAAGACAGGCATTTTGTGTAGTACCACAAATATTAACCTCATGCAGTTGCTGAAGCCGTGATGTTAATGTTTAGACATTTGTTTTTAAATATAAAATAATTCCTGATTACGTTGAAATTTATCTATCCTTGAACAGAAATTGAATAAAATGTTCACAATCGAGATTAAAAAGTTAACATAAATATGTACTATCCATTATTATCTTCTTTTAATATACTTAACTCTAAAAAATCATTTCCCTATAGAAAGATTTTTTACCATAATGTAGATTATCTTTCACGATAATAAAGCTGCAACTATTTGAATAAAACTTTATAAATATAACCCTTACAATTTTTGTTACAGAAACGGATCCGTCATAGTCACATACAGAATCCATTGGATACCGAAACACAATACCGACACCAATGAAGAACTACTTACAGCAAAATCTCTTAAAACAAACCTAGATAACTACCTAAACACTAACAACAGAATGATCAGCGTATACCACGTAGCTGAAGAAAACATAAAAGCAAGACCCGTCCTTGATCTATGCAAAGTCAATAATAACGATTGTGAATATAAATGCGAATTCGACGACTCCAATCTAGATTTCATTTGTACTTGCCCACATGGACAGATCCCAGATATGCATTCACCTAAGAAATGTATATCATTTTTAGATGAACAAAACATTCACGAAACAAGTCATAAAGATGCCAGTGCAAGTACTATGAGGTCTGTTTCTGAAGAAGACAACTCAGATACTGACGATGTACAAGCCAAAGAAAATGAGTTTGATTGGAAACAAAAAGAACATTTCGTGCCGGACACTACAACTGAAACTGATCATGACCTGAATTTCCCTCATATCTTTGGTCATTCAAGTTCTGAAGATCCTAAACCTGAACCAGAACCAGAGCCTGTACAAACCTCCCCTGTACCACAATCATCTGAAGAAGAACCAAAACCTGAACCCGGAGCTGAACCTGAATCTACAGAAGTACAACCTGAGCCTACAGCAGAACCAAAGCCAGAGCCCGAACCTGAACCAGAATCAGAAAGTGAACCAAAGCCTGAACCTGAACCAACTATCGAACCGCAACCAGAACCGGAACCAGAACCAGCTGCAGAACCACAGCCAGAACCAGAGCCTGTACCAACTGCAGAACCTAAGCCGGAACCCGAACCTACATCTGAACCTGAACCGTCATCAGAAACAAAAGCAGAACCTGAACCAATTGCTGAACCAAAACCAGAGCCCGAACCAACCGCAGAACCAAAACCTGAACCGACATCAGAACCGGAACCAACGGCGGAGCCTAAGCCAAATATGGAATCATCTTCCGAAGTAACGCCCATACAACATCCCTCAATGGAATATGAATCTCGATCTAAGCAAGGATCAATAGACGCAATACCTATTATCTCAGAACAAACAACTAATAATCCAGAAATGCAACAAACAACTATTACAAATTCTGAACATATGCCAAATAGTGAAGAACACCAAGATGAAATGACTCAAGTGAATACTACACCTAGGCGCATATTCGATCACCCTACCTTTGACTTGGATAGTTTAATGGGACTTCACACTACGTCAGAATCTTCACAAACAATATCTCCCGAAAATGAAATTCAGCGAAACATTGAATTGGAACCACAAAATGAAATGCCAATGACTACCACCACTATGAGGATATCCATTTCAGAGCCTGGTGCCATAAATGAACCATCATATGAGCCAAACCCCGAAATCATATCTATATTAAAAGAAAACGGAGAACAAGCGAAGTCAAATGATTCTGATGACGATTGGCTACAAGTAGATGATAACAATATGAACGTGATCCCTTCAAATGCCGATACAACTACAGTTGCTAATGAAAATTCAAATACCCAAATGCAAAGCGAAAGTAATGATAAATCAGAACAGCGATCATCTAAAACATTCAATGATTTTCTCGCCGAAGAAACAACTGATAAAGTTAACGAAAACAAAAACGATGACATAACATTTGATCTTATCCAGAAAAATAATGAAATGCCTTCTGTAGAAACTACTACACTGATGTCTGAGGAAAATACGCAAGTTCCCGTATTCATACCATCAGGGCCAATCAATATTGAATCAAAGGACAACACAAATAAAAAAGCTATGGAAACCACCACAATGAATGTATTAATGAATAAAGTAAGTGAACAAAGCCAAGATGAATCCAAATTAAGCCAATTTGTAACAGAAAACAATGTATACGATACACAAGTAAATAATGAAAATAAAGTTATTATCAATACTGATTCGCAAAGTCCTGCTTTAAATGAGAAACCAGAACTCCAAACTACTACTGAAGTAGAACAAAATATGCATTCTATAAATGAGCAAAATGATGATTCTGATGACGAAAAGAAACTGGTTATAGCGCTGGTTCACACTACAACTCCCAAGCCTATCTCTGAAGGAATGCCAGAAATGGAAAAGGACATGTCAAATGAAAATTCGGATGTAACGTTCGATACAATTAATATGCTCTACAATCGATCATCTAAAGCAATAGTGAATCAAGAAAACAAAATTGAAGATATAACTGTGTCTAACAACAATGCAGAAGCTACAACAGAGTCAGACTGGCTGTCAGAATCCGTCACAGAAGTTAACTATGAAGATGTTGCGAAAAAAGAAGAGAAAATTGAAACAACAGAAACTTCTGCCGCTAAAATAGAGGAAATAATGGGAACGGGAATGAACAAAGACGATTTTGAACCTGATTATTTAAATAACATGGAGACTATCACGAAAAAAATGTCAGACCAGAGTGATGTAATGTACAATATGTCGCAGGATTACGATAGTGATGATGCTAGAGTTAAGCGAGTAAACGATCAAGTAGAAAATTCTGATGAAAACGGCACAAATAGTATACATGATGTATCGATATCAAGTTCTAAGGTAAACCCGGTCGAAACTACAACTGTAGGGCAATATATATACAAGGTTGCGGAGAAAAATGTAAACGAAATGACCGCTAATACTGAAAGTTCACTTCCACACCCTGCACCAGTGTGGGAAGAGATTGAACCAGAAAGGGAAACACCAGTCACTGAACAACCAAAACCAGAGCCGGAGGAGAGTAGAGTGAATAATAACGTCAATGTTGTCACACCTACGACAATGCCGCCAACCACTGTTGCTAACATGGGAGAAATGGAACAAATAAATCCATCAGAAATGGATGCTGCCTCTCAAAACACAACACAAGTAAGCAATTTAAACGTAACAATATACGAGATATCTAGTCCGAACGATAATGTATCTTTCATCACAGCAAAACCTGCAGTTCAAGATTTCGAAGATCATGAAACAGAGATGAACCCTTTCTTACCTGAAGTCGAAAACAACAAGAGTCTCGTGAAAAAATTACAAGAAGGCCATGATATAAACGAGCCTACGAACTTAAATGAAACGCAAAACGAAAACGTGGAAGAACATAACAACTCTGATAAAGTAGTTATGGAAGCTGGTCAGGCTGATAAAACGAATGAGCCTGTTGCCATACAACCAGAACAAGTAACAACGGCACCTAACACGAACGATATGTTCAATCAACTATATACTAACAGCAACCCTCAAATAAATTCTGATTCTAGCACAGCCGTAAACAAACCCGTTACATTCTCACCAATAAGTGACGAATCACAAAACACCGAAGCGAACGAAAAAGTTATACCTATTTCGACATTTTTATTAGACACAGACGATTTAGACACTACCAGAAGGCCGACTGGAATTCCGAAAAATGAATTGGAAAACACTTTGTCTGGTGAGATAGTAAAATCTGAGGGAAATAATAATGAATTTCTTAGTGTAGTGCCCATAGAAGATGTAAGTAAAGATATAAAGAAAGACTACAGCGGTGACAATCAAGAACTTAACTTCATCAGTGATTCACCCAAAAAGAGTGACAGAAGATTAGACGTAAGTAGCTTAGACACTAATGAAGCGTAGTATATCAGTTATTAAAGCAGAATTGTGTACATTATTCATTTGGGTGGTCCAAATTCCGAACAAATACTTCCTTCCGGTGTTAATATTTTTAACAAAATTACCTACTTCACATAATCCATAATATACGAGATATTCTTATTCAAATATAATAATTTTGTAAATGTGGTTATGTAATATAATGGCAGTGCACAAATCCTTTATTTTAAAGTATTTTAAAGTGTAGCAAAGGAACCGGAAGGACATATTGAAGCGCCCATTTCCTGTGATTGAATTTTTTAATTTTCCATATAACAACCGCATGTTTCTTGCTAAGATTCCAAATGGTTCTAAGTTTGTTAATACTAAAGATATTTTACCTATTGATAACTTGTTTTTATATTAGACTAGTCAAATTAGAAAAAATAAATCATCATGAGGATTTTATTTATTGCTTCTACGACATACATACGCGGCCAAAAATGTATTATTCTTTTAATCCTGATCTTCATGAGCGAAGATATTTTTTTTTTTAAATTGTTACCATAGATAAATGTATATTTTATAATATTAATCCCCTTTATTATTTGGACGTGGATATGACTTGTAAATAATATGCACAGAGTAAGTTAACACAGACGATCAATGACAATAATAAATGATCTATTTTTATATCTTCATAATAAATAATAATAATAATTTGATTAAAAACTATAACTTACTCTATGTATATTTTTATGGCAAAACCTAACTGATCACTTAACTGTATAGTTGTAAATTAAATATACAAGTTTTATCTTTATTAAGAATGAAACGATCTATGCCGTGTGATAGTTCTGAAGAAGTGGCATTCCATTCGATATTACTTAGTGATACTTTACAGAAGTGATGTCTGATTGTAAAATAATTTTTATTGTAGTTCTTTGTTAACTAAGATATATTGTATAATATGGTTGAATATGTAAAGAAGTATGTTGTAAATAAATATAAAGTTAATAATAATAAAAATGCCTCTTATTTCCTTATAAATCATGTGCCTCCCAAGTTCTAATTAGGTTTTCATTAAATATTACAAATTATTTTTAAAATGTTCAATTTGAAAATTCCCTTCTGCAACTGCAATAAATTTTTATAGCATCGATCAAAAAGTACTAGATATACAATCCCATGCAAAAGATCTCTTAAAAGCTAGGTGCAGGTGTTAAGGTGATTATCCTAATTGAAAAAAATATACAACAATGTAAATTGAACCTTAAATACATTGATTAAAATTGTTTATGTTAAAACACAAAAAAAATCGAAAGTAAAACCAACGTTAATACTCAAAATGTATAGGTATATTATTATATTTATCAAATATATGACATAGACGGCTTATACAGTAACTTTACAATATTACATAAGAAATCACAGATAATTACAAAGACATACTTGGCCGAGGTGTTATTTCATCCATCTGTTGCGAGATCATTTGTTGATCATCCATCGCCATTTTAGCGCACAGACACTCTTCACTTATATCACCGCTCCCACTCACTATACATTTACCTAAAGCCGCTTTACAGCCATAGGAAATATTATTTAAATCAATACTTGTCTTTTTCATACTAAAATCTATATCAGAATCAAATAAATCCTTGATTTTTATGGCACCATCTTTAGTACACTCTAATGGAATATTTGAACTTTCGTTAACATTTTTTGAGCATTCACAGCCTTCACACATATTTATTGAACCAATAGATTGGTCGATCAAACTTCCTTTTAGTTTTACTTCTTTCAATTTAACTGGTTCAAAATCATCATTTGGTAGTATTGAATCATAAAAATTGTACGCTTCATTTATTTGAGAACATAAACAACTTGAGTCTTCGTTAGCTATACATTTCCCTAGAACGGACTTGCAATTTTTAAAAACTTCAATGTTATTATTATATGTTTCAATATCATCTTTTACATCGATTGATAAGTCCTGGGTTACTTCTTTTAGCTTGCATTCATGTTCTTCGTCAGCTTCTTTAATACTTCGATCACATTTAGGACACACTTTATCTGTAAAAGTGATGTAAATACTCAAATAAATTTAAATTTTAAATAAAACTATCTCTTCGGATTTTTTCGCGGATTTATTGTGATTTTTGGTTTCCGACGTTTCGAATGCTTTGCAGCAATCATGGCCGTGGGAGAGACACTCCCGAAATAATAGTTTTATTTAACATGTCAAATATTCGGGTAAATCTAAGAAAGTATTAAATTTATAGTTAGTACCTATATTTAATGATAAAATTTGAAACACATAAAAAAAATTGATAATATTTTGCTAATCAAAATAGATTATCACAAGACCTAGTAGGGTAGACGAAAATGAGTCATTTTATCTGTTAAAGTGATGTAACTACTCAAATAAAACACTTAGTATTTAATTATTAAATTTGGAACAGAAGAAAATTTTATTTCATAATTTACTAATCAAAATAGCTTATCACACGCCCTTATCGCGTAGACGGGCTTAACTCAATGGTAAATTACTGTTTCTCTGTTCTGCTTTTTCTAATTTTAATATAGGAGTTAGTTTTTTGGATCGCACAACACAGAGAAGGAACCCAACTCCTTTCTAGGTCTTAAGTCTTAACAACCTCAGCACTAATATCGGCACATTCAATACAAATAATAATCTCCGCCCCCAAAACAAATACCGAGTCGAACCCACGACTTGTGTATGCACCACATACGACATCATAATAAATTGCTCAAGAAAGGGGAATCTAAAAAATGTTGTTTTTTCGAATAACTTAACTGTGAAAGAAAATAAAACTTGAATTTATTAAAAATTGAGAAAATCGAAAGTAATATTAGTTTAAAATATGGTAACAAACCTGTCATAGAATTTGAATTAATATCAAAATTGGAGTCCGATGAATTATCACTGTGTAATGTGATCCCTGGAATTGCAGATAAGATGAATTATATAATAAACTAGTGACTCAGTCTCGCTTCGCTCGGGTTCGTTCGTACCTAAGTACGTTTTAATGGTTATAATGGATAACGGAATAGATAAACTATATATTATATGTATACATAGGAATGTGAGTTATTGTGGGTTGTATTATAACGTCTTTTCCAGTGGGAATGAGATAATCTCCCGCAGTAAAAAGTCGCCGTGTCACTCTCCAGTCCTCCAAATATATCCACATAAAAAATCATGCCAGTCCGTCAATCTGCTTCGACGTGAAAGAAGGACAAACAAACAAACACACTTTCACATTTATATTAATATTGACCGATTTCGACCTCGGCCGCCAGAATATATATAATATAATAACCGATGAGAGATCTAATGCAGGTTCAAGCTTTATCTGCTGCATCAAAAGCACGGGGGTCTAAATCCGCCAACTTCCCACCTTGGACTAAGAATTTATGATAGAATATCCCAATAACTGTACTTTGACTGACCTGGGACTCGAACCCAGGACCTCTCCATCTGCAGACGTACATGGTAGTTGCTAGGCCAATGGGACTAAAACAAGTTCAAAAATAAAAAAAAAATCAAGAAAATAATTTATAATTACCACGAAGGTGGTCATCAAGATACTGTTTTCTGTAGTGTGTTTCAGATGCAAACTTCTTGTCACTATTTTGCTCAGTGCTCGGTAGGCAGTTTTCCAGCTCATGTGTTCTAAGGTGAGATTTTAAATGATGAGCCTGGATGAACCCTGAAAATAATAAAAATATCAAATCATTCAATATAATCAGAATCAGGTAGTCGAAAAAAATAACTGTTAAGTTGCTTTATCAGCTATTGTTAAGCTAGGGACATCCATTAAGTACAAAAATGAGGGTTTAAAAGTAATATGTAAGCTATAAAAAAATTATTAATCCATGACCAGTTTATTTAATACCTAATACATTATGTTATTGTATTTTAAATAAACTATGAGTCAAATTGATATAGCCATATATGTAACTTGTTATTTTAAAATATAAAACTAAAACCACATTTCAGACATTGCACTTTGATAAATGGACACAAATATTATACAGTTTTAACTCTAACATGAACAACATTTGTCATACAATGACTCATCTTTTTGCATAATAAGACTGAAATAATACTCATTTATTTATCTCAATGCCTAATCCTTCACTTCAAACAATATGCTACACAGTACAGTATAAGTATATAGCTCTCTGAGCTATAAATTGTATGTGAAATAAATGTCTATTTGGCTCTTTATATATGAAAAGAACAATATAAATGTCTTTCATTTATATTGTTCTTTTTCAAATAAACTAACAAATTGATAAACAAACATGTATCCACATTTATTATTAGTAAAGAAGTAAGAATTTACATTCTATACATTAAATTGTCTTTTGCATTAAAACTTTTAACTCTTTCAATTTGGTACGATTTTTGCAAATACATATAATAAATATTCATGGACAAAATAAAAGAAATTAACAAACTTTCATGTTTGTCTGTAACAATATCCTTATAATCAAATATAAACCATTTATTTCCCTGTAGTTACAATCATAATTGCACCTACCAAACAACTAAATGGCAGAGCTCAATAGCCAAAAGAAATGTGTATACACAGATGAAAAGATGGGCCAATGATATAATAAACACAGCAGAAAAAGTTGGATGCATGGACAAAGACAGCGAAAGGTGGAAAAGAATGGAGGCTTTTACCCACATAACAAAGAAAGAGAAAGGAAATAATTAAAATTGGATGTATATTAGTAAGTATTGTTAAGTAGAAAATAAAAGCTATAAAAATGCTTCAACAATCACGAAAATGCGGGCATGGCAGTTAACAATTGATTTCCCAGAAACTAACCACGGAGGCGATAATAATAAAAAATAATCATAATTTAACTAAAATTGAATGAATACATTATTACCTTTTCCACATATTTTGCAATAATGTTGTTTTGTATTTGAATGAGTCAATAAATGATGCTTCAAATGGTGTGAGAAATTAAAAGATTTGTCACAACCACTGTAACTGCATTTGTATCTTCTTTCTATCTTTGGCTTATGTGTCTTTAAATGAGATATTAAAGCTAAGTCACTATTGAATTTTGCATCACATTTTGAACATATATAAGTACCTGTAAATATAATTAAACAGAATTCAATTTTTATTGTTAATGGTGATTTTAATTACAGCAGATAACTTTACCTTTTCATTAATTTTTTCAACTTGTCAAATAAAAACTTGTTATGTTTGTAAGAATTCAAAGAATCTATTCTATATATATCACATTTTTTTGTTCGATTATAATTCATTGTACTAATATAGCATCATTTTATCACTATATGAACATGGTAGGTTTGATACCTACCTTTATGTGCATAAGTCATATGTCGCTTAAGAAGGATATCATCAAGAAATGTGCGTCCACAATCATTACATTTAACACTAGAAGTCCTTTCATGCTGTTTTAGATGCCTTTTTAAGGCTGATCTGAAAATTTTGAAAAGTGATCATTAAATTGTTATTTAAATATATTTTAACTAAGTTGCAAGGCAATATCTTACTTGTATTTTTTCCTTATAAATTAAGTACAATACTATAACATTGATAATAAGAAAAAGTATAATTCATATTCTATTTAGTGTAATAATAAAATCATAAATATTATCAACTTACAAAAAACTAAACTTTTTTGAACACACTTTACACTCAAATTGTGGAATATGACTTATTTCATGTCTTTTCTTCTCGCTTTCATATTTAAATTGTTTAGAGCAGTAACAGCACTTTAGCATTTTTGTTCTACCATAAAAAGCTCGTGATTTATTCTCATAACTTATCAGCAATCCTTTGATTGAGATCTTTAAGTTTCAATTTAAGCACAATTTACATCGACAATGTTGTTATGAATGCAAAGCACAATAGATATTAGAGACTAACTGGTAGGTAAAACTGAGTAATGAGTACACGATCTGAATGCTCTAAATAAAAAGGGAACTAAATATCGTTTCTAACTTGTACAAGACTGTTTATCATAACATTAACAAGAACATAAGTGTAAATAATTCAAAAGTCAAAATGATTTATAATGTCATTTGTCAATGTTCTGTCAAACGTGAAATATATGGTTGACAAAAATAAAAAAAATATTATTCATGCTTTTCTACCATTTTGCTAAACACTTCATAGAGGTATAGTTTATTAATCATCCATGTTGGTGACAGGAGATCTGCTCATATTTCGCCCAAAGAATCGACAATCGACATCAGCAAAGACGCCACTCAGCGGGGGAATGCGGCGGATCCACATAATCGTCTAGACAAAAATCAAAATACATTTTTCCAATTCCAATATGATTGAACATTTTAAAAATTTTCTCTGTTTGTTCCGGGTAATCTCCAAAACGGCTGGATTGATTTTGACAGGACTTTCACTGGCAGATAGCTGATGTTATAATTGGTAACTTAGGCTACTTTAAAAAAGAAATAGGGTTCTGCTAAAAAACAACGTACTCAGGGACGCACCTGAGCTCAGCGAGTGTAAGTCGCTACTCGCTAGTTGTAAATAAAGTATAAAAAAGAAGTATTAGAGGTATCAATTATTTTTGCTTATTATTCTCTTTTTATTAAAAAACGAATCATAAATCGTCTTAATAATAATAATAATATTAAGCCCCAAAATATAGTTTTTATTTTTATTTGTTACACGTTGATCTCTGGATTTACCAGACAGATATGATTTTTACTGTGCATTTCGTACCACTTCTAGGGATTGTATCGTTCATTGGCTTTTAGTAATTCCAAGAGATCTCTGTAAAGATATCTGTAGAGATAATATTTAATTATAACTAATATAAAAAGATTTGTACATTATTTAAATCTTGATTTTAGAATTTAGAATCATACAATTTTTAATTTAGATTTATATGAAAAAATACCAGAAACTCTTCCGGGCCGAAAACCCGGACTTCACATTTTTTAAACTATCAGCATTTCTATATTGCTTGTTGAACTGTCTTTTATTGTATGGCCTCCGTATTATATTGTAGCTTGGCTATCACAGATCAGGAATACAATTTCATTTATCATAGGGGGCGGCGCGGGCTCACCAAAATTGGCCCCCCAGGAAAATTTTTTTTTTTCAAATTTTAAGCTATTGCATAGCTTCTATCGCGGGCCTTGAGCGTGGGGACCGAATCCAGAAATTCCGTACCGAAAAAAACCTGACACCCCCCACTCCGACCGGCACAGCGGTGATACTTTTTAGTTTTTCCATCTATCGATAAATACCAGAACTTTTAATGACTTTTTGAAATATCACGCTTGTCTCTTTAGTTCAGCAACCCGCCTTTAGGTGGCATTGGTTGTATTGGAAAACTACCGTAATCAGCTGTTTGTGAGAAAGTATATAGGTGTATAGGTATCATCTATGTACAACAGTGAATATCTGTACTCGTATAATTTGTGTACAAAGTGTTTTAAATATGAATAAATAAAGTGCATTTATTAATGAAGAAAGTCAAGAAAAAAAATAATGCATTAATAAAATAAATAAATAATTATAATTGCATAAGTTGATAAAAAATGCTATGCAATAGCTTTACCGCGGTAGTCTCCGAGTGCCACATTTAATTTTAATTATTATTTTCACATATCATTTGTACGTCATTTGTTCTTGATTGTTCGCCTTAAGTAATTGTTTATTTATAAATAATTAATGAAAAATATAATCTCATCTTAGGGGGATAAAATTTTAAGTGCTGGCAACACTGGGTCTGGGTGATATAATTATATTCTTTTTGCTGTCAAATTACGAATGTCAATGTCATCACTCATCTGCAAAATAATTTAATAAAATTCTATGAATATTATTTTGAACAATAATTATTATTTACGATTGAATATATAAATGGCATTTTGCAGACTTTATTATAAGTTACCGCAATGCTGATACCATTTTATAACAATAAAAAGTTTTTTTTTGTCAATAACGTAAACATGTATGTACTAAAATAAATTAATCTTTATAATGAATGAATGAAGACTGTAATAAGCTTACGTAAGTTATGAAGATACACATATTCGAACTAATAAGAATTCATTTCTTATAGAAGAAAGAAATTGGCGCGTGTGCACCATGTACGAGAACCAATTTCATCTGATGCACATTCTACAAAAACATTCGGCATTCGCTTGTGACGACTTTTGTAAAAAGCACGTTGCTTGCCTTGCAGCGTGCTTCCCTTATATAATATTCTTTTTCGTGACATAGAAGTGATTTACAATGCAAGATTGGATTAAAATTACACTTGTCCTGTGCCTTTTTGGAACTCTTAGAGAGATCAGACCTTCTGAGCCTTTCGTCACAGAATTCCTATTGGGGAGATGGCGCAATATTACTGAAGACCAATTAAACCGTGAAGTGTATCCCGTAGGAACATACTCATATTTAGTACTTCTAGTAATAGTATTTCTTATCACAGATTTTTTAAGGTTCAAGCCAGTTATAATTCTATCAGGTAAGAGTTTTTATTTTGCTTCTAGATATTTTAATAATAGTTATTAACAAATGATTTGTTATATTTTAATTATTTCCTTTATATTTAGTGTGCTAAAGTTAACAGTAATTTAATTTTCATTAGATAAGATTAAAAAAAACAACTAAAATAAAGAAAGCTCTTCAAAATACATACCTCTGTGCTTCTTGTTTCTGAATCTAAATGTATTATTTTTTATATTACTTATTAACAACTAATACATAATAAATATGTTATTAATACTATAAGAAATGTGATTTGAATACATTTATAGACAAAATATACTTTATGTTCTTATCTTAATTCTATCCCATACCTGATAAACAATTTTTAGAACATTTTAAACTAGCAAATCACCCTTGCTTCACTCGAGTTTCTTCTTAGTGAAAAACAGAAACAAATCTATTCCACAGGAACTGTACATTTTTCCCAGATAAAAATTGATCTATGTGCTATTCCAGACTATAATCTATCTCTGTACCATTCAGATCCGTTCAGCCATTCTCGCGTGATTGAGTAACAAACATCCATCCAAACTTTTGGATTTATAATATTTATGGGATTAATTTACATTCAATTATAGAGTTGTTTTTTATATTTTAGATTATTGTGTTTCCACATTTATTTTATGTCTGGAAAAAAATTATAAAAATCCTACCTATATATTTTTTATAAAAACTTGATTATTGGTCTTTTAAATCTTTATAATGATGTCTGACTTGATCAATCTTTATTATAGATACATATGTAGATTTTTTATGTATTATCTTAATGGCAATTTAGATTAATTTATTTAATTATATGATATAAAAAAAAATTAATTTAAAACTCAGTTGGTGCCTGAAATACAGAATGAATGGGTGGGTGTGAATCTTATAATTAACATCTGCTAATATGATAAGTAACAGTATTAAGCCTTTTTGTGGTCTTAACATACTATTTACTTGACTGTGGTAAAGCCTAAAGGAGGGCTGTATGTATGTATGTCCTGTGTTCCCTTGTAATTATTGAACAGTTAAATCAAATTGGTGATTCATACATCGTTAGATTCGTCTTGATAACGCGAGTGTCATAGGCTATATAGAAATAGTTAAAAATTAAAATGGCTGAAAAATAAATAGATTTTAGGTGCCAATTTGTGTCTTTAAATATTTTTTTTCCAGACCTATCGAGTATCGAGGGATATCAAAATAAGAGGCGATTATTATTTATTCTATTTCTTTTAGGTTTAAGTGGTATTTCAGTGTATGCGGTGTTATTATGGACAAGCAGCATAGAATGGCTGCAAGTATCGCAATTTCTATATGGACTATATATGGCCACAGAAGTGGCTTATTTAACATATATTTATGCAAAGGTAAGTTACTATTATTATATCTGTAAATGAAAATAAAATATTTGAAATGTAAATTTAACTGTAGATTATCTGTGAATATCTGTAAATCAATTTGAAATCTTCTTGGAATTGCACCTTTTTATGATAGTGAGAAGAACCATAAGTCTCTACCTAGAATTAATATACACATTTACCCATGCAATTAATCTATACTAATATTATAAAGAGGCAAGGCAGAGTTTGTTTGTTTGTCTAAACACGCTAATCTCAGGAACAACTAATCCGATTTGAAAAATTCTTTTTGCATTAAGGCTATAGGCTATATACCATCCCGGAAAATGTACGGTTCCCGTGGAATAGGTTCGCTTTTGTCTAGAGACGAACCCAAAGCGAAACGAGGGTGAGTCGCTAGCTCTAAAAACCTAACAATATTATGACTGTTTCGCCCCTTTTCAACAGATTTGCAGAGCTATAATTTACGAGATGAAGAATGATATGTTATCAAGCAGTTTGGGTAGAATTCAGTTTATTGTAAAAACTTTTAGCTAGAGCAATTCCCATAAGTATTTACATATAGGATAGGAATATGACAGATATGTTGTCGTTATACATATTCTTTTAAACTATAAAGCGGACGAGTTTATTTGAACCCACAAATTTTGAAGTATCAAATTAAAAAAATCTTTTTTTTGAGAAAAGTTTAGGCTCTGTGCGTGCGTGTGTGTGCACCTCCCGTGATCATGATGACGTAAAGCATTCGAAACGTCGGAAACCAAAACCAAATCCGCAAAAAAAGCCGAAAATATAGTTTTATTGAAAATGTCAAATATTCGTGTAAATCTGAGAAAGTATTAGTTATAAAAGTATTTAGATATATATGTTATTTTACAGGTAGATTCCGCAAAATATCCGCTAGTGTCGTCCTACACGCGTATAGCAGCTCTGACTGGGCGATTCCTATCAGGGACCAGCTCACAACTTCTTACTCACTACGGTATCATGGACTATCGGCAACTGAACTACATCACCTTCGTTGGTACGTATCTAGTGAGCGACTTTCCTTTGCTTCATTCTTTCATTAATTGCCCAACTCCTTCCTGATCATAGTGTGTGTTAAAAAATTATATTTAACTTATATTCTCACTATTTTATATTAGTGATAATATATGTTCTATTTATTTCTTTTTATACGTATTTTCTTAATTTAAATAATACTTATTACTTAAAAAATATATACATTTGTTTGTTATTGTATTTGTATCATCAAAATCCATCCAGTCGTTCCAATCGGACGGAGTAACAAACACACAGACCTACAAATTTTCTTATTTATATCAATTATCAGACTTAGTTAAGGCCCGCGACTACGCCCAAGTAAAAAGTACTCTAATTTTTTCAATGTACTTGTTAGCGCCATCTGTCGATAAGCTCTATTTATTTTCGTATACTTTGTTACTTTGATCGCAGATAACTTTAAAATGTATGTATGTATATTATTTTTATATTTTACTAGGAGAAACCGTGGCTTCGCCCGCGTTCAATCTACAAAAAAACTCTTTGGCTTTATGTTACACAGCGACTCATCCGCGATTCGCTCGGGTTCGTCTTTATGTATTTATATAATATTGTTCATGCAAAAATACTAAAAACTGGGTTAAAAAATGGGGGTGAGGGTAGGATGGTGAAAAATACTTTACGACCTATTCTCATACCTACCAAATATACAAAAAAAATCATTAAAATCGGCCGAGCCGTTTCGGGAGGAGTACGACCAGAAACACCGTGACACGAGATATTTATATATTAGATTATAATGGAAATCAATAAATTATAAAATTTATGGCTTCACAGTTTTTTTGGTCATGATGTAAAATCTACAAATAACTCGTTTGCTGTTTATCCTTTAACGCGTAAGATAAAGGAGATGATATTTAAACAATTAATATTTAATTTAAAGACTATACAATGTCATAAATGTATTATTTATCAAAAGATGCTGTACATTATTTTCTAATATAATTAACTTTTTATTGGTATAAAACTTACACCAAATCCAAAATCACTTAAAAATAATTATTTTACTTTTATGTAATAAGAATTAAGTTTATAATAATAATTAATTCAGTGAAAAGGCAGTAGCCCAGTTGTAACGCGCTTGCCATACTCGTAGACACTTTTCCATAAGAATATATAAAATAATAGATTTCAATATGATTACCACTTGTCTTATGGCAAAACATCGTGAGGAAACCTGCATGTCTGAGAGAACCTAGCAAGTTTTCAAAGACATGTGAGTCCGCCAACCCGCACTTGGCCAGCGTGGTGGACTATGGCCTGATCCCCCTCGTATTGAAGGAGGCCCGTGCCCAGCAGTGGGACGGTAAAAAGGGCTGTATACATACAAATTATTAATAAGCAATCTATACAACGGTTAAAGCTTAAACAAACAAATTTACGCACATACTAAGATTTATTCAGTATGTAGGTACTATGTAGGTAATGTAAATTGTAAATAATATAAATTCCTATTTAATTGATTAGATTGCAATTATAATAAACGTCGAGTGCATTGGAGGAGGTCTCTTTAATTGACTCGCGCAAATGTTTCATGCCCACCTCAACGTGACTAGACCAATCTATTTATATAAAAATCGATGGATTTATGTATGTATGTTCCCTATGGACTCCAAAACGGCTTTAGCGATTTTGATGATATTTTCAGGCAATCTTCAGATTAGCGGGTGATCTTGTGAAATTTGGTAGCGATCGAAAGTTCGAACGCGAGTGAAGCTGCGTGTACTGTTATACGTTAGTTAGTAACTAGAAATAATCTGTAATAGCGCAGGTTTTTTAAATTTCTCAGCTGAGCCTTAATATTATCAGATTTACTTTATTTACATATTATAATATGTACATATTGAATAATTTAAATGATAAAAAAGATAATCCTTAATTTAGTAGTTCTTAACGAAAAAAATTACATTTAAATTTTTAAAGTGATAATTTTTTTATTGTTATTATATTTTAAAAAAGCTAGCGGAAAATATATTCACGAAACTTGATATAATCATATTAAGACAAGTATAAGTATGAAAGAGAATGCAGAAATCGCGTGGGCGTTAATGTATGTTCTGCAAAATATACAACAAAATTATAAATGTGAAAGTTTAGATGTTTGGATGGATGTTTGTTACTCAATCACGCCAAAACGACTGAAAGGATCTGGATGAAATTTGCCACAGAGATAGATTAGAGTATGGAATAGCACATAGGTTACTTTTTATCCCGGAAAAATGTACGGTTCCTGTGGGATAGATTTGTTTTTGATTTTCACTAAGAACAAACTCGAGTGCAGCGAGGATGAGCCGCTAGTATAGTCATATTAAGACAAGTATGAACAAGAAAGAAGAAACTGCGTGAGAGTTAATGTATGATCAGCAAAGTAGTACAACAAAATCTTGTTGACGTAAAGATAACTAATGAAAACAAAGCTAAAACTGTTATGATAAGTGACTTAACTTTGTATTTATTTTACGAGGCAAGATTAGATTCTAACAATGTGTAAACTGTAAATAGCAGACGTTTATCTTAATTAAAGCAACTGACTGTAGAATAAAATAAGGAGTTATTTTATAAAAAGTACATTTCCCTTCTTTCGTAGAGACGTCTGTCTGTACAGCGTTATCTGGTCGTAAATATTGAAATTTCGTCGGATAAAGACAATAAAGATTTTAGAATATAAAACTTAATTACCTATTAAGATTATTTCCTATCAAATCGTGTTACATAATTATCGTTTAGTGATGACGCATTGTAGGTATGTATGTGTACGATCTGCCCTCGCTTCGTTCGTGTGCGTCGCTAGGTACGCTTTGTACCTATACAATTTCATGGGATTTAATTTTTTTGCGCGAAACCCTGATCTTTTTCGTAAAATAAAAGTAGCCTAAGTTACTTATAACATAAGCTATCTGCCAGTGCAAGTCCCGTCAAAATCGGTCCAGTCGCAGACAGATAGACAAAAATTAAAAAAAAAATGTTTTTTTCTTATTTAATTTTGTTTCTTTTTATTGTTACAGCACAAATTTTAGCTACATTTTGGGCATTTTGGCTTCCGCCAGTGCCATACGGAATATACTTTCACAGAAAATCTACCGGCAACCCAGCTGAAGTTAATATAAAGGAACATGTTGATAGCCAAACACCCTTACATTTTGAAAAGGTAAAAATATATTATAATAATGAACCTTAACAATAAAAATTAAACCTACGACATTATTTGACCTTTAACAGTGAGAAATTAATCATCGTTATATCGGCTTCTGTATACTTTATAGACATTTTGTAGCCGAGTGCTTTTGCATGAGGGCTGACAAGTGTATGTTTTATTTTTGTTGTATATATTTCGTACGTCAACGGTTTTTTTAATTAGCTGTCTATCCGGTCTTTATCTAAACGCCACTTACCATTAACTGGTTTCTAAGCGTTTACAATTCCGTGACCCTTGTCCGTCCGTGAATGGTATTCTTTATTTATTATATATCTACATATATATGTATCTAAATATTATATTTTTGACAACACGTTTGGCTCAATTCGTTGTGCCTCTACTTGCGGTGCCGACGGTCGTGGGTTCGAGTCCCGCTGGGGGCATTCATTTGTGTGATGAGCACGAATATTTGTACTCTAGTCATATGTGTTTGTATATGTTTATAATATGTTTGTATTTAAAGTTATATATGTGTAGTGTATCAACTAACTGGTATCCATAACACAAGCCTCGTAGCTTACCATGGAACTAGATAGTGATGTGTGTAAAAGTCCCAACCTATTTATTTTTATTTTACCTTCAAATATTCATTGTACGTAGAATTTTGACTGTAAATTATATTTGAAAGATATTTTTTTTAAACATTTTTTTAAAACAGCGCACAATAACCAAAGACATATCAGAGGCAGTAATACTGATATCTAAACACGCGCGCGCCGCCTACAGCCGCCCGCGCGTGCTCGCGTGGTCCGCGCTGTACGCCGCCGCGTTGGCGCTGTTCACGCAGGCGCAGACCTACGTGCAGTTGCTATGGAGGTTTATACAGGAGGAGAGTGATGCTCCGGTGAGTGGTATTTTAATTTTTTTGTAGGTGACTGCCTCAGTGGTGTAGTTTCTAGAATGTCCGGCTGCAGATGCTGAAGTCCTGGGATTGAGCCTCGCGTCGGGTCAAGTTTAATTACTTAGTTTTTGTTGTTAAGATATTCTCAGTAACAACTTGGAGTTGTAGGTATTACAAACCCGTATCTGGGAAAGCACGTGAAGTCATCGCTTGGAAAACCGTTGGTTGTACGCCTGATTTTTGTTATGTAACGTTCATTTGACAGTAAAGTGTTAATTCAAAATAAAACCCTCTCAATTGAGACTAAAGATTATAATGATAAAAATGATAACTGAAAATTCATATCAACATATTTTTTAATCTCCTCATTCTACTACCTACGACGAAACTAATAAGCCTGTTACTCAAAAACTATTGATTGGATTTTAATGAATGATCTTTGTATGTTTGTAATATTCTTTATTCCTTCATATATTCCAAAGCACTAGATGGATCCTCAATTAAGGTATCATTAGATTAGTCTCATTAGTCCAAGTGTTCTTAGATAGGTGACATAAAAAATATATATATATGGGGGTTGCTAGATTTCATTGTTTAATGTGACTTTTATTTAAAATCTAAAATGAACATTGCAGGTGATATACAACGGTGCAGTGGAAGCGCTACAAACGCTGTTAGGCGCGCTGGGCGCGCTCGCGGCGTCGTACTGCGCGCGCGCGCCGCTGCCCGCGCCCGCCGCCGCGCTGCAGGGCGCGGCCCTGTTCGTCGGCACCATTGTGCCCAACGTGTTCGTGGCCTACGCTGGATATATTGTGATGGGCATGCTATATCATTATAGTATCACGTTGGCTAGGTATGTGTTTTGAAGTGAAACTTCTTTAGAATCGTTGTCATTTGATTTTGACTCGATGAAACGGAAATGCGACACTAAAAACAGACGCATAAATATATAGGATTAAGCCGGCGAGAGAATGAGATAGAATATATTGCCATGTTATCGTGATAACCGTTGTTATTGTCTAACAAATAGGTATATAATATTACTAGTAGAGCCCGCGGCTTCGCTCGCGCTAAAATACAAAAACAACTCTAAAATGATAGGTTTCATACAAACTTTCATGGGATAAATTTCAAAAAATTCTAAAACACGTATTTAATTAATTGTATTGAAGAACATTTATACCAAGTTTTGGATTGTATTATAACGTGTTTTCCCGTGGGAAAGAAAAAATCTACCGCGGTAAAAAGTACCCTATGTCACTCTCCAGCCTTCTAACTATCTTCACAGAAAATCACGCCAATCCGCCAAACCGTTTCGACGTGAGAGAAAGACAAACAAACAAACACACTTTCACGTTTATAATATTTAGTATAGATATTCGTTCTGTATATGATATTCTATAAATATACTAGCGGACCCGACAGACGTCCTGTCTACACGTCTTTAATTTGAAAATTTCAAACTTTTTTTAATAATTAAAAAAACATTGTCCAGCGGACAAAATTGTGAATCTAAACCATTCCCAGATCCCCTTGAACACACACAAAAAATTTCATCAAAATCGGTCCAGTCGTTTGAGAGAAGTTCAGTGACATACACACTCACAGAAGAATTATATATATAAAGATGATCGTACCTAATATGCCTTATTTATAGTTAAGTGACTGACCATCATTTCTGATGACTATTAAAATAAAACTATTAAGATTTAAAATATTAAAATATTTTTAAATTAAATCCTTTAAAAAAATTAACTTTAAATATTTTCCGTTACAGCGCAAAAATAGCTGGTCAACTCAGCGATGATAGTTGCTTCGGTCTCATATTCGGCATCAACACACTCCTCGGAACTGGTCTCCAATCACTCCTGACTCTCATCCTCATCCAGACCTTAGCTTTGGACATCACAGCTCAGTACTTCACCATCAGTGGTTTGTTCTTATTTCTTGCTTCCTTTTGGTTACTAGGATGGATAGTTCAGGTATTTAGGCAAAAAGAAAGTATTCCTGAGAATCAGTATTAATTTTCTTTTAAATATACGTAATGTAGAAATAACTAGTGAAAACCAACCTTAAATATGATAATTGGACGTAGTAATGCAAAATAGATCCACAAAAACTTACTTTTGAGAAAATATTAGTTTTAGTAAAATTCGTATGTCAAAATAACAAGACCGTAATTTTTTTTTTGTTAATTCCTCTCAAATATTGGGTATTTTATCAATGTACTTTCTGTATATAAGTTCCTTGATATGTAGGTGCCATTTATGACAGCAACTCAAAAAACGGTTTTCGTGGGCTGGATCAATTTCGCATAACTACGTCCAATTCCAAAAACGATTATGGTCTACCGGATTTAAGGGTTGTTTTCACTAGTGTCTATTTAGATATAATATTATAGAGGTGTGGCATACCATACGATATTGATTTGGAATGAGGGTTTTAAGGTAGGTAAGGTTTTGTATCAACGATAAATACCCGTAAAAATCTGGTTAGAACAATGTTTAAGTAATACTGGCTTGTAATGATTTATACCTTTTGTATAGCATAACTAGCTACTTAACCTCGCTTCGCTCGGGTGCGTCCCTAGGTACGTTTTTTTTGAGCGTGACAGTAATACTTTTTCTAAAATAAGAGTAGCCTAAGTTACTCCTTAATATCAGCTATCTGCCAGTGAAAGTCAAAATCAGTCCAGCCGTTTCGAAGATTAGCCGGAATAAACAGACTAAAATTATAAAAATTGTGTTTTTCTTATAGGTACTATATATAATTTCATATGCATTTAGTATAAAGCTGTTATTTGGACATTACAAAAATATACTTTAATTTTATTATCTGTATAGATATATAGTAATAAAGGAAACATATTTTGTATAATAGCTCAATTGTACTAGTATTGTTAATGCGATAGTTTTTATATGCGTTTGTGTGTATGCGTGTGTGTGTGCGCGTATGTGTGTGCGCGTAAGCGTGTGTGTGTGAGTGCGTGAAGGTGCGTGTATGTGTGAGCTACTTCTTTAAGCTGTAACCGCTGAACAGATTCAAATGAACACAGAATACAGATAGACTATGACCTGAAGTAACGCAATGGCTACTCTTAGGCAGAAAGTTAAACTATAGCTGTATTATGTACTATATATAACATATATAATGTTTATTTAGTTTTATTATTGAAAGTTTTTGTTTCATAGAAATTAAATTCATAGTGCAATGATTAATAATGAAAAGAGCTGTTTCGTATTTTTTTTTAAATGATTAAATCAATATCCAAAATCTGATAGTGTATGAAAACTCATATTCATTCCTAATGTATGTAATATTATAATTAGTAATTACATAAAAAATGTTAATGTTTTGTTTAAATTATTTATTTTTTCTTATTTTTTAAGTACTTAAAATGTTATTATAAAAGATTTAAAAAAATAAAGAGAAATAAAATGTTAATTTTTTACCAAACATATGCAAAGTTTCATATATATTTATTTTTAATGACAAATGTAGTTTTTGTATATGAAAATTGAAAACTGTTAGATTAGGCTGTGAAAATTTCAATACGCCTTAAACATATAATTGTTTCTTTGGAACTTGTGTGAGATGAATTCCAAAAAATTAGGATGTAATGCTATAATATTTTTGATATCTGTGATAATTATGGCTCCTCTCATATTTAAAAATCTAACAAATTATAAATTGATGTGTAAAAAATGTGTATAAAGTAAACTAAAAAGATGAAATCAAGTTGACGAAGGAACATAGTATTATGCAGTTGACATAATACATGTAGTAAGACTCGCAGTAGTAGTATAAAACATGTACATTATTTCTCCATATTAGTAAAGCTCCGGCTAATATGTATATTAATATTTTAATAATATTTTATGGCTATGTTTGTTGCTTGTAAGTTATCTTTAGTACTTGTAATCTATTAATCCAGATCATTGTAATACAGATAAGATCACTGACACAATATGTTGAATGTTGGAAATCCTGATTACAATAAATAAATTAAATACTGTAAAAAATTATACATATATTGCTAGTAGTAACATGTATATATACAGACTTATTTTATTCCAAACTAGCGACTCGCTCTCGCTTCGCTCAGGTTCAGCCCTAGGTACATTTTACGCTTAGGATGGAACAGATTTTTTTGTGAATTTTGTTAATGTTTTAATATTTAATCTGCTATTCCGGGTGCAGACAAATCCAGTTCTCAAGTTATGTGTTGTAACAAATCCGACTTTGTTTTATATATATATATATATATAAATATATATATATATATATATATATATATATATATATATATATGTAAGATTGTTAAAAAGAATAAGATTGTGAGCCTGTTCATGAAATAAAGTGGAAAGTGCTATTTTTATAGCTAAATATTTTATTTATTTCCCCACAATAAATTCAAACAGTTTTATAAACATGTGTATAACATTTAGTACTAACATATCTAAAGAAGTATTATATGTTTCTCTTTTTAATCATCTTTCTCTTAATGCTGAACAAATTCAATACAAACAAAAACTATAATCGATTTTGTGAGATTAAGAGAAAAAGATAATTCAATAAAGAGTTATTCTAGTGTAAATTACATTGATATGTATTAAGAATGGAATGTACATAAAAGTTAAAATTATATAAGCTCATTTAATGATTTCAAAATATCATATAATATAGAATACAAATATAATTTATAAGTCACGATAATGAATTCACAACCATGATATACTATGTTTCAACTTCCATAAAATTTATACTCCATTTAAATAACTAATAAATTCTTATTTACAAAGATAATGCCAGTTTATTTCGTTTTATTTTTACGCATATTGCATTGCAGCTGGTCTAGTTTTAAAATAAACATAAACACATATGAGAAGGAAGATCACAGCGAAGGTTGGTAAAACAATAGTGTGCATCTGTTGCCGCATTTTTGCAAACTCCTGCTTTCTTTCACGTTTGGCGGTTTCTTTAACAACCCCTTTTAATTTTCGCATTGTGGAACTGAAATCAAGAAAATAAAATATTATTAACAGAATTTACGAAGCCACGTCTGCAAGATAATAACGCTGTTTTAAAAAATATATATTTTAGGATAGTACTTAAACTTACTTACAGGTGATTTGGACGTTCCTTACTGTATGATAATAGTAAAAATACACTATTTTTGCCGAATTTCTACCCAATTTCAATACACGTCACCACTGACCACCCAATGTTTATATCTTTGATTCTTCATTCTTTTGACAATGACACTTGACAGTTAGACTTATAAAATTATGGCAAGTTCTCACCTTACCCAAATGTAAAAAGCATCAACATTTTTTAATTTACCTGAAATTATTTAGAAACTTAAAATGCAGGAAATTCTTAAAATGAATAGTTAATAAATATATTATAAAGATAAAAAACCCGACTGCATAAAAGCTAACTAAAAAGATGAAAACAAGTTCACGAAGGAATATAGTATTATGCAGTCGGAGACATAGATCGGAGATCATTTTTTTCGCGAATTTATTTGGATTTTTGATTCCCGACGTTTCGAATGCTTTACAGCATTCATGCCAGTTTATAACTATACTCTTTGATTCATGGTCATGGAAGAGACTGAGGTGTTAAATGTCTCGAAGGTATAGTTGTTACAGACAGCCTACCCACAAATAACAAATCAATAGTTTTTAGAATTTTTGTCTGTCTGTCTGTTACCGCATCACGGAAAAACCGCTGTAAGGATTTTCATGAAATTTGGTATGGTGATAGCTGGTTATCCGGCTCAACATATAGGATACTTTTTATAGCGAGAATATCTCATTTCTGAGAAAAACACAAAAACTGCATTGTAAGAATATACTAATATGTACAACGTAAGAATTTGGTTTTTGGTAATCTGAACGCGGGCTGAGCCGCGGGCAATGCTAGTGTAAGATATATGGATTGTCGGTTTTCTTGTAAAAATCGTTTAATCATCCATGCTTTTCATGTAGTATACAACCACTTGGCAGTTGGCACGCTGCTAAACCAACCAAGCTTTTTTTGCTACTTGTACTCAGTACTCGTAATAAGCTTAGCCTAAAAGTAACGATGTACATAAAAAAATTGGCGTGCACTTAAGAATATATAGAAGACTAGCCTCTTGCTAAGGCCCTCCTTTTATAGACATAAATAGTTTCTGTTTCATTTGTACTAATATAATTGGTGATTGTAAGAGTGCAATGTGCACATCCCTTAAAAAAAAAAAAAAAAACCTTTTTCTTTTCTGTCTATGACTTTGTCTTTACCCCAATAATTTCCACTGCTGTATTATATTTAAGTTATCCCAAATAAAAAGCATGCTCTCAGAGATCACATATTTAATTTACCCCAAATAGGTTATGGGCCCAGACAAGAAAAGTCGAGGCGTGTAGAAAACAAAACAAAGTGGATTCGAGTAAGTCGCGGTGCAACAAAGGTTGGAGTCCTGCGAGGCAACGTGGTTCGACGAAACTTGGCGGCGAGGGCGGCGTTTACGTCTTGCTTCATAATTGTGAGGTTACACACATATTAAGCAACGTGCAATATGTCAAGTTCAGAGTATAATAAGACGACGATTCTTCTAAATGGTCGCAACTGGCAGGCGTGGCGTTTCCAGACGCAGATTGTTCTTCGTTCGAAGAAACTATTAGAGATTGTTTTGGGCAGAGAGGTGAGGCCTAAAGAAGAGGGAAAAACACAAGAATCATGGGATGACAGAGAGATAAAAGCCCAGGAGGTAATTGTTACCAGGGTGGAAGAGACAGTGATGAGATACTTGATTTCTTGTACCAGTAGTGCAGATATGTGGAAGAAGCTGATGACCATATATGAACCGTCATCAAAGGTAGGCGTTCATCTACTTCAACAGAAGTTTTTCAATTTAACCTTCAAAGAACCAATGGCTGTATTTATGGCGAACATAGAAGATTGCATGACGCAGCTTCAAGCAGCAGGTGAGAAAGTATCGGAGAAGATGGCCATAACGAAGATACTCATGTCCTTACCCGAGAAATATAAGCATTTTATATCTGCATGGGAGAGCATGCCGGAGGAGAAGCAGAGCTTGCAGGAGCTGATGGGGCGGTTGTTGGTCGAGGAGGAGCGTAGTGGAAGTATACCCAGCAGCAGCGCCAGCACGGCACCTCAAGACTCGGCATTAGAGGTGGGTATGCGGCATCGTATTAAATGTTTTGAGTGTGGCAAAGTAGGCCATAAAATAAGTGAATGTAGGTACAGGAAGTGTTTTAATTGTCAGAAAATAGGTCATTTAATCAAAGATTGTAAATTGTCAAAAATTAAGAGTAATGAGAAAAATAAGTCAGAGAAAAATAATTCAAGTGAAAAGAATAAGCCTAAAGAGAGAAGTAAGAGTTCAAAATCTGAATCTTTTTTATGCCATTCTACTAGGGAAATTGAATGTAACTATTCTTTTGATTCAAAAATGTTCTTTTTAGATTCAGGTGCTAGTGACCACATGTGTTTTATTAAAAAGTATTTTACAGAGTTATGTGAATTAAAAGCTAAGAGATTTGTGACAATAGGAGATGGTACAAAGTTAGAGGTTTTGGGAACAGGAAAGGTTATTGTATGGGCCTTTAATGGTTCTAGTTATGTTTCCCGTACGTTGGATGATGTTCTATATGTACCTAACCTTAAAGTAAACTTATTCTCTCTAGCATCAGCTGTTAATAAAGGTCACACAATGGTGTCAGATTCTAATGGATGTAAGTTTTATAAAAATAATTCAGTAACAGCAGTAGCTGATAAGTTTGACAAAATGTATGTAATGAGATTTAAATTAAGTGATGTAGCTTTGTTAACTTTAACAGATTGGCATATTAAGTTTGCACATCAAAATTACAAGTATGTTAAAGAGTTTTTAAATTTAAGGGGCATTAAAAATGAAGGGCAGACTGATCAGTGCTTACCATGTATCCAGGGAAAACAGCATAGGTTACCGTTTAGTCAGAGTAGTAGTAGGTCAGTTAAACCAGGCGAACTTATACATATGGATTTGTGCGGACCGATGGAGGAAGTATCTGTAGGTGGTTCTTCATATTTCCTTTTGTTGAAAGATGATTATAGCAGTTTTAGGTTTGTTTACTTTATAAAGAGTAAGTATGAAACTAAAGAGAAAATTGAAGAATTTCTAGAGATGTTTGAAACTGAGTTTACATGTAAAATAAAGCGATTTCGTTCAGATAATGGAACAGAGTTTGTTAATAGAGCAGTTGAGAATTTGTTTAAAAAGAGAGGTATAATACATGAGTTAACAGTAAGTTACACACCTGAACAAAATGGCAGAATAGAACGAGAAATGCGTACAATTGTAGAATCGGCAAGAACATTAATTATTCAGTCAGGTCTAGGTAAAGAACTTTGGGCTGAAGCTGTGTTTACAGCAGTATTTACAATAAATCGTACAGGTAAAAGTAAAGTTCGAGATAAAACACCATATGAGTTGTTGTATAACAAGAGTTTTGATGTTACACTGTTAAGAGATTTTGGTGCTACTGTATATACACATGTACCAAAACAACACAGATTGAAGTGGGACCCAAAGGGAAGATTAGGAATTTTTGTGGGCTATGGTTTACATACCAAAGGGTACAGGGTATGGTATCCAGACACAAGAAGAGTAGAAACTCATAGGGATATTGTATTTGTAAAAGTTAAGAATAACTCGGACAATGCATTAGAGAAAGATGAAACGGAGAATGAAGAGGTAATAGAGAATGTAGAATCGATAGAAAATATTAAAGAAGAACAAGAAGAGGATCAAAATCAAGAAGAAGATGACGAGATTGAAGTAGGAGAACACAGAGATGTCCAGCAGCAAGAAGAGGCAAGAAGCATTGCAGAAGATGTAACATCCAGTGAAGTAGACATGATGGAAGAGTACTTAGATGAAGAATTTTTAGATGCAGAAGAAGATATTCCCAAAAATGAAGAAAACAAGAATTCTAGAAGTAAGAGACAAGTGAAAAAGCCAGCATGGACTAAAGATTATGATTTAGCAATGACAGCACAAGGAGAAGAACAATTGACTTATGAAGAGGCAGTTAACGGAAAATATAAAGAAGAATGGCTAAAAGCAATACAAGCAGAACTAGAAGCATTGTGTAAAAATGAAACATGGAAAGAGGTTAGTTTACCAGTCGGGAAGAAATTAATAGACACCAAGTGGGTTTTCAAGATTAAGAAAGAAGGTAATAAAAATATTTATAAAGCAAGACTAGTTGCAAGGGGCTTTAAGCAAGAAGATAAATTTGATCATTCAGAAATCTATTCCCCAGTGGCTAAACTACCTACACTGCGTATAGTATTAGCAATAGCTAGTAAATACAACTTGGATATTCAACAGATGGATGTCAAGAGTGCATTCTTATATGGGAACGTAGAGGAGGAGGTGTTTATAGAGAAGCCAAAAGGAATGAAAGAAGATGGTAAAATTTTAAAATTACAGCACTCTCTATATGGTCTGAAGAAATCTCCACGATATTGGAATGAGAAGTTTAATCAATTTATGATTAAGGAAGGGTTTGAAAGAAATAAATGTGACTATTGTCTATATTATAAAAAGGATAAGAAGTTTTATGTTCTATTATATGTTGATGATTTGATTTTAATTTGTGAAGATAAGCAAGAGATAAACAAATTAAAAGAAGCTTTGCAGAGAAAATTTGAAATGAAAGATTTAGGGGGTGATAATCTAAAATATCTGGGAATAAATATCACTAGGAAGAAAGATGTCATTGAATTAGACCAAGAGCAGTATTTAAAAGATTTGTTAAAGAAATATAAGATGGAAGAATGCAAATCTGTGTCAACACCTATAGAACAAGGTTTATTGTTACATAAAGAAGAATCTTCAGATAAAGAATTAACTAAAAGATGCAGACAGTTAATAGGAAGTCTCATGTATGCCATGTTAGGAACACGTCCTGATTTATGTTATGCATTGAGCTACTTAAGTCGTTTTCAAAGTTGTGGTAGTGAGAGTTTGTGGAAAGCATTAAAGAGAGTATTAAGGGAACAGTTGGATTAAAATTAGTTTATAGAAATGGAGTAAATGTGCAGTTAGAAGGGTATACAGATGCTGATTGGGCAGGGGATCAAGGTGATAGGAAATCTACGTCAGGGTATGTCATGAAAGTTTTTGGTAATACAGTGTCTTGGTCCTCCAACAAACAACAGTGTGTATCTTTATCAAGTACAGAATCAGAATATATAGCGTTAGCAAAAGGAATTGCAGAGGGGTGTTGGATAAGGAATTTATTAAAAGAAATAGGAGTTGATTGTAAAAGTTTTATTATTAACATTGATAATCAGTCTGCCATTCATGTTGCCAAAAACCCAAAGTATCACAAGCGCCTGAAACATATAGATATTAAGTATCACTTTGTAAGACAGCAGGTTGAAGATAAAATTGTGTGTTTGAAGTATGTATCATCAGGAGATCAGCTTGCTGATATTTGTACTAAGGGTCTAAGCAAAGTTGTTTTTGTGAAGTTAAGAGAAATGTTATTTTCTTAAATTTTCTTTTGTAATATTTGAAAGTTTAAAAGGAGTGGCCCTGTTTTTCAGTTTTCATGTAGAGTTAATTTCATATTGTTTTGTATACAATTTTTTTGTGTGTTATGGGTACTTATGCAGTTATAGTATTATATACTATTGTAGTTTTTTTTTGGTGATGTACACATTGAGGAAGGGTGTAAGAGTGCAATGTGCACATCCCTTAAAAAAAAAAAAAAAAAGAAACCTTTTTTCTTTTCTGTCTATGACTTTGTCTTTACCCCAATAATTTCCACTGCTGTATTATATTTAAGTTATCCCAAATAAAAAGCATGCTCTCAGAGATCACATATTTAATTTACCCCAAATAGTGATAACTAATAGTTTGTTCATTTTATGTTATCAGATGTTCAATTGGTAGTAGGTATAATTTCTCTAAAAAAAAATCTTTTTTTTTAACCATTTATAAAATGATTCTAATTCTAAAAATATAAATATGAAACTGAGTTATTTGATCGCCTCACATACACAATAGAGTAACCTGATAAGAATTATGGAACAAAGAATATATTATTAATGACTTTATTTTTGAGATACTTAAATTGATTATCTCAAATCAAAATAAAGTCATCATCATTATAAAATTATGACTTTATTTTGATTTATGATAATTAAGTTGATTTTCATCCATTGAACTTAATCTTTTGAAATATATTTGAATTGCATTTTTATTCCAATGTGAATACACCTTTACATGCCGTTGCACTGGATGACTCACTATTTTCTTAAGGCGAATGGAGTATAGTACTTACTTTCTTATATTAAATGATATCCATTATCCATATCCATTATCATAAAATAAACACCTTTTTGTTTTTTTAAATATTATAACTTTATTATTATTTATTAGAAACAATGACAATTAATATAATTATAATTTAAAAATTAATGATTTCTTTGTTTTTTTTTTAAACTTACTAGTCACAAGCGTTTTTTAATAGTGTTACTTACTAAACTTTACTCACACAATCCATTTTTAAACTTTAAAAATAACAAGTTAAATAGTTACAATATTTACACATGATACTCTCCTCCATCTTTCTTTTCATCTGACAAAGAAGTTATAATGCTGATTGCTGTACTTTGAGAGAACCAAATCAAGGATATAAATAAGCCTTCCAGAATACCAATGCCCACTCCAGCAAATACATCTAAAAAGTAGTGCCTTTCAGCTAATACTCGAGATATGGCTACAGCTACCACCCAAGCAACCAGAGGAGGATAAAAGATGAAATAAATTGGATCTATGCAGATTAGAATAAAAGCTACCAGGACTGCTCTGCTAGTGTGGCCTGATGGAAATGAATATTTGTCAGGGTTGCCAGGAAGCAACTTGTTCATTGGGATAGGACGACGTCTTCTCACAAATGCCTTCACAACTGCTATAATTATAATATCCAAGAGGAGTGCTAAAAAAATATTAATTTATATATAAAAAGGAATTAAAATGTTAAAAGACTATGTTACAAACATGTTAGAAATCTAAAAATGTAATATAGAAAAAAATTGTTACAGAAAACATACCAAATAACATATTCACTTGTAGTTGATATAGGTCTCTATTATTAAATAACCATATAAAAGTGATCCAACCAGCCAACCATACTATTCCATGACAGGACACCTAAAATAGTTAATTAACTTATAAATACTTAATTTATACTTAATAATAGATTTTATTACATAAATTATAATTCTATAAATCAGTTGTTTAAATATGTAAACTCTCTTCACCAAAAAAATCTTCTTCTCTTTCTCTGCTTATCTTCTTACTCAAAAATTATTGATTTTATAACCTTAATAAACTTAAATTATTTCAACTACAATATTATTATAGATTATTAAATGTAATATTGTAATAATATATGTAATACCTCTAAAAATTTAGAATGTATGCGAAGAGACCTCAAGGCTGTTATGTTTTGAGACAATTCAACAAACTTTTTGGTGACTTGAACGTCATAGCGTAATATTCTTTGCAACATATCTGGAACTTTTCTTTTGTCCTCTCCTCCTAACTGAAAGAATATTTAAAATCTCTAAGGTAAAGATATCTTAACAACTTTGTAGTAATTGTAATATAAAAACAAAACTCATGTACCCAAATTCTAAAATCTAAACAGACAGCGCGTCACATATAGAAATTAGCATATTGAAATCATTATTAATATTGCCATCGATTTCATAATGAGCAAAAATAAATAACTAAGATATAACAATTATAATTGAAATAGACTAAAAATCTTACCATATCCATTTTAAAGAAAATAAAGAATGAATAATGCGTTCTACTTCTTGTTGGCACTCGCACAAACTATGTCAATTCACAGATATATTTACTTATTTCTAGTGCTTTATTTACAAAAAGCTTCAAATACATGCAATGAAAAAGGGCAATGTATTAAAAAGTGTTAGATATGTTTCTAAGTGAAATCTTATGTAAATATTTTACGTGATACGCTAAAAATCTTATAATACCGGGGGTGTTGATAATATTATTCGTATTCGTAATCACCTCACGGTAATCACAAAAAATACGGATGACAAATATAATTAAAGACAAAAATAGTGTATTATAATTTATAACTATACTCTTTGAGTGTACCTATAAAAAAATGATAATGTCAAAATACACAGATGACACATTGGGCTTTTTGCATTGAGAATATTATATTCTTTAAACACATATTTATAATTATTTATATATTCTTATAAATAACTTTAAGGATACCAGGTGGAATTTAAAACAAGACTTGAAGATAATTAAATAATATAAAATAAGCAATTCATTTCTGAAAGTACGTATTTTGAAAATATATTAATGTTGCTATATTAAATATGTATATAACAGTTGTCACAATATATTTTATGAAATATATTCAGAAGCATATATATTTTTAAAATGGAATTTTTTGGTCTCACTTTACATGGCCCACAAAATTCTTTGAGAGATATATTAAAGTCTAATTACAAAGAACCTCAATCAAAAGAAGACGTTCAGCTTATAATGGATGAAATAATTCGTACTTCTACAATGCCTAAAAAAGTAAATTATTTGTCTTATGATGTCAATTAATTAGCTTTTTACCTAGACGTCGAACATGAAATATTTCATCATAGGAAAAAAATAGGTACATACAAATAAACGCATTTCAAGAAGTAATAATGATGATGAGAAAAACAGGTTTATTTTCAAATTTTGTAAATTTGCCTGCGATTTACTGATTGCTATATTGTATACTAGCATTGCCCGCGGCTCCGCCCGCGTTCAGATGACCAAAAACTAAATTCTTAGGTGTTACATATTAGTATACTCTTACATTGCAGTTTTTGTATTTTTCCTCAGAAATAAGATATTTTCCCGCGGTAAAAAGTATCCTAGGATCGCGCGCTACATCGCCCGGTTTATATAGCTTGAGCAGGCGGTCGAGCGATGCGGGGCAGAGGGGATGGACTCGCCGTAGGCATCTCAATGCTCGCCAAGCATTAAAAATGTTTCGCTACTAATTACTTCTAACAACGATATCTCAAAAACTATTCATCTGATTGATTTAGTGTAAAGAGCAATTTTAATCTGCATTAAATGACTAAGCTAACTAAAATATTCATTTGGATAAGGATTAATACCGAACTAAAGAAAATAACTTTGAAAATAACGTAATGTTTTTAATTAAAAATGTTAACATAAAAGTGGTTATTGTAAGTCAACCGTAAGAGATAGAGATATGCTATCGCGGACTTTTTTGTAGCATTTTTATAGATTTTGAATTCTCTAGTACATTACTTAACTGTATCTTTGCTAGTTTACGCGGCGTTCGCGTGGAAAGTTCCCATTTGGCGAGATTTTTTGCGACCTCTTCAACATTTGTCGCCGTATTTCAGCTAATTTACATAAAAGCATAATAAATTATATACCTAAACCTTCCTCAAGAATTACTCTTTCTATTGTTGAAAACCGTATAAAAATCCGTTCAGTAGTTTTCGAGTTTATCGCGTACAGACAGACAGGAGGACAGAAAGACGCGGCCGGGGGACTTATTTTTATAATAAGTATAGATTATGTATTTCGCCATATTCTAGAGATGTAATTTAGTTCTATGACTTGTGGGTACTGAATCTCCTCAACGTCAATTGGTAATGAGTCTAATGCCACCTTGTCCATAATAGATAATTACAAATACATGTGTTGAATTTTCATAATAATTTCACTGAGATATTTTATTTGTATAGATTCAAAGAACTGATGTGAAATTAATAAGAGTCATCGATTGCTATATAGGAAGAGTCAATGGCTTTGCGTATGGTTCATCACAAAGATTTAATAAAATGAAACGTAAAGGAGTTATTAAGCCTGTTGGTCCTGCAGATATGTTTAGATTACCACCTACCACTTCAATTGAGGTTACTTTTTAGATTTTGTTAAAAAATAATCTTCGAAAAAAGAAAGGGAGAAAATTTAAGTAACATAGTATGCGGTTATATAGGTTTTAAGAACGATCATGTATATTTTTATTCTTTTACTTGCTGTCATAATTCAACTGTAATCAGGCTGTGGCCCACTGACAAACCAAGAAAAGCGCTTCAATCACTGGATCTAGCAAACCTAAGATTTTCATGTGTAAATCATTTTATCAATATGATCTCCATTTGCCAAATGGATGAAGGAAAACATAGTTAGATAACTTGAAAGAACATACTTAATTAGTTTTCGAATGACGTGTGAAGCTAGCCAATCAAAATTTAATTCAATCCTTCTTTACATTGACGGCCGTGTCCAATAGTGGAACGTTACAAAGGGCTGAATTTTATTACAATAATTGATATTTTGATTTGTTAAACTAATTGCAGTGTATGTCGATATAACTTTAAAGGCGCTATGTTCTCTATTGCGCTGGAATTTGAATAGCGTTTCGGTTTCGTCCCTAGACAAAAACAAATCTATCCTACGGGAACCGTACATTTTTCCGGGATATAAAGTAACTTATGTGCTATTTTAGACTATCTCTGTGTCAAATTTTATCTAAATCCGTTCAGCCGATCTGGCGTGCAGCGTGAAAGATCAAACATCCATCCATCCATCCATCCTCACAAACTTTTACATTAATTATAATATTAGTGTCGATATCAATTTACCATTTTATTTTTAAGTTCTTAAATTAACCCTATTTAATACACTTAATATAAATTTAATACACTGTCTTAGTATATGTATACGAGTGTTAAATCTATGAATACACGTAGATAAACCATTTTTCTATAAGGATAATATACTTACATAAAATCTTTTTATACAGTATGGATGGTGGCAACATGATACTGCATTAGTGGAATCTTCATGGCATTTAACTCATCCAAGACGACCTCAACCTTCGTCGCCGAATACACTTATACTTGACGTTGTTCGAAAAAATAATAAATACGCTACACTATTTTAAAAGAAAAATTATCTATTTTTAATGTAAAATACTGTACAGAATAATAAAAGCAATGTAATAAATACTTAATTGGAATAATTATTTTTTCATTTTGTTTTATTACATCCTTACAAAATTTCAGTCACATTTTGCCACACTAAAATTAATCTACTTCATTAACATCTGAATTAGATTGAATCGAAATTCAGCTTACTAGAGATCTGTAAATAAATCTGTTATAATCACTCTTATTCTCATCCCAATCCTTTTTATATCCAGTTATTATAGTTTAGCTGAGATTAAAGATAAAACAAGTCTCTCTGAATCTTTAAATGGTTATCTAAACCTTTACTTACAGCCATATGTTTTATATTTTATATGTTCACAAAATATATAATTTTATATAGTGATCTATTATAAATATCTCTTTAGGACAGCAACATTTAGTAGTATGTCAAATTGACTGCACGAAATTGAAATTGTCATTTGACATTTCTAATTGTCTTCTTTTCAATTTTGACGTTGTAAGGAGTAGGTCGCCCAAGCCAAGATGTAAGTAATCGAAAAATATTTTGATAATCCTATCTTACATTCCCTTCTATGTTAAAATATCTTGATATAGTTATAACACTGAACTTAAATTATATAATATTTCATTCTAAGTTATGAGTCCTTTACATTCTAACCTAACCTTTACTTGTTCGTTAATGTTTCAGGTCGAAGGTATCGCGTGATACGCTTTACGAATGCGTAAATGCAGTCCTCCAGTCATCCAAAGATAAGAAACGTAACTTTTTGGAGACCGTCGAACTCCAAATCGGTCTGAAGAACTATGACCCACAGAAGGACAAGCGTTTCAGCGGCACCGTCAAGTATGTTTACCTGAAAAGAACGTTTTTGTGGACTTTGTTAATTCTAATATAAGGTTACCTGTTAAATGTTATTGTATATTTCGCATTTCAACATAATATCCACAAAAATGGATCTGGACAGGGAGTCAGTCTTATACTGACGGGACTCAACCCAGAGTCTTTAAATAACGGGTAGGTTTGCTTCGGCTTACCGACTTAGCTTACATAAACAAAATCTTTGGGTAAGATTCATGTCCTGAAATAATAGATCAATGATTATTTTTCTTTTATTCTGTAGAATTTCCATTATTATGATGAATTATTTTTGCATGTATTATCTGATATTTGATGAATATATTGTTACTGATAGTAGTTAACTAATTATGTACAAATTGTAAATACTAAATTGAAAACATATGAATAAAACAGAAATTCTCTTTTAGGCTAAAGTACATTCCTAGGCCCAAAATGCAAGTGTGTGTTCTTGGAGATCAACAACATTGTGACGAGGCTAAAAACTTGAGTGTACCTTGTATGGATGCTGAGGCTTTGAAGAAGCTGAATAAGAACAAAAAACTTGTTAAGAAACTAGCCAAGAAGTAAGTTATTTATTAACTCAAAAGTCAGCTTTTTATATTGTTTTAATAGTATGCATAAACAATGTAATTTATAGTTTATATAAGCAAATGGCAATATGTGTAAAGATAATCGATTTTTATTTTCAAGTATTAATTTTATTTTAAATCTTAATGTATGTTAACAATTAATGTTTATCACTAGGTATGATGCATTCCTTGCCTCTGAGTCGCTCATCAAGCAGATCCCACGTCTCCTGGGTCCTGGTCTTAACAAGGCTGGTAAATTCCCTGGTCTCCTCTCCCACCAGGAGTCCATGACACAAAAGATTGATGAGGTTAAAGCTACCATCAAGTTCCAGATGAAGAAGGTAATACAACTTTTTTTTATTTTGCAAGGTTTAAGAAACAATTATATTCATAAAAATATTCTAAATTTTGTATTAATTTTGGTTTTAATGCTATTTTTTAATATATTCTTTTTATTCTAGGTACTTTGTCTCTCTGTGGCTGTTGGCCATGTGGATATGACGCCTGATGAATTGGCACAAAATGTGCATCTTTCAATTAACTTCTTAGTATCACTATTGAAGAAACATTGGCAGAATGTGCGGTCACTTCATATGAAGTCCACTATGGGCCCACCCCAGAGATTGTACTAATTCTTTACAATATATTTTGACTACTGAACATTTTCTTTTATTTATTTACTACCTAAATAATGTAAACTATAATGTAAGATCTGAAACATAACACCATAAAAGTCATTCTTGAATTATTAATAGTACCATCTACATTTAAAGCTCCTAACAATTTTTATTTCTTTTAATATTAAAAGGAGGAACTAAGTGTAGTAACACTCATAACCTGTCACAAAAATAATGTTAACTTTTTTGAAGTTAACACTGCTAATAAAGTCATGCAAAAATTTTTCAAGATAAAATAAAAACTGACTTCAAAAAAACCAAATGTAAAAAATTACGTAGTTTTCATTTACTATAGATACAATGATGCTAGCCATACAAACAACCGACTTCGGAAATATCTATTTGGTATTTAAATGAAAACTACCATTCAGTTATTTTTTACTTTCTAGTGTTTTCAAGTCGGTTTTTTTAAAGATTCCATTTTTCTAATTATAGCGTAGACGTAAATAAATTAAATCAATTCATAAACATAAAAAGTTATCCCGAATTTACTTGCAAAATTAGAGGTACCTATAATACACCAATAACAATTTCGACAAAAAGAGGGTGTACCACGGTGTACTGAACACATCTGTGTACCCCTTAAAGAGTATATACTGGCTTCGATTAACAATACTACATTGTTAATCGAAGGGTACAGGCGTGATATTATGTTGTGTGATTGCGTAAACGATGCATAGATGTGCGATAGCAGCAATCGCGGTTGAATTGCTGGCTTTTATTGAAGAGTCCCGTTGTCTGTCTCTGAAACTCATCATCAGATCTTTATGAAATTTAAATGGGACCATTTCAGAATAAACCTCTTTCGAACAAAAAAAGAATAATTTTGCAAATCCGTCTAAGACGGAGTTATGCCTGAACATACATAAAAAATATAAAACGTTGAGGAAAGGAAGAGTCCTTTTTTGAAGTCTGTTTAATATATGAATCTAATATACGATAACTCAAGTAAACCTTTAATTGACCAGCGAGGTGAACTTTATCATGAAAGAAAACATCATGAGGAAACCTTCGAGAGATGCTACTAGTTTGTGAAAGAGTAATTGTATTTCAAAACTTGTTATTATAATAAGTCGGATAGAATATAATGGCTTTTATTGTGTGTATCGTGTAATGGAACTCAGTTTTAGCTGTTATAAAATTTTGACACACAGAAAATGACAAATGGGATTGATCATGGATGACAATTGACAGATGATTTTAGGCAATTTTAGGTTATAAAAATATATCAAATAACAACAAATTGAAAAGAATAAATACATTTGTTGTTGAAACATCGTTTCATTCTTTTTATAATGAATTTAAACATTTCAACTCTTAGTAAATATGTATGGAAAACACAAGCAGTTCCTGGTTTTGGTGTAAGTTATTGACTTCTAAAAAAATGCATAGATAAAGTTCTTGTTAAAATGCTAAATTTAACCATTTTTATACAGTTTCAACAAGTAAGGAATAAATGGGCAAATTGCCTAATGATAAGGGATGTAAAGAGACGACGCATGAGCGCTGAACATTTCCTGGAACGTAGTAGGATTAATGCTTTAAGAAAGAATGATGTTTTACCGTTGGAAATCAGAGAAATTGCAGATAAGGAAATTAATAAATTTGAGATGAATGCAATACCACTCCGCATTAATAACAGATGTGTTATTACATCAAGGTTTGTTTTACTTTGATTAACACACTTATCTATTTAATATTAAGGAAAAAATTGTTTTTTTGTTTGCATCGAATAGGCTCCGAAACTACTGAACCGATTTAGATGAAATTTGGTAAGAAGATAGTTTGAGACCCTGAGACGGACATAGGATAGTTTTTATCTCAGAACTCAACCCTTTAGAGCTAAAAGCAAGCAAGGGTGAGTCACTAGTGCTATATACATATTTTATTACCAAGTTATTTTAATGTTGAATGAAAATGATTGTTTATTTCAGTTTATTTAGAAGTTAATTATATTAAGAAAGTAGGTATGGAATTTAGGTTTTTTAAAGTAATAATCTTATTTTCTGTAACTTTATTTAGTAGTAATTTTCCCTTTTAGGCCTCGTGGTATTGTAAAAGATTGGAGAATGAGCAGAATAATATGGAGACATTTGGCTGATTATAATAAGCTTTCTGGAGTTCAGAGAGCCATGTGGGGCTAAACAACATTAAATTCATTTCAATTTAGTTTTAGTAATAAAGTTTAGTTGAATCAATTATAATTTTTTAGTACTTCCCAACCTACTAGCTACTACTGGTTCAGCATGCAATATTATGTACAAAATAAAACCTCTTAATTTGTCCTATTTTCAACCGACTTCAAAAAGGAGGAGGTTCTCAATTCTACTGTATTTTTTTTTATGTTTGTTACCTCAGAACTCCGTCATTTATTAACCGATTTGGACAATTTTTGTGTTGTTTGAAAGTGTATACTTCCAGATTGGTCCCATTTATTGATTGTAGATACTTTGAGTTTGGGCTTATTTTGTTTGATTTGACAAGCCTAACACGTTAGAATTCTTACTTTGCTACTACTGTCTACACTAAAAAGGGAAAAATAAAAACTTTTTAACAAAAAAAATAAAAACCGACTTCAAACAAAAAAATATTTGATTAGTTATGTATAGTAAATGAAAACTACCAATCACTTATTTTTTACTTTTTAGTGCTTTTGTTGGAAGTCAGTTTTTGTTTTTTTGTTAAAAAGTTTTTATGAAACTATTATTTTGTATGTAATTGTGCCATTAAAAAATCATTCAGCTATTCTAAAAGCCAAACAAAGGACACAAATAATCCAAAAATATTGTATTTTACTCTTCTGAATTGTAATTACACAAATGGGGTCTAGTCAGATAAGTATAGCAAATTGATTCACTATACCCATACACTTTGAATGTTATTTTAACACTATCATAATTCAAACCAAACACATTGAAATTTTGATCCGAGGCATGGGGTGACACAGCTGACTTTCCAATTCTGAGCTGTTTAATGAGAATTTTGTAACAAAGGCAATAACTAAACATGGCCTAACCCGGGACTTGAAGTCAGGACCTCTAGATCAGCAGCCCTACATGCTAGCCACTAGACAACTGTGGCAGTTAAATAATGAACTAATTATAGTATATACAAGACAATACCACCTTTCGGCGAATTTTATTACTAACACTAGCCATGTATTCACAGACATTACAACCCAATTGTCTGTGAATGTGTTACTCCATGTCATAGTCTGTTCTAAATTTTATTCAAATCCATCCAGGCGTTTCAGTGGCAAGTAATAACAAAACACACATTTATAATAATGTGATCAGGCTTAAAAATTAGTTTAGTTTACAATTTTTTTCTAGCCCGTTTGAAATATGTGGTTAAAACAATAATAAAATTGCTCAATAAAATAACTATGGGTAGTTAATTGACAGCTGTACATTATACATTTATGCTTTAATTTTAAAAAACTAACAGCACACATGTAATACTATATATGTACTAGACATATGCCTTACTCCATGGAAATTGGACAGTACTAATTCGGGGTACTTTTGTTTACTTGAATAGAATCTATTTTAATTTATAAATATGTGTAAATTAAAATACAATAAATGTTGCAAAATTCATTCTTAATTTAATTAAACAAACTCTATGACTCATTACTATTAACCAGAGTAAAGTTAAACAACTTATCTGTACTAAAAGTAAATACTATTAAGTTTCACTTTCATACAAAATAATAAACTCAGTTTAATTTTGTCGAGTGATATGCCATGTTACACATCTATATTCCACATAATAATCGTGAAGAATTTAAATAACAAAAATAACATGTCAGTTTTTATATTTTTTTTATTTTAAGTTTCCTTACAACTAAACAAGCTTCATAAAGCTTACAATGGAATACCAAAGCCTTTATAAAAAGCTTTTTAGTCGAAAAGACCTGTAACAAGAAAAAGTTGTAATTAGAGAAGTTAGAAGTTAAATTAACTACATAGGTTATACTAAAATTTCTCAGTAAAATATTTGTCGTATCATTTAGTCTCAGAAGCTAATACATTAGATCAAGCATCATTGAATATGTTATTTTCTAATGAACATAACAAACAGTATTGTTCCATTCATACAAAGTCTCTAAATTTTTGGCATAATAATAAAAATAAACTTACCGAAGCCCATGTCATCGTCGGATTCTTCAGGCTCTTCCTCCTTCTTTTCCTCCTTGGCGGCCTCAGCAGCAGGTGCGGCTGCAGCAGCAGCGGCGACGGGTGCTCCACCGGCAGGTGCAGCTCCCACACCGGAGCCGATATTGGTGATCAGGTCACGAACATTGATACCTTCCAAAGCCTTGGCGAACAAACCAGGCCAGTAGGGCTCAACGTCAACATTGGCCGCCTTTAAGATGGTCGAAATTTTTTCGCCCTGTAAACAAACGTGTTTGAAATTAAAAGTAATCATTCAAAAACACAAATATATTACAAATCGCAATAATTAGAGAACATATTGTATGATTTTGTTGAATAAAGATAATTTGCGCAGTAGATTACCAAGATTTTAATGGATAAATATGCATTATAACCTCAACAATAAATATTAATTAAATAACAATGATATCAAGTTTGTACTTACAGTAACGGCTACATCATCATCAACAAGGATGAGAGCAGAGTATACACAAGCTAATTCAGCCTTTGATGCCATTTTTTAATATATTTAGTGCAAGTCGCCTAATGGCCTTAGCTCTGAGAGGACAAGCACGTTTGACTTGTAAACTTGAAGAGAGAGTTGCTAAGTTAACTGTCAATTTATTGACAACGTCATGTCAATTTTCAATGTAATATTTTTTTATTTGACATAGATGCGTAACTAAGTTTAGCTAGTTTTTATTTTAAATACATAATAAAATCCTTTTCTTTTAAGAAGAACACTTATTCTACAAGTTATAATTATAAGTTATAATTTTTTTAACAGATGATAGTAAAACTTACTATCGCTTCGTCAATGGTCGACCTTTGTGAGTTTTCTAGTAAAAGTTATATGAAATTTTTCGATTACCGTGTAGATAGATACTGTTAATCTATCAAAAACGATATTTTATCTGATTTTTAAATACATTAATTGAGTTATTCAATTTAAAAAAATATTATAAGTACTTTTTAATGAGTTCAATCAAATTATCGTTTGTCGGTATTTTTTAGAATGAAATGTATTTATTGGTTGTGAATCTTTCATTACAAGCCAATATACTATGTAGTGCTTTAGTGTTAGAATTACTATTTTCTTTTGTTTTTGTACGTTTAATCAGAGCTATATAAGTTTGAAAATTGTCTACGATCACTATTTTAACAACTGATCGACTTATTTTTATATTGTTTTTTATCCTGTTTATTCTAGCTAGCTAGTTTTTGGCGATTTCTGTCATTTCTAGTACTCATACCTTTTACGGTCCCATATAATCTTTTAATCCCTACATGAAATAGGATCGATTGACATAAATTTTTTTTTTTGGTTTTATTCCTATAACTGTACATTTTTTCCAAAATCTGTGAATGCAGTTCAGAATATCTCAAAAAATTATGGTGGTCTCCTAGGAACGTTTTTCTGTAAATATAGCACTTAAGTTAAATCTCAAAAATCCATCCTGTGTATGTACTTTCTTATAAAATTATTAAAGTCCGTATATTTCCCCCTTTTCTTTAAGTACCAAGCAACCGAGATTCGCAAGGCTTTGCACGGATATAAAAATATCTTGTCCGAAAGTGTTTTTTCAGAAAAGACTTAAATAGATAAACTTAAAAAAGTTACGACAAATTTGGTTTACATACTCGTAAAAAAAAAATTTAAGTCCAAAAAATATCAAAAAATTTATGCTAATCGGCAATTTATAGTAAATTACTGCAAAAAAATAACTCCGATTACCCTTTTTATTTTCTTACTAATTTTTTGAGCTTAACTACAAAACAACATTGAGTTTACAGCTGTATGCTTATTAGTTTAAGAATTATTATTGTTTGAACATAGGGTATGCACAAACACCAAGGCCTTATAAGTGACATCTGGCACTACCTGCTCTCGAATTGAATGCAGTAATTCATTCCATTCAAGAGCAGGCCGCAAATAGTACTATATGGCGTGAGTAAGTAGTAAGTAGTAAGAGAGATGGAACATACTGGTCCTCTACTTCGAAAAAATCACACAGTTTGACAGTTGATTAATGATTAGTTAAGTTAGTTGTCCCCACAAACTATAAAGAAATCACAGACCAGGAACTGATAGAATTTAGAAATGCTACGCATGTTGTCCCTCGTCCTGCGGTCCTGCCTTGTGATCGCTACTTTCACATATTGTCTGTGCTGTATTAGGTACTGTTTTTCATTAAGAATGTGATACGAATATGGAAAATCATCAATATTTAGCGCAACATATTGCCGACATACACTTCGTCTATGGCTTTTGCAATAGAAGTGCAGATCACGCTGTATAACTTTTATCGACGTGCACTCAAGATTTAAAGCTCAAAGGGGCAGTTAACGACGAAAAAGTGCTTAGGCCATTAACCAGTGATCAAGAACTAAGCGTTCGACGGATTGCAGTGTAACTACAACAGTGGAATGAATGGAAAATTTTGAAAATAGAGGGATACACCTTTTTCTTTTTCGACGGGTTCAAGACATTCTCGGAACAGATTTTGCTACAAGAAAAAGATCTGTATTTTGTTCGTGGATCAATCGAAGTGAGAGACATCGAGGTCCGTCATTTTCTGCAAAAATACTATGGACTGAAGAAGCAATATTCACAAGAGCTGGCATTACAAATCACAGAAATGATCCTCTGGTGCTCGGTAAACCCACAAGTGGTGCGCCTAAATTTGGTTCAATACGAATTTTCGGTGAACGTATGGACAGTCACTGGCATAATTAACAATCATTTGTTAGGGCCGTTAGAATTGCCTCCTACATTAAACGTCGCTAGATTTATGGAGTTCCTAGAGACAGTTTGTTCACAGCCTTATGGAGCTACCTTTGTCGTACCGTCAACGTATGTGGGTCCATCTTGATGGTGCACCTGTGTACTTTAATTTCGAGCAGTGACAGAGTAATAAACAATTATTCGCCATGGATCGGTCGCGGTGATCTAGTAGCGTGGCTATCTCGCTCACCCGGTTTGACTCTCTTATATTATTTTTGTGGGGTCATATGAAGCAAAGGGTGTACGCCACAGTTTCAAATACTAGGGAAGAACTTATCACGAAAATAATGTCATTCGCTGAAGAAATAAGATCTGATTTACAAATTAGGCGCTCGTCAACTCAGTAGCACATGGAATTTTAGCTTGCCTACAAGCTGGAAGAGGCCACTTTGAGCAACTGCTTTAGATATTTTAATTGTAGGTGAATTTTGTATTCTATAATATTATATAATTAAATAAAAACTAATAAGAAAGTTAAGTGTTTTAATTTTCGACAAACGCCTTTTGAGTTTGTGAATTCTATAATATAAAAATGAATCGCTGAATGTGTTGGTAAGCGCAAATCTCGAGAGCAGCTGAACCGATTTCGCTAATTCTTTTTTTTGAATATTCTTTGAAGTACGAGGATGGTTCTTACGGAGAGAAAAATTTAAAAAATTGCCTAAAAAAGTCTAAAAACAACACTTTTCTATACTCCCATACAAAAGATTGGTAATAAAACTTAAAAGTCAATTTGAACTTTAATACCATAGCATAAAGTTTAAGTGTTAGTGGAGAGGTTCCGGGAAGGCAAAACATTGATGGCAATTGAGTGACGTTAGAATCGTATAAATATTAATGTCTATATTTGCCAATATTATTAACAAAAAAAAAATTATATGGCTAACGCTGGCTAATAACTATTTATATCTATTTAAAACCTTTACCTAGCGATGAACCCGAGCGAAGTGAGGGTGAGCCGCTAGTACGCTATAATTTTATTCTTAAAGTAATAGACATACAGCTGTAAAGTCAATGTTGTATTGTAGCTTAGATGAAAATGAAAATCCGTCGATCTGGTAAAAAGATAAAAAGGGTAATCGGGGTTGTTTATGCAGTAATTTACAATAATTTGCCAAATAGCATAACTTTTTGATATTTTTTGGGACTTAAATATATTTTTAAAGTTACGAATATGTGAACCCATTTTTTCGTAATGTAAAGAAGTAAGACCAAAACTTTTAGAGGTATGATTTTTTTGTACTATTCTATCTATTCAGTCCTTTTTAACGTCCCACTGCTGGGTACGGGCCTCCCTTAAATACTATTGAGATAAGGCCATAGTCCACCACGCTGGCCAAGTGCGGGTTGACGGACTTCACAGTTCACATGTCATGCGAAAACTTGTTAGGTTCTCTCAAACATGCAGGTTTTCTCACGATGTTTTCCTTCACCATAATCATGTTAGAAATGATTCGCATATGAAAATATCAGAGTTGCGAGACCCGGGATTTGAAGTTGAACCCGCTTCACTTAGTTTCCCAAGCGAGTGCGTTACCACTGCTTACAACGTGTGCTTTTTTGTACACATAAAGAGACTATTTCAAGAAAAAAAAACAAAATGGCTGGCACATAGAGGGGAAGGGGATTAGACCTTAATGTGTAGTGTATTTGTCATCGATCAAAATAGTACTAAGTACTTACTAGATATACAATCATTATCAGCGATAAAAAACGTCCTCACCGAATGAGTGCTCATTTGAACATTTGAGTGCGCTTTTTGTTTGTGAAACCTACTTTGCATTTAAGGTTCATTTTACATTGTTGTAAATTTATTTCAACAAGAATAAATACCTAAACACAATTGGTGACAATTTTAGGAGAACCTTGCTTAGGATTGTGTATCTAGTACTTTTTTGAATGATGGTATTTGTGTATTAAAATAGTTGTAAATTGTAATCAAGTAACTAGAATATCGCTAGTTGAAGTTGTTGTTCCTGGTCTGTGATCACTATTCGCTAGTCCGTGACCAGGCACATATTGTATAATTAATATACAAGTATTGTTTATTTAATACTAGCATTGCCCGCGGCTCCGCCCGCGTTCAGATGACCAAAAACTAAATTCTTAGGTGTTACATATTAGTATACTCTTACATTGCAGTTTTTGTATTTTTCCTCAGAAATAAGATATTTTCCCGCGGTAAAAAGTATCCTAGGATCGTGCGCTACATCGCCCGGTTTATATAGCTTGAGCAGGCGGTCGAGCGATGCGGGGCAGAGGGGATGGACTCGCCGTAGGCATCTCAATGCTCGCCAAGCATTAAAAATGTTTCGCTACTAATTACTTCTAACAACGATATCTCAAAAACTATTCATCTGATTGATTTAGTGTAAAGAGCAATTTTAATCTGCATTAAATGACTAAGCTAACTAAAATATTCATTTGGATAAGGATTAATACCGAACTAAAGAAAATAACTTTGAAAATAACGTAATGTTTTTAATTAAAAATGTTAACATAAAAGTGGTTATTGTAAGTCAACCGTAAGAGATAGAGATATGCTATCGCGGACTTTTTTGTAGCATTTTTATAGATTTTGAATTCTCTAGTACATTACTTAACTGTATCTTTGCTAGTTTACGCGGCGTTCGCGTGGAAAGTTCCCATTTGGCGAGATTTTTTGCGACCTCTTCAACATTTGTCGCCGTATTTCAGCTAATTTACATAAAAGCATAATAAATTATATACCTAAACCTTCCTCAAGAATTACTCTTTCTATTGTTGAAAACCGTATAAAAATCCGTTCAGTAGTTTTCGAGTTTATCGCGTTCAGACAGACAGGAGGACAGACAGGAGGACAGACAGGAGGACAGAAAGACGCGGCCGGGGGACTTATTTTTATAATAAGTATAGATTACGAAATTATAATTTTATTGATTTCATGTAATACAAGGATTACTAATATTATTAATCGGGTCCTAAGTATTATTTCATACTCATATGGCACTTAATACTTGAACGAAACTTTATTCAAGCTACAGTTTATACTTTGAAATTTAATTTTTCTAATATGAAACAGATATTTAAAACATGAAAAATGCCAATGCAAGAAGTATGGATATACATTTAATGAAAATCAATGTAAACAAATTAAGAGTTAATAGATAGATTCCATTTATTTAAAATAACATTTACAATTTTACTTAAAAAGCTAATTATGAAAATAGGAATGGTGAAAATATTAAGGCAGAAGTTTACACATTTATACAATAATAAATAAAAAAAACACTATGTACAAGCATTAAGTACACAAAAAAAAAAACTTATTACTAATAAAATCCAAAACATAATAACAGAATAACTCAATTATCACATTTAAAGGCAAACAATTTTAATATGTAACATTAGATCATTAATTTATTTTTGAATAGAGAGAATAAGAAATTTATTGTTAAATCATTTATAATTTCATCATCTTTGGAGTGCATACATTTTTAATTTACAAATATGAAAAGATCATTACAATTTTTAAGTATTTTTAGTCAATCATGAGGTACATAAGTATTGGCGGTCTATTGTATATTATTCAACTTTACAGATCCCAAGAAAACAAATGATGTTTAACCAGCATATCTCTCACACCTTCTTTCAGTGGTTGATTTTGCGTATCTTTTTTGAGTGGAAGCTCCCAATCAGGATTTAGATTAAAACCAAACTGAGATAAAATTCTCAACTCGCATTTAATTTGAACCCAGCCAGGAGAATTAATGAATGACCAGGGATGATACCATTTCTGCACCACATCTACACAAGAACATAATACTTCCAACCATAAATGTAAAGCCTCTTCATTTAATCCCATACAAATCAAGGTGCGTAATTTTACATCCATTTGTGCATGGGCATTGTCATGAGAAAGATTAATTGCTTGAACGCATCTGTATAATAATTCTTCTGGTGTAAGTACTTTGCCATCTTCATCTAATCTGTATGTTTTACACAAAACTAAGCGACTATATACAGAATTGAAATCTTTTTCTACTTCCCTTGATGAAGCTTCTTCTATAAACAGCCATGGATGGCAAGGACCATCTAAGAAACTAGGTTTTTTGATACCATGTAATAAAACTCTCTTAAAAGCTGGGGCTAGAACACCTCTCACTAGATGAGCAGCTTTTTCTGTTACCGAGTCATCACCAGCCCTGCTGTACTTAACTCCTTTTTCATCTAATAATTTAACAAAACGTGCCGGAAACCAGCCTCTTAAACCATTTAATTCTCCGATCCAGCAATGTTCATCTCTAGAACTTATAACTTCTATCACATCATTTTTTCTGAAACCCAACTCATCACCATCTCTTCTTTCAAAGTCAAGTAAAGCTTTAGCTCGCCTTCTTTTGCTTCTGGATACATTGACATATCGTTCCCTATCTGCTGCGTGACTTTGCATACTATAATCAGCTGTTAGTTGAACCTCAGATGCCAATTGAGGTTCCAGGGCAAGAAAATGACGGGCAACTTGTAATATCGCTTCCCTTAAGTCAACTAGAATTTCTGTTTGTTTAACATTCTTAGATACAGCATCTTCATTGTTACTGTCATCACCAAAGAGAATAGTTTGGATCACTGACTTACTTCTCTTGATTTGACGTCTTTGTAACTGCTGTTTTGGAAGATTTGGTACTGCATTTGGATTTCCAACTAAAGCACCTTGGTCAGCCATAAGATAAGCCAAATGTCTTCTGCGGTGGGTTTCAATCAATGCTGGGCTAAGAGTCTCACCACACACTTCATCTATCGTTTTAATTAAGAGATCTACATCATCAATTTCTCCAGGAATATCTGATAATGCATTAAAAATCTGTGCAGAATTTGATATTTCATTAAATCTATTTTCTTTGATTTTAAGCATGGCTAATGTCACTTTAAAGAGTACTATAGAACCATCTAGAAAGAATAGATCCCAAACCCTTAGTAAAATTTTCATATGAACTACATTTGCATATAAAGTAAGAAACCAGTGCATTGTAATAAGTGAGAGCTCAATGTCATGAGCATTAAGGACTTGATCAATACCTGGTAGATATGTTGAAATTAAACTTCGTAAAACTTTTTGATCAGCTTGTATACCAATTAATGTTGAAGAATAATATGATGCTGGTAAAAGATCTTCAACAGTAGTACACATGATCCAAAACGCTTCTTCTTCTTCCATGAGTAATAAAAGTGATGCTGCAATCATACCTGTACCTTGACAGTAACCAATATCTGGATATAACCAAGCTAAAGATCTAAGAATACGCCTAAGCCTAGGGACACCAGTACTAGTTGGATGAGAAAAACAAACATTGTTAGGTAAAATTTGTACTAAATCTTTTTCAATCTGTTTACTTGTTACCAATCCATCATCACTAGATGCTCTAACAATTTCATGATAAGTAATCTCTGTTGATGCTCTTTTTTTATTAGCACCACATAAGTTCATCCAGACTTGAGGACGCAGAGAATGAGGAACTCCATCTTTCACCATTTTCTGTAATTTATCTGTTTTTTCCAGTTTATTTTCACTTTCTGAGAAACTTATTTCCTTGCTGTAAAACTCCCATTGAAGACGATGTTGATCATCTTCAACAAAAACATTGGCGAGCAATTTATTAGAGCTTTGTTCAGGACCATCTTCTTCCTCAACACAAAAGCCAAATTCGTCAAATCTATAGTCCGGTAATCCTCCACCATGACCTTCCGATTCTGGTTGTGCTAACTTTGCCATAATATCTTGGGGAACCATACTTGCAGTTAAAGCAGAAAATGGTCCTCCTGGAGCTGGTAATAATTCGTCAGCAACATTCATTCCACGAATAGCATCGATTATATCTTCTGGGTCATCATCTGCTAACGCTGCACTGATTTTGCGTTCATGTTCTTCACGTCCCACATATCCAACATGATCGCGTGAGCTAAATAGAGACTTAGCTAAATCCATTGTTTTTTATTTACAATTTACATTACTTTGACTAGTGATTGTCGAATTGTCGATTGAAAACAAATGTTTTATTTATTACGTACACTGTCGTCTGTCGACTGTCACAAATTTAACACCATGGATGACAATTTAACACTTTCTACATATGTCAATGAAAGTCAATAGCATAGATTAAATTGCTACATATAAAAAGCCAATAGACAATAGTTACAGATTACTATTAGTATTAATAATTAATATAAAAATTCCCTCAAAATCGCCTGTTCTTGAATAGATGTAAATGCACCTTAAAGATTACAATTATATATAATGTCTTTTAAAAAATTTTATTTTATTTCAAAATGCATTTAGTTTCTTACAATATATATATTTATAGGTTTTTAATGTGAATTTTATAATGCATTACGTTCATTAAATTTGAATTGGTATAATAAAAGTGGGATGATCACTGAAGAATATGAAAGTGTGCCGAATGTTTTTTCTTTTAAGTTATACTAAAAGAGGATAATCATAATATTATGTATTTTGTTCTAGTCTATAGTGAAAAACATTAATATAATCTCTCTGTGGTCTTGCTATAATCTGTGACATTTTGTAAGATGTTTATTATTCGTCTACGGTGATCTATGGACATTATTTAATATTTATTGACTTGACTCTTATTCCTGGTCTCAGGTCTGTGATTGGTTCTTGGTCAGTGGTTTAATGCTATCAGTTTTATTTATCAATTGTCAATTGTCATCCATGGCTATGAGCTATGATTAATGAATAATGACTGCAAACATCGTACCTTTATTAAACCTTTAATATTTTTTGCTTATAAGTACCCGACATATTATATTCAATTGGATGATTGAATAATAAATAAGAAGTTATTTTAAAAAACCATTAACGCTGTGACACACTTGATATATGTAAAATATTAACAATAGAATTCTTTGGGACAGACGCAGAAAAATATTCATCATAGCAGTGATGCTCTATAATAATTAAACTTACGTATAATATAGGTAAGTAGTATAATAATTTATTTAAAATTATATTAACACACATAATTTAAGTTTCCCTTTTATTGTAAAAGAAACAAGTATTGTTTAGAAATAAAATTTAGTATACATACAACTGGAATTAATAAATTTTGTAAAATAGGATGGCAGTAAAAAAATGTTTTATAGAAAACTGTAATTCATCCTCAACAAGATTAGAAGATATCGGTGTAACATATCACAAGTTTCCCAAAGACCTAACATTACGTGGAAAATGGCTGTCAATTACACATTTGAACACTAACATAGATTCTTTTACATATGTGTGCTCACGGCACTTTTGTAAAAGTGATTTTCAAATTTATCAAGACTCAAAATATGTCCTAAAGTCAGGTACCTATGTGTGTAATGATAGTTGATACATTTCAGTATACTTCATGTTAAAATTCTCATAATTTTAGTTTTTTTTCTGTTTATCATATTTCTTTCTTGCACGGTCCTCTATTATACAAGCAAATGTAGAAGTAAAAATGTTTTTTTTTATATTATTTTCTATTCCACTGTGATCATGCTTGTTGATCTGTAGTATAGCATTTTCTAACTCCATTCCATGTTTTAAAGTAATTGTAGTTAGAATTCAGTCATATATGCATGTGTAACAAAAATAATTTTATGAATATATTTACTATGTCTTTTTACAGATGCTGTGCCATCTATATTTTCTTGGAATACAAATAACAAATCTAACATTAAAATGGAGTCACTAAATTCAAGTGCTGATGATACGGAGGAATTAAACACATCTACAAGTAGTAAAGGATCAGAAGGAGAAAATGTAGAAGCCATACAGAGATTCATTGAAGATCAAGAAAAAGAAATACAAGAGTTAGAAAAGCAAAGAAATGATAAAGTTGAAGAAAATATAGATAAAGATGCCATTGATACTAAAAATATAGAAAAAATGGAAGTCATTGAACCAGGCGAACCAATGGTTATAGCAACCAGTGTGATTGATATGATTTTAAGTGAATCAGAGGCTAAAATAGCCAATGCAGATATGAAACATTTACCTAAACACCCTCTGCCCTGTCTTAAAGATAAAGGTACATACATACAGGGTTATAACTCAGTTTGTTAGATGAAATTCTGTATTTTTATTTTGTTAGTTGTGTAATTTAAAAAAAATTTGATGTTGGTATTTTATGTAATTATATGTAATTAGATCCACCCAGTTATGCCAAAAAAGTGCTAACTGCACACATTTAATGAATTCAAAAAAGTGATTTAAATGTGAGTTTATGCTCTTTACTTTAGTGCTTAATCATGAATAAATATTTTTTTTTAATAATTGAGACAAAATGTACCTGGAATAATTTGGCAAAAATAAATTTAGTAGAATATTGGTAAATTTTAGAGATATTATAGATAATTTATTAAAGATGATTTTTTTAGGATTAATGAGGTATTCTGATTAGTTTATGTAGTTTTAATAACTCATTTCCTTGATTGGGTTGATGTTTGATGTTTGGGTTGATACATTTTGGTATGACGAGATCCTATTATAAAAGTAAAAAAACAACTTGAGACATGCTGTGGAACAGTGCAGGAAAGAAGTTTTTGCTGTCCAATTTAAGAGCCATAATTTGGCTCATAAATTAAGTCATAAAAATTGTCACAAGTACTAAGGTATCATAAACATCAAGCAACATACATTGTACATATTGAAGCTCAGAAGAAAGTTTTTCCATCTAGCTCTAATTTGCCAAGTGTGCACTAATGGCGATAAGGAACTTTATTCCATAAATGTGTGTCCATGGGACCATTTTTAATGAAACTTTTATCTTGTATTGATTATAGCTGACGGGGTTGTAATATTAATATCATATTTTTTAATCATTGATTGATGTCAAATTAAAAAAATAAATAATATGAAGCTATAAAATAGATTGGTTTACAAGTGATGTGACAGAATTATGTTAATTTTATTTCAAAAGTAATATAGTTTTTTCACTGTATTGTTTGTTTGTTTGTTTTAGCATGTGCTAGTAGCAGTAGTAATAGTATGGCTCTATCAGTAGGATCAAAAGTCGAAGCAAAAGATTTCAGTGAATTCTGGTATGCAGCCAAGATAATTGAAGTGGACTATGATGAGATGGAAGTGTTGGTGCACTATGAAAATGCTTATAACAAGTTAGTATATGCTTTAATTTTTTTTCGATTTCTATGTTTTTACCCGACTGTGGTGAAGCTCAAAGGAGGGGTATGTGTTTGATTAAAGTTATTATCCATAAGTGTTCTATATTTTTTTGAAGAAAGACCATTTTTAATATAACTCTTATGTGAATATGTAGTTGAATTCTGATTTACGATTATTTATTCATCTATACTATAATATTATATAGAGGCAAGACTTTTGTTTGTTTGTACTGAATAAGCTCCGAAATTAATGGACAGAATTAGATGAAATTTGGTAAGAAGATAGTTGGAGACCCTGGGAAGGACATAGGATAGTTTTTATCCCGGAAATCATCCTTTAAGGAGGTGAAAATGGGGATGAAAGTTTCTATGGGGAATCAACCTAGGGACGACTCGGGCGAAGCGAGCGATGTAAAATAAAATTCCCTAAATCTATTATATTTAAAATGGAAAAGAAAATCTCTGTACTTTCTTAATTTACGCAGATAAATATAGAAGGTCTGGTTACCATATTTAGGAAATAATTTCATAACAGATATTGATTTTGCTTATCAACTAAATTTATTGAGAAAATATATAATTAAATATTTTTATTAATACTGACTTAACACTGGCAGCAAAAAATGTAACCTCTTTAAATAAAATTCACCACCATTTTAAACAAAATCTCAATTGACATTCAGTCAAATAGAGTATATCAATACAGCAGACACATCAAATTGTAAGTTTTCACAAAAATATTAATTAAATAGCAGAAAAAAACAGCAATACTTTATTAATTTAAATAATCATTATATTTAAAAAAAATCTATATCACCTTTGTTGGGATTTCAAGTTGACAATAAAATCGGTAAAAACAAGTCCGGGGCGTCGCGGTTGAGACTTGAGTGCGTAAGCAATTCCGCGATGCCCCATTAAGAAGGGGGAGATTTTGTTGGGTTTTAGTGAGTAGTATTGGCTATGGCTATACAGGTGGTACGCGTAAATATATTTTCCAACAACAAAAATATTGGTAAAACATTTAAAAAAACCAGTGCATTGTTCAACTATAATGTTTTTACACACAAATTATATATTTTATAGGAAATACCAAAAAGACAAAATAAATATTTCCGCCCGAACAGGGACTTGAACCCTGGACCCTTGGATTAAAAGTCCAATGCTCTACCGACTGAGCTGTCCGGGCTATGTTACATTTCGTGTATTTATGTATCTTTATCAAAAGAGTAAAGAAAGCTATATTAAAAAGAAAACAATTATGGCGCTTTTAGGTACGATTAAAAAATATACTTACTTTGTGGAAGCCAATAATTTGATTCTGGCTCGGACCGAACAATTTTATTGACTATTATTTGCTTACCTGTGTTGTGTGTTGAGTTTGCTAAGTGTGTTTAGCATTGCATATAATATACCCACACTTGCTTCACTTTTCTATAAATCAAATCAAAATATACTTTATTCGAGCACTTTTGAATCGTTAATTTTACATTATTAAAATTTAAATTAAATGTCAGTATGTACGTAAGTCCGTGAGGAATCTAACACCGGCTCGGAAGGCGGTTCTGCTGAGAAGAGCCGGCGAGAAGCTCAATAGTTGCTCTTTTAAAATAATATTTGTTTACTATTGTAAACAAATATTATAATGTATAGCAGTACACGAATTATCTACTTATACTACGTGAGACCCAACCAGACATTAGTCCCACACATTGACATCTACAAAGTATCCCGGGTTTATGTAATAAGCTTTATTCAATAATATATTTTTAATATAATATACTAGAATATATAATTTGTCTTTGTTTCTAGAAGCAAAAACATAGGACACTCATACTTTTATTTCACCCCCTTCAAGTTTTATTTTCGCGACAAAAAGTAGCTTATAACCTTCTTCAAGCTCACATCTATCTTGTATAACAAAATTTATCAAAATTTGTTTAGTGGTTTAGGTGAGAAAATGTAACAGACAGAGTTTTATATTTATAATATTTATTATTATGGATACACATATTTGCCACTGATCTGTTTAAAAACAAAAAGTTGTGATCATGATAACTACACATTGTTTTGACATGATGCTCCAATATAACCTTTAAAAATCTTTTTAGAGGATGACCTTTTTAGATGACCACAGTTAAGACTTATTTAAATGCACAATCATATATTCTAGTTTTTTTAGGGTTCCGTACCTGAAGGGTGCTAACGGATCTCTATTAAAGCCTCTGCTGTTCGTCCGTCTGTCAGAGGGCTGTACCTCATGAACTGTAATAGGTAGAGAGTTGAAATTTTTACAGAGTGTGCATTTCTATTGCCGGTATAATAAGAAATAATAAAAATACAAGAACAACATTTTTTAACGTTCGTAATCGATCATCGAAGTTAATATACTACAAACATAGAGTAAAAGTCAAATTAATAATAAGTACATATACGATGGTACGCAACCCTTCGTGCGCGAATTCGATTCACACTTGACCGATTTTTATTTTTTTTATTTTAGGCATGACGAGTGGATAAGTGTGAACAGTCCAAGATTGAGGCCTATAAATAGAACATCTAGACCAATCACTCCTCAACCTTCCACGTCAGAAATGAGTGACAGTAAAGAGGAGAAACAAGAAGAGAAAATAAAACTGAAGTACGCAGTGGGAGAGAGATGCTTAGCTCGATGGAGAGACAACCGGAGATTTGTTGCTACTATCACTAAGGACTTGGGCAATGGTGTATTTTTTGTGTGATATTAATAGAAACTTCTTTCCTATTTAGCATCTGTCTTCTGTAGTGATGGCAGTGTTGCAGTTTGTTAAAAAAAAGAAATCAAGATGAATATTAATTTTTATTGTTTATATTATGACAAATAAAATGGATAATAGAAGAAGTAGTTTAATTGCTATGTATTTGTGTATAATAAATTTAAGTTTGCAATTACAGGACATTACGAAATAATATTCGACGACGGTTTCCAATGGAAGTGTAACACGTCAAGATTGTACAAACTGAAGGACAAACACGAATTGTCAGTAGATACATCTATGTCCCCAACCTCCTCGTTATCTTCCCCGGTTCTGGCTGAAGCCGGCCCCAGTGGGACCATTCCAACTACTAACCCTACATTACCCATCTTCCATACACATCTATTCGACCCCACACGGGACTATTTGGGGTCAAAAAGTGAACGACGTGAAATGAAGAGGAAGTTAAATATAAAAGAAATATTTAATATCGGACAGAAGAAGCAAAAGAGGAAAGATAAGTCGCCTGATAAAGTGAAAATTCTGGGGGAGAAAAAACCGAAAATATTCAGGAGGAAATTAAAGCCGCCGGTTGAAGTCAAAACTGAAGTCAAAGCTGAAGTCACAACTGAAGGCAAGGCGGAAATTCCTGGTGAGTATATATGATTAGATAATTTTTTTTCAATAATTAAATGTATTAATTAATTTTACATACATTATAGATTATAAAATAATTGTTTATACAGTTTATAAATTAAATTGAAATTTCTGTTTGTAATGTGTTATTTTGACATTAATGTTTTTTGCAATTATAAGAAAAACACAATGCTTAAACGTTTTCTCTGTCTCTCTGTCACTCATCAACTACTCACTGTCCGTAGTTTAAAAAAATATATTTGGGACTAGCGACTTACCCTAGTTTCGCTCGGTTGCGACTTGCGTCCCTAGGTAAGTTTTTAATATTTTTGAGCGGAACCTTAATTCTTTTTCTAAAATAAAAGTAGCCTAAGTTACTCCTTATGACATCAGCTTTCTGCCAGTGAAGGTCAAAATCTGACCAGCCGTTTCGGAGATTAGCCGGAACAAACAGACATACCTATGGATACAAAAATTTTAAAATTGTTTTTTTTTTCTTATAAGTGCCGTATATAATTTCATATGCATTTAGTAAAAGGCTGTTATTTGACATTAAAAAATAGACACTTCAATTTTATTTATCTGTATAAATTATTCCAAAAAAAATTTTTAAGTTGATATATTCTGACAATGTTTATAGATGCTGTAGCTTCAATAATCGGCACTGTTGCCAAAGAAGTAGATTCACCAAAGACACCAGACATTAAAATAATAGAAGAATCTGATTTCAAGGAAAAAGTTGAGAATGACACTGAAAATGTACAGGTAGATGTGGACAACAAGGAAATTATAAATGTTGTTAGTGGTTCAGTAGTTGAGAGTGATTTAGTCGAACCTAGTGATTTGGGTATCGAGACGTCTATTTTTGAATCTGTAAGTATTTATAGTCTTATGAATCCACACTCACACTCTACATATACATACATATACACACTCATACATATACACTCGCACATATACACACACATTTTTTGCCCATATTTGTGTAAACATCTCATAAATAACAACGTAGTGATTTCTCAGAGATGAGATATGATCCTGCAGTAAAAAGTATCCTATATGTTGACCCGGTTAAACAGATATCATCATACCCAATTTCATCAAAATCTGTCCAGCGGTTTTCACGTGATGCGGTCACAAACAGACAAATAAACAAAAAATAAAAAAATCGGCCTTTATATCGACAATAATCACTATTTAAATAAGATTTTCCAAAAAATATTTAATGTAAAGATTCGACTCAGTTAGAATTTTACTAAACCAGTATGTATAGATTTACATTCCGAATGCAACTTACATCTGATGAAACATTACAGTGATATGAAGTTACTAGTACATACATTCAATAACTCACACTGCAAGTATTTAATTTTGTTGTATTTATGAATAAAGCTTTATACTTTTAGCACTATGTTTTTATATAAAAATTATATACTAAATATATAATAAATATAATTATATACATATTAAAATGGCCAACTAAAATTTAATAATCAATTTTTTTATTTACATTAATAAGAATGGCTAAAACAATCTAGCTTTGTGTAAATTCATGAATATAGTCTATTAAGCAAGCTTATTTCTTTAGTATATACTGTATCTGTTTATATGTTGTTACAAAACTTGAATCAAAATACAGGAAGTTGAAGAAGAAGTTAAGTTGGAGAAATTTGAGAAACCCGACGATAGTAAACAAGAGGTGATTGAAAAGATGAAAGAAGTCATAACAAAGCTAGAAGATGGCCTAAAGGAGAAAGTCGATTCACCGAAACCCGAGTTAGTAATAAAACTCGAACAGATAAAGTGCAATCCTGTAAAGGAAGAAGTTATCCCGGAACCGGAGAAACCTAAGAAGATGAAAATTAAGAAGACTAAGAAGTTGAGATTGTTGCAGGAGAAGAAAGTAAAGAAGCAAGTGGAGAAGGTAAAGAGTGAGCTAGAAGAGATGAAGAAGCAAGTGGAGGAGATGAGGAAGCAGATGCTGATGAAAACTGAAGAACTGTCGATGGCCAGACCGAAGGAGATGCCGGAGAGTTTTCTCCTACCAGGAGAGTGGTGCTGTAAGTGGGTGGACGGACAGCCGGTGGGATCTGTGACCGATATAGAAGTGGACACCAAAGACGGTACACCAGTGATGCCTAGGCGCAGTGTACAGGTAATATGAGTTGTAGTTTTTGCACAATTGAGTAATTATTATAATTTTGGCGATTAATGTTTTTTTTTTGACTTAGCAACTCTCTAAACGACATAAACGAGCATTATATTAGTTTCTTAAACACTTTCTTAGATTTACGCGAATATTTGAAATTAAAAAAAAACGTTTTTTTTTTATTTTTTTATTTTCCTTTTGTTTCGAATGAACCTATTTACTTATAACGTGTATATATGACAGTGTTCTTGAAAAGATTTTTAATTTTTTTTTAATATTAACAAAAATATTACTGAAAGTGAGCTATACATTTTTCTTTTAAGCTGCACGAATTTTTAGTTTAATATTTGTTTATTTTATATATTTTTAATAATCGAATGGTATTTAGTCGATATATCTATTTTGTAAATCATTTTCAGGTGGAAGACAAAAGATTACCTCCCGACTGGACCAAACTTATGGTGCGGAGAAGTTTGGGCCAATCAGCCGGAAAGTGGGATGTGGTTTTGATTGCGTACGTACATTTTATATAGATAGTTGTATAAACAACATAATCTTGTTAACTATTTGATTACTAGTGTTTCTGTATCAAACAGTAATTTGACACTACTTATTTCTATAATAATATTTTCGTTTGTTTGTTTATTTGTACCGACCAAGCTCCGAAACTACTGGACCGATTTAGATGAAATTTAGTAAGAAGATATTTTGAGACCCTGGGAAGGACATAGGATAGTTTTTATCCCAGAATTCATCCCTTAAGGGGGTGAAAATTGGGGATGAAAGTTTGTATGGGGGATCAATCTAGGGACGAACCCAAACGAAGGGAGGGTGAGTTGCTAGTTATTAATAAAGAGAATACATATTTTTTGTTACAGACTAATAATTTGTATTCCACTCGGTGCTCGATCCAGAAATGTACAGCTTAAATATTAACAATGAACATTATTTATTATCATTCCAGACCAGACGGCCATCGTTTCCACACTAAGACGGATATGCGAAACTTTCTAGAACACGCCAACGACGACAATTTAAAACCTTATGAATCCGCGTTGTTGGATTTTGGTGTACATCTAAAACTATCCCGTCGTATGGGATGGGTGGTCGGAGGTAAGGCACCCGGTGTGGTCAATCATAAGAGAAAAGAGGAGAAGAAAGAGAAGAAAAGAAGAAAGAAATTGAAGAAAGTGAGTTTAAGTTTTTTTTTTAATTTGATTTTACGTATTTTTGTTCGATTTCCTATACAAAAATGTATTGTATAATATTTCAGTGCCTCTATATGCCGATTTTCTAAATAATGTTAGAAACCAGAGAAATGGGAAGAGGGATCTTAGAAATATTTATTTTTCATTTAGTATTTAAGATTATTATAATTGTACACTTTGTTTTTATTTTTAGATTTCTTTAAATGATACACCTGGAACGAGTCAAGCATTGCTGCATCCAATGGACACATTTTCAGAGATTCCGATTGAAAATCCTACTCTAGAAGATGGTTATGGTAAGTGTTTAGTGCACAAGTGTTTTTGTAAAATATACATTACTTATTTTTCTGCCAACCAGTCAAAAAAGGCAATAAAACCAGTCCCACATACTAGCCAATTAACTTTTCTAGTCTGCATGAGCTGCATTGGGACTTCTAATGCATTCAACTATAATGGTTTGACATCCCCTGAGGTCCCCTTTTGAACTTTTTACTATTTTAGAGGTTAGTTTTAAAAAGAACTATATGTTTAAACTTAAAGCTATTTTATTTTATTTTCAGTATACGTTGGATCTCTCAAAGTCCAAATAATTGAGAATCTCCTCCGATGTCCGGCGGAAGGGTGCTTCAAAAACTTCCGGAACAACACACTATTGCAAATGCACATAAAGCACTACCATCGGGAACTTAGGAAAATGTTGGGTGCAACACCAAAAGTACTCGATTTGGCCCGAGAAAGAACCAAACCAACCGATATAGAACCGAAACCGAGATATGAACCGGAATCCAAAATAATCAAAGTGAAAATTCCTCGACCACCCAAAAAAGTGGAGGAACCAAAACCGGATATAAAGGAAATAGTACCGGAACTCCAAATTGATATCCCGGTTGTGAAACCGGAACCATCGAGGCCTCAAGACTCGCCAAAATTGAGACAGGCTTTAGTAAATAAACCAGTGAAGAGACCAAAAGTGCTTTTGCCAGTGCGTAGGCCCATTCCTGACCCTATACCAGAAACTGTGGAAGATACAATAGATATAAATGATATAGCAATGGAAACAGAAATCGACCTCCAAATAGAGCCTCAAGACTTTGAAACCGAGATATCAATACCGACTGGGTCTAAACCATTGAATATTAAACAAAAAGTTGATAAGAAACGTAAATATGCAGCAACAGTGTCGAAGAAGGCTTTAAGTGAAGAAGACGATTGGCTTGGAATGAATTCAGATTTTGAGACGAGATCAAGCTTTCCTGGCTCCGGAACCCCTGATTCTAAAGTTATGGATAAAACTCAACAGCCTCAGTCTTCGGAGTCCAACGAAGATCAAAAAGAGTCTAATACGTACATGTATACTGAGAGTGAGTATTATCTTTGACCTCAAGGGACCACCCATCTATCCAATAATTTTGTGATCTTATAAACTATATATACTTTCATATGCATTTAGTAAAAAGTTGTTATTCATAGGTCCATGATGAGACGTCTTACCTTAAAATTATTTTGCTATAATTTTACATACATTTAATTTTTTAAATGTGTAAATGTTTTTTTGTAATTATTATTTTTTTAAATGTATAAATGTTTCTGCATTAATATGTATATAAAAATTAAATATTTTTGGAACGGCTTACCTCTGCTAAAATTTAACCCTTCGCCACTGGCATTTAGTAAAAAGCTGTTATTTTGACATTACAAACAGACACTTCAATTTAATTTAACTGTAGGTATAGAATGTATAGATTCCTACAAGTACAGTAGTAGTGTACACATACTCGTATATTTCCAGCGGGTGAGCGTATCAAGATCGAGCACATGAAGCGTGAGGAGATCATCAACTGCCACTGCGGGTACCGCGAGGAGGACGGGCTCATGGTGCAGTGCGAGCTGTGTCTGTGCTGGCAGCACGCGCTATGCCACAACATACAGCGGGAGGCGGACGTGAGTTATATCAGGGGTGAGAGGGGTACAGGCTAGCCTGTACGGCTGCATCTGAAGGTCCTGGGTTCGAGTCCCGGGTCGGGTTAAATTTAGTCATCATGTCTTTCTGTTAAGAAAGTTCCAGTAACAGTCAGGAGGTAGAAAGTTGGTAGTTTAAAATAAAGAAATAATATATGTATGACAAAAAGATGAATGAAACATACATATGAGAGGGTCAGTTCGCTAGTATCAGACAATTTTTCGGGTGTTTCGAAAAACCCGTAAAGGCAAACATAGTAACCAAGGAGACAGCCTCAGAACAATAATGTTTTATTTTAGAGACATTATTATTGAAATAAACTTCTTTACGCACGCTTGACTTGGGGGGTAAGCTGGTGAATGCGTTACGAAAAAATGTGCGTACGTTTGTTGTCATGGTAACCGTTGTTATTGTCTGACAAATGATATGTATTATTATATTCTTTCCTTAAATGATATTCTATAAATATATCATTGTAATATGCCTAATATGCATTATTTTTAGTATCTCACCTATCCTAATTATTTAAAACATAAATTGAATTTCATATCTTGCGCCTGTACACGCCTATACGCACACTTTAATTTTTTTAGTATTTGAAAACAATTCATGTAAATGTGCAAACGTCTGATCAGCCGCGGTATATCTGCAGGTGCCAGAGAAGTACACGTGCAGCATCTGCCTGAACCCGTGGCGCGGGCGGCGGTCGGCGCGCTTCACGCACGACCAGGACCGGCTGTACGAGGGCGCGCTGCCGGGCGCGCCGCCCTCCGCCCCGCTGCGCCGCGCGCACGAGCTCTCCGGCAACCTGCTGCGCATACAGGACGCGCTGCACGCGCTGCGCGTCAAGTACCACGTCGCCACGTGAGTGCACGCCTTTATATGATTGGTTGTCGTACATGTACCACGTCGCCATGTGAGTGCATGCATTTATCTGATTGGTTTTTTTGAAGTGAAATCTTCCTTAGCCCCGTTGTGATTAATTGAAACTAGACGAAACGAAAAAGGGACATTAAAAAATATATTTTTTTTATTCTAATTGCATTAGCTTATTTTATAATTTAATGACAAATTGATATGTAATTATAATATTAATATTAGGATAATATAGGAGGATATTATGTAAAGTAAAAACAGGCATTATTTAATAAGCTAATTTTCATTTTTATAGCAAAAAAGACCATCCGAAGTTATATCTTTGGGCGAAAGATTGGGAAAATGCTGAAGCGACGTACACGCAGGAACGATTGAACTCTGATTATTCAGATCTAAACATTATAATAAACAACATTGGTAAAGAAAATTTACCAGTGAAGCCCGATGAGATAAAGGACGCTCTAGATGTAAGGAATTCGATAACAGAAGATTCTGATCAAGAGAGATACAGTCAGAGAGATGCAGCATCTTTCCTTGGTCTCAACACGGGCCTGTCAAGTCCGAGCTGTACTTCGTTAGACCTGCCTATAACGACTTCGGAGTTGGAGAGATTGGCCAAATCTGTTCAGGGTGAGTTTAGAGTTAGAGTTTTGTGAGGTAGTAGTATTTTGAATGGACAAGCTTTTGTAAAAATAAATAATTTCAAATATATGTATAGCAACTTAAATATAAGTATGTTGTAGAGCTATTGTATTTATATGTGATATCTATTGTAATATTATAAAGAGGAAAAATTTGTTTTTTTGATTGTTTGTGTTTATCTAATAGGCTCCGAAACTACTGAACCGATTTAGATAAAATTTGGTAAGGAGATAGCTTGAGACTCTGGGTAGGAGATAGGATAGTTAGTTTAGTTAGTTAAGTAGATAGATTATTTAACGAGTCAAAGTTTGAACCTCTAAATAAGTGTTGTGCAGCATTCGAAGCGTTGGTAACCAAAAAATAAAAATAAATTTTCGAATAGATCTGAAAGATCCGAATGTAAAGAATCCTTAAAAGATCCTACTAAAGTTTCATAACAATCGGATAAATAGTACAGAAATGTATAGAGGACAAACATACAATCATTTTATTTATATATAAGATGTAAACTTAAAATGTCTTAAAAACAACTGAATGTCGTAGAGCAAGAGCCCTGCCGGCCGCCGCCGGCGCCGCAGCCCGAGGCGGCCATCGAGGACGGCGCGTGCCGCGAGCGCCTGCTGCGCCACGTGCAGCGCTGCCAGGCGCTGCTCGACGCGAGGCTAGACTCCATCGAGGCGCAGATTGCTGGTGACTTATATTTTAGTTTAAATAATCATCTATGACGACACGTTCAGCTCTGTTTGTAGTAACCCTACTTGCTGTACAAACGTTTGCGGGTTCGAGTCCCGCTGGGGGCATTAATTTGTATGATGAGCATGAATGTTTGTACTCCAGTCATGGGTGTTTATATTTATAATATCTCATCTCTGAGAAATCTATACTAAACGTTAAATTGTAACTAGGGACAGAGTGAGTCGCTAGTTGATAATATATAAAAATACAGATACACATTTCCTGACAAATCTCTACAAAAAGAGGCGTCGACGCGACGTGTGAAGTTAATTAGTCAAAGCAAAAAATAAAATTAAAAAATCGAAAGTTCTAATTGTCTTAACACAAATCCGAACTTTCACACACCACGTAAAGTAGATTTTTAAACGAAACAACGTGCGTTTTAATTTTGTCATCAAAAAAGCAATGAACAAAAGAGATTTGAAAAAACGAGCATTTCAATTTCGAATTGTGCACTTCTTTTTGAGGACACTTTTGAGACGCTAATTGTATATCTTGAGTTTTTGTATATCAATGTTATTAATATAACTTAGTTAAAATAACACTATAATACTACAGATGCCTCATCAGTCGTTAGTCATTACATACATACAAAGAAATGTGACAGCGCTAATTCGGGATATTTTTCTTTGCTTGAATAGATAATAGAAGTCGTTGATTCGCAAATAGTTCAATTGTGTTTTATTTTATAAATATGTGCAAACTAACGTGTGGTAAATATTGTATAATTTATCTCGCATTCGATTAAACAAATTTCAGTAATTTTATTAATTTTTAACCGTGATAAACAACTCATAAAAAAGTAAAAGCGCCATCTGTGAATGCATCAATACAACTCATCATCTGATTGCTGATATTTCAATTATCAGTAAAATTACGCAAATTTTATTTACAAGCGCATTATTTATTTTTCCCTTAACTTTTTCTTTCTTTTGTATGATATTACATTATGCATTCATAATAAGGCAGTGGTAGCCCAGTGGTAACGCGCTCGCTTGAGAAACCGAGTGAAGCGTGTTCAAATCCCGGGTGTCGCACCTTCGATATTTTATTACCACTTGCCTTACGGTGAAGGGAAACATCGTGAGGAAACCTGTATATCTGAGAAAACCTAGCACATTTTCGAAAGACATGTGAAGTCCGCCAACCCGCACTTGGCCAGCGTGGTGGACTATGGCCTGATCCCCTCGCATTGAAAGGAGGCCCGTGCTCAGCATCACTGCTGGGCACGGACCGGGACGTTAAAAAGGGCTGAATACATTCATTCATAGCTTTAGCTTTATATTAAAATGTTTTTTTTACAGAATTAGAATCACAAGATCCGTCATTTGAAGATGACGAAACGGCGGACTTCTTCCCTCGAACAAAACAAACCATTCAGATGTTGACGCGTGACCTGCACACTATGGAGGAACTGGGAGTTATTACTTAGATATAATAACTTAGATGTACTACAGGACGTTGGGGGTTAAGTTATAAGATATATTTATTATTATATACAGAAATATTTTACTTTAGTCATGTACATTGTCTGTACCCATTTTGGCCGACTTCAAAAGGGAGCACATACTTTAAGTATAAGTTAAAAAATATATGTAGATATATAGATACTAATAAACTATTCTAATATTATAAAGAGGAAAAAATTGTTTTTTTTTTGTTTGTTTGCTTGTATCGAATAGCCTCCGAAACTATTGAACCGATTTAGATAAAATTTGGTAAGAAGATAGTTTGAGACCATGGGAAGGACATAGGATAGCATTTCTCCCGGAAATCATACCTTAAGGGGGTGAAAGTTTGTACGGGGAGTTAATGATGAAAGTAATATTTTTGAATTATAATAGGATTTTTTTCGTTTAGAAAAGACTCAATTTGGGAATAACTAATAATGTTTTGCACTTTTAGTGGTAATTATTAATTAATTAAATAATGGTAAATAGGCTGTCTCATTACTATACACTGCTTTTTTAAATGTTTAATGGAAAAATTGTTTAGTGTTTTAAAAGCCTTAATGAAATATAATCTGTTATTACTTGTGCCATACAACCACTTCTTGGTTTGTATATTTTTAATCCCTGACACAAAAATAGGGGTCTTATAAGTCTGATGTGTATGTTTGTGTGTCTGGCTGTGGCATCGTAGCTCCTAAACCGATTTGGTGCGTTTTTTTTTGTCTGAAAGCTGACGTGATCGAGATGGTTCTTAGCTATGAAGATCTGTTCAGACGTTTGATGATCATCAGCTATTTTACTTGACAAAAGGGGCTTACTAATTTTCACAGATCCAATTGATTTGAAATTTGGTCTACTGTTATGGAGATATTGTTTCCAAGACATGCTAACCTTGAGCTGATGCTGTACTGTTTAATGATTGTTTTTTTTTGTCAGGGGTTATTTAAATTTTTATAACTTTTAGTAAGAACATTTATTTGTAATGTACCTACATGAAATATTAACTTGTTTAAAGATTTATTCTATTATTTTTATAGAAAATATTAAAGCATTTGTAGTACTTCTGAATATCTAGTTGAAATTTTACTTCATAATTTTATGGTTATTCACTTCGTCATAACTAAGGATTAGCATATAAGTATTATATTGACCATACTCTTAAAACTGTCACCAATTGTATTTAGGTATTTAATATTTATTCTGTTTGAAATAAATATACAATAATGTAAATTGAACCTTAAATGCAATGCATAAAGTTGTTTTCACAAAAAAAAAATTAAAAGCGCGCTCAAATATGCAAATGAGCGCTTATTCGGTAACGCCATATTTTTTTGTTGCTGATTGTGTATCTAGTACTTTTTTGATCCATGATTATCTTTGATAAAGCTGTTAGTATTTTCACATAATATAATAACATGAAGTGTATCAAAATGTTGTTTTATTTTAATTCATAAAAATTATTGTGTAATTAATATTTAGGAATATTATGTAAAAGTGACTGCACCATTAGATCCCATCTTTAATATTATAAATGAAAAAGTTTGGATGAATAAATGTTTGTTACTCAATCACAGAGATAGATTTTTTTATAGAATTGCACATAAGTTACTTTTATCCCAGAAAAATATACAGTTCCCATGGGATATTTTGTTTTTGTTTTTCACTAGGGACTATCCCGAGCGAAGAGAGATGAGTCGCTAGTATCTTAATAATGATTAATTAAAAAACAGTAAATTTTATGCAAATTTTTATTTTTTAATAATTAAAATACAATCAACCTTCATAGAACTTCGGCAGTTGATCACCCAAAATCACCGATCTTTCAACACCAGCTTCAGTAATTACACCAAGTCTCACAACACCTCCAGATGAGCCATCTCTTAACATAGCCAGGGTTAGTGTGTTGGTCACAAACTGCTTAGCTTCCTCCTTACTCATTTTAGGTTTGAAGTTAGCGTCCACATATCCATATACATATGAAGAACCAGAGCCACCAATAGACACTGCTTGACGTTGGACCATGCCTCCAATGGGTACAGAGTAGATTTGACCTAGAAATATTTCAATAATTAATATGATTCTTCTTTTTAAATAAAAGTATCTTTTCAGATTATTTCATGGATTTATTTTGATTTTGATTACTTCTGTATTTACTTGGATTGTGTTTTAAATGTGACACAAATCTAGTAAAATATTTTTTACATTTTTGCTAATTTTCATATTAATTTGGAATTTGGCAAATCTAGATGACAATTCGGTAATTTAATATAGGAGATACAAGATTGGGGGTCTTATTATCTAATTAAGAAACTCTTATCAAACTAAGAATTAGTGAATTAAAAATCTTTTTGATGTACAAGTATGATTTTCTCATTATACTTAATTACAGTATCTAAAAAGAAAGACATCTTTTTACCTCCATTTTTTTTATCCCAACCGGCAACCAGAATACCGGCAACTAGAGAATCACGGTAATTGTAACAAAGTTCTCTGAAAATTGCAGCAGCTGTCTGAACTAAGGGCTGTTCACCCAATTCCATCTTGTGGAAGTCTAAAATATATGAAAAATTACAATTAGTCTTTTAAATTTTTAAGTAACAATATTTATATTTACAATACAATGGCAGACATATAATAAAATTGTAACTTAAGCTGAATCTGTACAATAAATATTTTTTGATAAATCTTATTCAGTTAGACATTATTAGCAATATGGAGGCTGAGTTTATAGTTTTTAGAAATTTTGTCTGTCTGTCTGTGACCGTGTCATGGAAAACCACTGGAGGGATTTAGATGCAATTTGGTATGATGATAGATGGTTATCCAGGTCAACATATAGGATACTTTTTACTGTGGGCAAATATCTCATCTCTGAGAAATCTATAGTAAAAGTAGGGACAAACCCAAGCAGAACAAGGGTTTTCATTTCATCATTTAGCTATTAATGGATTACTTTATGTGCTATATCGCAGTGTAAGAGTCAGATGAATGTATATATATATTTTCTCAATTTTACAGGAGAGAAAAAATACTGGGTAAATTCGCCACTTCAAACTTTACCAGCTTTTTAATAGTGATAATATAAAATTAACGAAAGAAAAATATATATTGATATATTGGCATACTATTAGAGCTCAGAAATAGTTAACATTTATTTATTTATACAGGCTTACATAGACACAATACATATATTTTTGAAATTCGGTTGACATATGTTAGTGTGGCCCTTACCTTTCTTGAAAACCTTATTTAAATACATCATTTGTAAAGTTAAGTTTTATTTAATGGTGAATCATTCATTCAATCATTTTTATAAAATAAATATATTTTATAAAAATGCTTGTGCCAATAAAACGTAAATAGATAATCGTTGTTTTGGTTCTTCAAATTTAGCACAAAAACACAATCTTGTAACACCCAAAACAATGTATAAGCTTTTACGTTGATATGGTTTGTGTATGATATAGTGAATCAAACAATATTCTACGATTAAAAATATTGTTTTTGCAATTACGTTTCTATATCCCTAACTGGTAGTAAGATAATTAAAATTAATTTAGCGGTACTCATGATACGTTTTTCTGGTCCTATTGAAAGTGGTTCTTATGCTATTTCGTTTTTTTGGAATTTGTGAACTATTGACTTTATTGTAGCGTCGTTTTGGCATTTCGTAAAGGACCACATTGTGACTTGTTTTATGAAGGAAAAGATTTTTGATTTTTTTGTAGATACGTTCATCTGGTTCTTATACCGCGATATACTCATTGCAAATGATATTAATAGTTAAGAAAAATCATTACTTACTCAGGTGATAAGTTACAATATCAGCAATGGCCTGTGTGTCAGCAGCAGAACCAGAACGGCAGCAATAGATGTGATCAGTGATTCTTGTCAGTTTGTCTGTCACTCTGTTAGCAATGTAAGCACCGGTGGTAGTCCTAGAATCAGCGCCGATTATAACACCTCCATCGAATTCGCACGCCATGATAGAGGTTCCTGTGCTGTGAGGTGCATTCATCCAGCTCATGTTGGGATCAGAGAATGTATCAACTACTGAGGCAGCCATTTCACTGAAAATAAACCATTTATAATTGTAGTGATACTAGACAAATTCTTTCATATAACAATCTTTGTAACTTGTAAATGAAGGGATTCATAAGATTCACAAGAAACAATGTTTTGCATGGTGCAGGATTTATATTTTATAGTGTAGTTATAAATATAATACGAACTATAGCAAGTCTTGACAAAATTTAGAGGAACTTACATGAATTTGTTGCAAACAAAATAAGAATTCAAGAATTTTGAAAGTCACGATACGGCTTCGGTAAACGCTGTCAAATGTCAAACTCAATTGTCATTTGTCATTATATTACACAGATAATCAGGGCTGCCAGATAACATTCGTTAATTTATCCGACCAATAAACCTCAAAGTATATAATATCGGACTTGAGCTTTGTATAAAGTGAGAAGCTGTCCAGGCGTGAAGTATCGCTTAATCTAGTTTAGGATACCTAGTTTTATGGCCGCAGCCTGTGCCTTCGACTCGATGTCATCGCCAATCGTTCAGTTCAGTTAAGGTTGGATTACAATGAAGAACAGAGAAAGAATGTCACGAAAGAATACCTGAAAAGGTCTCGAAAACATAGCTAAATAGTAGGTAGAAGACAAAGTAGGTAGGGCCCGTCAGACAGCAGACTAAGCTACTTTTGACGATAAATTAAAAAGTAATTATTTATTATAATAATTAAAAGCTATACTTAAAAAAATGTTAAGTTAAAACTCTGAGGACTCCATAATTAACATATTTGAAGAGAACAGTAACATGGAATAAGTAAAGAGGTATATAGGTAAAGTTTGTAACACTTTGCACTATTCTGTATCCAAATAAGGAATACTGCGAAAACTAGTACCTATGTAGGTATGTGTAATTATTTTATACATAAAGCTAACATTATTCTGCGTGTGATCACATATACCTAGGTACAAATATTGTTGCTTCTATGTTAATAAATATGTATGTAGAACGCAGTTGGTAAAGCTATTCAATTATGTATGTATATATAATAAAATAAAAAATTGCGTGTCATCGTTACGTGGGTGTCCGCCACTCATTAGTACTCTTGTCCCACTAAAAATGCATCTTTAGAAAAAAAATAGCAATTCAGCACGCACCATTTTGTACATCATCCTAAAATTGATGTTTATTTAAACTTTATAAAAGGCCATTCTGTTGAATGAACAGAAGTTTTTGATAAATCGTTTTTTTATTGTATATTTTTATTCAAAAAGAATATCGAATCTATATTTATTCATGAAGTTTGCGATTCGCCACCGTCGTTCAAAAGATACGACACGTCTTAGAATGCTTTGGTCCTTTATTAAAAAAAAAACTTAATATTTATTTGCTCTTTTAAAATAACGTACCTATACATATAACTATAACGTAGGTAGGATTTTTTGGTTCCTTAAAGTTAATTAAAGTGGTCATTAATTAATTCGTACTAAGATTTTTTACAAATATTAGGTAGGTACCTATCATAATAATTTAGATATATATAAAAAATGTATTGCTCTTTGATGGTTTAAACTCACGTAAGAAAGAATAATATTTATATATCCTCTATTATTTTTAGTGAAACCCAAAAACAGTTTAAAAACATAAATAAGCATAATAATTAAAGTGAAATTCGGCAAAAGGTTGTTAGATTTATTGAATGAAAATTATTTTAAACTTATGAATACACATAATGTTAAACATTTTTGTGGAATATATACAGCTTTTACAGATAGTTGTCTTATTAGCTACTAGCGTTATTCTCCATACAAACTTTCATCCCTATTTTCACCACTTTAAGGGATAATTTAATGGATAAAAAGTATCCTATGTCCATCCCAGGGTCTCAAACTATCTTCTTACCAAATTTCATCTAAATCGGTTCAGTAGATCCAGAGATTACCCCCTACAACGTCACAAAGTCACAATTTAAAAACTCACAAACTACCTCTTTATAATATTAGTATAGATATCGATATCCTTCGGTTTGGTACAATCGTCTCTACATCCCGTCCATAAAACTCAAAACTATCTCTTATCGTAGCCAGCAGGTTTGCTTTTCTTAAGATAAAAAGTAATCAAGTCGAATAAAAAGTAATTAAAAGTTCGCGAGTTAAATAAAACGCACTGTTTCTATTATTTATTCAGTGGAAGCTTTCTTTCTTTTTCAGGTTAAAAACTTTGTCATTCACACCTGCAGCTTCTACCAACCAGTGAAAGTTGCATTGTAATCGATTTACTCGTTCTAGAGATAGTGTTCTAGATATTTTTTTTATTTTCATTTAAGCTTTGGCATCTTGTAAATAATCACATGAATCAATGTAGGTTATGAAAATTTTGAGATATTACACTTTATTAGAGTTGAATCTGTACATTAAATATTTTTTTTGGAAAATCTTATCGAAATAGTCATTATTATCCATGCAGAGGCCGAATCTATAGTTTTTAGAATTTTTGTCTGTCTGTCTGTTTGTCAAGGAACGTAGTATCACGAGAAAACTTTGACGATTTTGATGAAGTTTGGTATGATAATTGCTGGTTATCCGGGTCAACATATGTATAGGATACTTTTTACTGCGGGAAAATATTTTATCTCTGAGAAATCTATACTAAACGTTAAAACGTACGTAGGGACGAACCCGAGCAGAGCGAGGTTGAGTCGCTAGTTATACTATAAATACAGATTAGGCAGTATTAGTTTACTTTAAAAATATATCACCGTTATCTGAAGAGGCGCCAATACAGTAAATACTTAGTTAACAGTAATCACTATAACCTCATAGTTTGTACATAAACAAAGACACATAGATTTCGTTTATTAGTTCTATTTGTTTAAAGTTCATTTACTTATAGACATAATATTATATTTTTACTGGAGACAATCATTGTCCTATTAAAATGAATCACAAATATTTAATGTGTTTATTTGTTATTATAGAATTTTAATGATTTCCAATGCGTGTAGTTTTGTATGAAAAGTATAGACATCTATCAATACATATTTTAATTGTTATCATGAATGAGTCAAGACATGTAATCTTCAAATCTTTAAATCTATACATATAATAAAATCGTAAATAAGCCGAATAAAATATTTTTTTTGAAAATGTTATTGAAATAGACATTATTATCGATACAGAGGCCGAACTATAGTTTTTAGAATTTTTGTCTGTCTGTCTGTTACCGCATCACAGAAAACTACTGGAGTGATTTTGATGAAATTTGGTATGGTGATAGCTGGTTATCCGGGTCAACCTATAGGATTAGGATACTTTTTACCGCGGGAAAATATCTCATTTCTGAGAAAAAATACAAAAACTGCAATGTAAGAATATGTAAAACCTAAGAATTTGATTTTTGGTCATCTGAATGCGGGCGGAGCCGCGGGCAATGCTAGTTTACTTTATAAAAATCGTTTAAGCTTCATGAGTTCAGGAGTCGTAAGTAGGCGTATTATTATGCTACCCCGACCCATGGAAGTAGCTGTCAATCGTACTTGAATAATGACGCGTGCGGTGGAGACATTTTGTTATTTATTTATTTATTTCATTCTATAAACTCCCCCGCCAGCGAGACAAAGGCCAGATGTTGATATTTTTTCTACATTACAATGTATTTTAAGTTGCGATGATCGCTTTGTAATCATGATGTGTCAGTTTCCGTTGAGCGTCAATTCATGTCCGATCTGATGGCTCCTGGTTAACGGCTGAAATTTCATGGCTTTTTGTATTTGAAGGGTCAAATGCTAGTTTAAGAAATCATGGAGGGCGTATCCCTTAAATCTGGCTCTCATTTAAACTGCTGATAAACTTTGTTTTTTTCTTAGTTTTACTTATCTGGTCGATATTTGCTGTTTTTGGGTACCATAAGTATATTTAACTTCCTATTCTTGATATAATGGACTAAGATCAGAAGAATATACTTGATTGCTGTTCTGGTAAAAAGTATTTGAATTTCTCATAGTAAGTTATCGCCTACCTCAAAGAGTGTATTTTCTAATAAATAATTGGGGCATTGTAGCTATAACTTACTGATGGATAATTAAGAAATTTAGTTAAAATTAAACAGACTTTACCGGTGCCAGTAACGCACTCTATCAAAAACAGAACGTAAATAAAGATGATATACTTAATTCGTTCCACATATCACATTGAAGTATTAAATTCATCTTAAATTTCACGAGCCGAAATTCTAAGTAATAAGTATGTATATCTCCTGGTTCTGTGGCATCAGATCACATGGTAACAAATTATTGCATTGCCTAGATACGAAAGCGGTCCCGTCGTTATTTGTTAAGTTTAAAACAGATACTATATTTATTAGAATTAGATTAAAATCGAACTGCTTTGGATGATATCTGGAAAATTATGAGTAAATTGTAGGTAAATGGCGTAATTATTTGTGTTCCATAATATTACTATATCAACAGTTATTATATAATAGAAGATAATGATATTTACTGAATTTTTTTTATTGCACAATTACTAAATAGATGATTGCGTGAAAACTTTGACTTAATATAATTTTTCTATATATGTACCTAAATTGTACAATTATGTAGTTTCTGATATCCCATAGCTTATGGTATTTAAGTCATTGCTTATTTAATTATAAGACTGGCTTGTTAACTTTATTTTGACCATTAAAAAAATATGAAATAATTTTAATTTTTAATTTTTTAATCATACAAAAGATCCTGTCCTAGGTCTAAAAACAGCTGGGAAATGATATTTCTTTGCTTCTTCTTATAGGTATTATCTGTTTTTGATAAATTTAAGTAAATAAAAAATATTTAAAAAAACGATTCAAGTTTAACTTATTATAATCTACAAAAGCGTTCACCATGTTGCGTTAACAACAATATTATAATATATTATAATATTTTGCACAATATTTGAACATAAATTAAACATAACTTCATAGTGCGTATCCATATATTAGTTAAAATTATAAGATATAAAAATGGCT